TCCAAAAATTTCGAAAAACAGGCGCTGGCTTCAACCTGCATAACATCCGTCCAGGATATACACGGCCAATCTGCTCAATGTGGATACGTCCAGTTCTCGCAGGTCGACTTCATCCCATTCTCCAGCAGGATGATCGAGACGGCAACTGCTGAATCTGCAAAACCAACACTACGTTAAGAATACATGTAGTAATTAAGGTTGACATCACTCACAGTTTGAGAAACGAACGAATCCCGATCCAGTCCTGATGATAGGCCAAGTTCCGCACCCAGTCCGCATGCACACGGGCGATCTTGTCATGTAGATTCTGATTAATGTCCGGACAGTTGTCGCTAACCGCGGCGAGAAAGCGTCGGCACTGATCAGCCGGTGTTTCCGTAGAGAGAAAACGGAGGTACGGAATAACCGCCATCGGCTGTGGCTCTCTATCATCGGGAGGCAACCGCATGGTGCCTGGCCATGAAGAAGCGCCGTAGTCAAACATACGGCACAGCATTGTCTTGATTTGGATAGGATCCGACGCGGTGTAACGGATTAACACGAACTCCTCACAGATGGCCATCAGTTCCGACAGTGTATGGCAATACAGTGACATATTCTGATAATTCCTGCGAAGGCCCAAAAAGGGCCAGCCTCCACCCGCTGTGTACTCCTGGTCGTCCTTGACGATTATCTTTGGCAGTCGGATACCTTTGGCTTTCAGTACACTTTTGATAATTATCGCTTTCCACCCGAACGAACTACCCAGCTGAAGGTAATTATCACTGATTGAATCCTTCTCAAGGAACACCAACGCTCGTGTGTGTTGAGAAACAGTGCAGTCCAGCATCGTTACGAGATTGAAGTGAAGGCAAAATCTGGCAGCGTGGACATTTGCAGCGCTGGGGTTCTTCGGGCAAATCACGGAGGTATCCAAGAATACATGCTGATTATCGGCGAATTTTCGTAAAACAAGCTTCCAGAGCGCGCATACCCTGAAAGATGCAGCATATCAAAGGTCAGACAGATGCTGGTAATTATCCTGGTAATAATCAGTTAAAACGAACGCCGGAACACTAATGAAATCGCAAAAAATCAAATGATGAAATGCTATGTTTGTATTTAGATAGTTGGATAACTTGGATTAATCCATAAGTTGCAATCGATCAAGATTTCTACCCGGTTGTATTTGGCTGTTTCCGAAGTTTACAATAAGATGCAATGAAAAGGTTAGAAGTACTGAGAACGTAAAAACTTTCCGGCCTATCACGCTAACAGTGGTACGGTACATCGATATTCCACCTGGTTTATTACCATGCTGATTATTTGTGTGGATTTGTTCATATTGTACAATAAGTAGAAAAATATTAGCGAGATACTATACTTCGACAAATGCCTTACACGGGGCCACGGGCTCCCTATAGAGTACAAGTCCATATCTGGGCTACCCGCCATGTACTTGAAACAGCCGCAAAACTGCAAGTCTTAGGCCTTGTCCCGAATTCAATGCGAATCTCGCTATGGTACGGTTGCTCAACCGCACGAGGTGGCTGTATGCAGTGGCCACGCCTACAGATACGGTACGCGAAGCCACCTCGCGAGGTGGAGTTGCTGTATCGCAACGAGATTCGCTTTGAATTCGGGACGAGGCCTTAGTAACCGCGCACAAGGTCGGTTGCGCACGCTTCTGGCAGTATTGACAGTATGGTCAACCGTTTTTGTTCGCGGTTACATTAATACTTGCAGTTTTGCAGCTGTTTTAATACTGGCAGTTTTGCAGCTGTTTCAACTAGCGGGTAGCCCGGATATGGACTTGTACTCTACAGGGAGGCATTTGTCGAAGCACAGGTAACTTGCCGTCTCATCCGTAGCTGAGTGACGGTATCCAAATGAAACAGGATACATGCAAGAATCGGATGTGGAAGGTCGCTCATATAAATCAATACGGGTTCCTCGACATCAACTGCAAAAAACAGGGCCTGGATGCTAATTCTGCTAAATTTTACTAGGGGAAAGACAAAGGCTAACGTATGCTGTTCCTGTACTACTTGCTGCGGCAACCGCAGAACACAGCTGCGGATGTCCATAATGCTTAGACGGTCATTGTAGTATGTTCGAAGCTCACCGGAAGGAAGCATGTCACTTATGCAGCCACCAACGGTACCGTCCATCACTAATTTCGAGCGCCCTTCCGCCAGACAACGCTGACAAGCTTCCAGCAGAGATTCGTCATCCCAGAACATACTGCGTCCGGCTGCGTCACCGTGCACTTCCGCACACACGAAGGTGACCTTGTCGACACCTACCCGCACAAACACGCGGCACCCGATACCAAACTCATACCTACCGGCGTCTACCAGACGGTGTTTACCGGCGCAGCGGAATTCAAAGAAATCCGTACCAACATAGCGAGTAAACCCACAACTGGCATCACACACGTCGCCGCTGGCCAGTGTCAACCGACAAGTAGCAACCAGACACCTGGGCATGCCCACCAAATCATGCAGTAAATGCGCCTGGGGAAACTGGATGATATGCTTCCGATAGACCAGCCAGTTAATACGGGCTAACAAACTCGGTTCAGTGTTCGTCGCCGGCAACTGTTCGGTTAAATCATGCCGGAACACGACACAGCCACCCGCCGCACTGTCATGCTGATTATCATCCAAGCGTACAACGCAGAAAGCCCGACCCAACCTGTTGATGTATGTGCCCGGGTGGAAGACCATCGGTCCGTCATCGCCTGCCCGCTGCGCCAGCAGCACATTGTGATTAACATATGGCGGGCTATCGGGGCGTAGAAAATGGTGCAGCCAGAGATGACTGGAATGAATCCATTCCGCTTTCACACTGATCGAATCGAAATCAACCAAAAGCTCATCGCCGTCAATATCCTGAATGTATCCCAGCCACCACTGGCCGTTATCACGCGGCACCAGCACCGTGTTCCCGAAATTCACTTCACGGGCTTGCTGATTCAACTGGCGGAAGTAGCGGGATGTTGTTATCATGTACATTGGGAGAGTCAAACGCACATTAAGACTGGCCATTTTATACAATATTCTAAGTGGCAGCAGTTAGGTCAAGTTATCACTGCGAAACAATCCTGAACAACTTTACTTGCGATTTTGAAAATGATGCAACCGTTGACACATCCGTGTTGGCAAGGCTGGATAATACGAGTAGCTAATGCGCCACACGCACTGTACCTACATTCTACAGCCAACCTATGGGGAAAAACATATAACTGAAGCAACTTGTCCAAACACTACCGATTCGACTGACTGGCGATACCGGCGAAAATTACCACTCTGATGCCCTGCAACCCGGCATGCTCATCATCCATTGCATGCTGGCGTAAACGAAGAAACAGGAAAGTCAAAACAAAAAAGGAAACAGGCAGCGAGACGAAACAAGCAGGTGCACTTACTGTACTGTCTCATACTGTAGCGGCATGGAAATAGCTTGGCCCAAGCTGCCTCTTGTTACCTAATGGAACGAGAGAGGGAGCTCAGATGGAGCAGAGGATTGACGCCATCTCTAAAGTGGAAATCTAATTCTCTTTTCTCAACATTCCATTCTGTTGCTCGGCGTGATCTGTCTGAGTGGCTTGAAACTTAAATTAATCTGGCGTTTGTATTGTGCAACTTACCGCATTCGATTTGTCTTCATCGTTACTCTACGAGTACTTCAAAATGGATACTTGTACCATTGCCGTTTTACTCATTTGCATTGCCTGATTACTGCATTGCTGAGTAACCAGTTGGTTCTAAGTAAGATACAAACCGAGCGATTTTCGAAACAACTACTAGCTTAAGCCCGAATATAGCAATTCGTAAGTACGGCTGTCTTTTTTTTAGGAGTACGATAGGAATGTATGAGCATTCATTCTCTCGTACTCCTAGAGCACAGCAATGCTCGTTCTCTGTACTTAAGACGAGGGGTACCCAACATATGGACCCCTAATTTTTAGTGTGCACTCGGTGGCCAATGCACGGTCAGTTTAGCTTTTGCCGTATGCCACCAAGATGTTATGCTACTATCCGATAATTTTTTTATGAAGTTTCGTACGGTCATTAACAAAATAATGAGGAAATTAGTTTCAGCTCCGACCCCGGTAAAAATATTCACTATTCAACCGATTAGGAAGATACGTTGCCTTATGATAGGTATACGGACAGTACTGACAAAGGGATGCGATTAGTCCGGGACGTTACGACAGCACCCATCGCTATCAGTGAACCGATTCTCTAATAACGCTGTTGAAACTGCAATCTATGCCTGTGCTGGACGAACAAATGAAGCAGAGCTTTAATTTTTATTCAAGATCGCTCACTGCGTTTAGAAACAGACGAATTCCGGTCCATTGCGCGGGATACGCCAGCGTCTCCACCCAGCGCGCATGCACTCCTGTGACCTTTTCCATAGCCTGCTGACTGACTGCCGGACAGTTCTCGTTGACCGCGGCCAAGAAGCGTCGACACTGTTCAGCTGCCGTTTCAGCACAGTGGAAGCGCAGCAACGGAATAATCACGTGCAAACGCTCGTCTGGTTTACAGTATGTCCGCATGCCACCGCTTTCCGGCCAGACCGATCCGCCCGTGCGAAAGAGTTCATCCAACAAGCCACAGGGGGCGGTGGGATCTGAGGCGCCATACATCGTTAGCACCACCTGTTCACATACCGTCATCAGTTCCACTAGTGTACGACAGGCATATTTCTCTTTCCGGTGATTTTGTGCAGACCCAGGAATGCACGCCAGGAAGTACAACCATAATCGCCCATGTCTTTAGCAATTATCATGCGGAGATAAATTCCCTTCGCTTTCACTATTTGTCCGACAAGGCGCAGGAGCGGCGAAAAGTTGTTGCCGGATGCGAAATGATCACGATTCCGTCCCTCTCCAGTCTCCAGCAAATGACACTGTTCGTGTATCCTGTGATAGAGCGCAATCGAGTGACATTACCAATTGGTATTCGGAGTAGCAATACTGCGTGCTGGGAGTTTCAATGGGAAAGCTCGGGTCCTTGAATCTCCATCTGCCCAGCGGGCGGCGATCGAGGATAACGTGTTGCTTTGCGACATTGTTCCCTATAAGAAGATTCCAGAGGGCACAAACCCTAAACCGAAAGCATATAGCTAACACATATAGAATCTTATCATCAATTTTAGTGGCGCTAGAAAATCAGCTGACTACCTGCTCGTCCGTAACAATTAGTTTTCGAAAATTGTAACTCGATCGGTGCACTATTGCCCATGTTTCTTGGCCAGACAGCTAAAAATGAAAATTCGGTACCTTTTATTGCATACGAAATAAATTCGCCCACATAATACAGTAAATTACAGTTATCAGAGAGCCGCTCGTGTAAGTGTAAGGTACAGGTACTGGTGTAATGATAAAGAGCATTTCGTAAATCAGCTATTGATGCACTTACCAAGCTGCAATTTGGCTATCAAAAAGCCGTTAACAACGCTGCCATCTGCTAGTCTCTCTTGTTGCGCGGCTAGGTGGTTTTGACACGCTTCACGCAGGGTATTGTCATCCCAGAACATGCGGCGAGCGGCTGGGTTGCCATGCATTTCGGCGCCCACCATAGTGATCGTGCTGTTTCCCACCCGCAGAAATACTCGACAGCCGAGTTCGATCGTAAAAATTGACGGTCTTATCCTGGGTTCCAGGTGAAGTTGGTGAAGATAGCCACAACTGAAAGTGAAACGATCCAAGCCAACATATCGCCACCGAAATCTACAGTTCTCAATACACACTGGGTCCCCGCTCCCCAGCAACAATCGGCATGTTCGAGAGAGATGCTGGGGCATCATAATCACATCACGCAACAAATACGCCTCTTTGAAATTGATAACGTATTTCCGGTAGATGATGATCTTTACGGAAGAGACTGTGCTCCCCGTCCGCTGTAGGTAGTTTCTCCACGAAATGATGTCTGTGCACCACGTAGCACTCATTCGTAGTGGATTGCCCATTCTGTGTCAGACGGACAACGCAAAACAATCCGGTCAGGTCGACGATGACAATGGCCGGCTGGAAGACCAACGGTCCGCCGTCGACAAGCGGCAGCGCTACCTGCAGAGGAGCATCTGCGTATGACGAAAATGTACGATGGAGGTACTGGTGCAGCCAGACATGGCTAGCGTGGGTCCTCTGGGCGTGTACAGTGGTCGAGTCAAAGTCCACGAAGAACTGGTCGCCGTCAATATCCTGAATGTATCCCAGCCACCACTGGTCGTTGTCGCGCTGCATCAACACTGTGTTCCCGTAGTTCACCTCCCGCGCACCAGAGTTCAGCTGTCGAAAGTAACGTGATGTCGCATTCATGGTGATCGCAAATTTAATTCACCGAACACTCATACTGTAGTAGTCGATTAACATGTGAAAACAAACTGGCACAAACTTTCCATGAGTACTTACAAAGGAAAAGACAACGGCTTCCCTTGGCTGTTTGACCTTGTGTGCACATGTGACTTTGAATTCATATCTAAATCGCGTTTGCGTCTAAAGGTCGTTATGCAAATTGCAAGTGAATCAGAAAACAGAAACTAGCCAGGTGGGATTTACAGCTTAACGCTCGCTGGTCTCGGGGAAGCGTCTACGCTGTACGGAGAACATACAACGAAAAGGGCGTCTCCTCCAAGAAATATTGCTATTCGAAGAAATACATGAACAAATCTGTATGAATATGCATCAAAGCACAAATCTATGTAAAGGGCACACAATTACAACCACTATTCATAACCTGCAGAAGGCACTGACGTTGTCAAGATGTGAGTGATGCTTTATTGTTGCTCGTTACACTGTGGGTAATATAAAACAGAACCGCTCAAACTATAATAAAAAAATCTCTGTAAGCTTATCCACTCCATCCATGGTGCCCAGTACTGACGCCGCGTTCCCCCGTTGAATCTCAATCGACAGGCGCTGTCGAAGAAATTCGTGCGAGCGTACTTCTCCGGTTTGTTGTCGCAGTCTTTTACCCAGCTCCTTGACGATGGCGATGGCCGCCGCTCCCCAAGGGCCAAGCGTTTCAAAAGCGATTGGGACAAAGATATAACGGCCGTTCAGATAGGAATACAGTCTGATTTTCTTTTCCTCGGCTTGCGTAGCGGCGGCTCCCGCTGTGGCGGACGTTGCTTTAACATGTGACGCGGCCACTGTGTCTACGCATGTCACATCCCATGCTAGACACATTCCGCGTTTCCAGGCGAATGTCGTACAGCCATCTGGGCGGCGTTCCGTTGTAGGAGATGTTCCGCGCGGCTCTAACTTTGCTGGCACACCCGCAGACACGCATGCTCTGCAAATGATACTGTTTAATCCACCGTCACGTGGATGCCTTCCCGCGGAAAACGCGCATGACAATCCGTGGTGACCATAGCCATCGACGGGTTTGTGGCATTTGTTACAATCATGGGTATCACAGATCGTAGCACCTAGACGCAAACCGACGCTGATTTTCAAAGCATCGTCGTCCAGCAAGTTTCCAATGTGAGCTGAAGGCAATGCGTTCAACCAGATGCCGGCTTCTGGCCTTGACTGGGCAAGCAAGCGGGCTGTATTCACTTCGTCACCTCGAAACACGTCCAATAACGTTGACAGTGAAACGTTACAAAGTGGCAGATCCCAGGCTTTTTGGGACTTCCGGAGGGCGAGTTCTGGGATATCAGGCTGACGCAAACCTAGTTTCCATAAATCAAGGGCTTCAGTAACGTTTACTACCCCGTAGTCTGGAAGCAGCATGGACACCAAGCCGGACACGGATTGAATCGAAGCCAAAAAGGCTGGGAGAGATAATTCTTCCGACCGGCGGATGCCGATTCCGCCTCTGCTAACAGGTAGAGATGCCTGACGCCAGCAGGGATAGTCGTCGTGATTGGTACGCACATTGGACAACTTCTGGAAACATTCGCGCAATGTTTCATCTAACTGATAAAGCAGCTTAGGATATCTCCATGCGTTACAACATCGTAGCATGTAGATAATTTTCGGTGCGCCGAGGCAGTTTTTTAGGAGAAACAGCGCATGATGGCTTGGAAGTACTTGCAACCGTTCACAGACCAATGTCAACGTTTTGGCTTTTTCTTCCAATAATGGTCCGACAGCTTCGTCCAGTACAGGAGCACCGAGTAATGACATGGTAGATTTCGACAGAATGCGCAGTTTGGGATAACGTTCAAGAAAGTTCTCTGTGACTTTACGTTGGGACTCAGCTGATCCACCGAGAATAAGCAGTTCGCATTTAGACTCGTTCACCTGCAAACCTATGGCCATCGCGCCTTGAATAATTTCGGCAAAACTCGCGGCAACTGCCTCTGGTGTTCCGCCCACGGTTCCGTCGTCGAGAAACCACGCGTTCAACTTCAACCGCAATGCGATTAGCACTGCTCGGAGGGCCAGGCTGAACAGTAAAGGGCCTAGAGGATCGCCCTGTTGAAAGCCGGATTCGGAAGACAGCAATAATTCCTCGAAAAATAACACAGAATGGTGGCCGTAAGCACTACGTAGAAATTCACTGTATTCAGGAAAATGTTCATGCGCTGCGGCCAGGACGGCGTCCCGTGAGACTGTGTTGAAGGCGTTCTTGAAATCGATTTTGAGAACCACCTTCGTCGTATCAGCATCGATGCCAACCGTATCATGTCAAGATCGATGCCAACCACCGAAAGAAGCTGGAAGCAGTGTGAAGGAGAAGATCCGGCAGGCCGTGAGCCGAGGCTGTTCTACCAGTGCCGAGGCGAGCTACTCTTGCAGGCAGAAGGCCTTCAACTTTTTCCTTGGCATCTTTTTCTAGCTGGCATGTCTTTTAGATTTGGACTTGGTGCAACAAGTAATAGGTATTTACAATAATCTTTAAATTTTACAAAATATTACGCCGACGTTATCAAATATGATAACTCATACAGCCGATTATTTTTTTGAATTTTTATATAGAGATAGTGGTGATGCGGATAATGGTGATTTTTAGCTTTTATCAATTTACATTGAACCATACGATATTTTCACCAATGGAGGGTTTACGGACATAATAAACATAGGTCAGAAAAATATTGCAAGTTGCAGTTTTCAGTTCTGCCGAAAAAAAGCGCCTATTATATCGATTAGGTAGATTCTCAACAAATCATGAAAGCAGGATAACAGCCACTCAAGGCCAGCTAAAAAAAACAGAAGTGCAATCGATTCCAGCTGTTTCCAATCTTTCCAATTGGTGATGCACGCGACATCCGTTCTATGCATTGGAAATTAGCGACCGCTTCAATCCGCATAACACCCATCCAGAATGTGCATAGCCAACCGGCTCAACGTGGACACATCAAGCTCTCGCAAGTCCGCTTCATCCCACAATTCTGAAGTCTGATCGGGGCGGAAGCTGCTAAACCTACAAAAAGCAATAGCATCGCGATTAGCCCAACTTACAGGTATTCCATAAAAGCGCTGCGATTTACACTTTGAGAAACCAGCGAATGCCGGTCCAGTCCTCAGGATAGGCGAGCGTCCGCACCCAGTCCGCATGCACACCGGCCACCTTCGCCTGTACACGCTGACAAACGACCGGGCACTTGTCGTTAACCGCCACCAGGAAGCGTTCGGACTGTTCATCGGTCGTCTCCGCCGAGAGGAAGCGCAGAAACGGAATAACCACCATCGACTGCGGCACACATTCACCGCCCCTTTCGGGTAGGTCTCGTGGCCACGGAGAATTATCGTCCATGAACAGTGTCTTGAGCTTGCTGCTCATGGCGGCGGGATGCGCCGCAGTGTAGTTAATCAACACGAACTCATCACAAATCTCCCTCACTTTCGACAACAAACGGCAGGTATATGTTCTGATTACTTCTGGACAGTCCTTGTAACTCTCATGGAGATCCAGAAACGGGCATGCGGGATGGTCCTGGGCGTTCTTCGCTGTAATCTTCTGCAGGCGAATACCCTTGGCTTTCAGAATATTGGCAGTGCTAGACAGATTGATAAAGAACGGTAAGAACTTCCACATCCCAGTCGGATCATCGCCACGTTCTTCCGGTTCACGGAAAATCACTGTTCGTGTATACCGAGACACAGTGCGGTCCACCATCATAGCAAGCTTGTAGCACACACCATATCTGGGAGTGCTAATGGTGGAGATATCAAAGATTATGTGAGGATTGGCCGACAAGTCACGCAAAAGTAGCTTCCATAGCCCACACACCCTGCAAAGCAGCAGAACAGACGTCAGGCCTGCAGACGTTGGGACTTATTAATCAAAGAATCTCAAACATTTAAAATAGCAAATAAATAGTGCATGAGACCACAAATTTACCAGTTTCTGTGTAAGGTAGGTGGAGAGATACTACTACTTACTGCTTAACTGAGGCCGGTGGTTTACAAATACAGCAATCGCTGCTTTCAAAGAACCATTATTTTGGTAGGGGTAAACTTGTAGGTTTTTATGCGTTCTCGAAAAACGACGTCTAACTTACCCGCTCGTTCGTAGCTGAGTAACGACATCAATATTGTGAAAGGTGCCTGCGAGTATGGGATGCGCAAGGTCCTTCAGACTTCTTTCTTCGACACCATCTGTAAAGCGAATAGTTATTTGGTTGTTGTAGCCCGCTGACGTCCTCGTCATTTTGGACGTTCCTTTTGATAACACTCGCATTCAGCGCTTGATAGATAGTAACCTAGGCTGGCAATACTAGTACTTAAAGCATAGTCTCCGCCACAATTGCCCAAATAGTTTGTACAAGGCAAAAGAATTGTATAGCATAATATGTTACCAATCTACATACCATACGAGGGATACGTTAAGTCTACTGCTACGTTGGTAAAAACGAATCTTCCGAACATTGTGTTTCCGGTTATCATTCCTAAGTTTCCCAAACATAAGTTTTCGTTATGTTTGTAAAATATTGCACTTTAAAATCGGCTTGATTTTACACAATTTTAACACAGTGCTCGCAAGATATGATTGCAGGGTAAAAAAATATCGATATAGTCATTGGAATACATTTACTGGACCGTTGCCGGTACTTATAATTTCATGACGTATTCAAACAGCGAGATCTCCAGAAAAGATTTTTCTGCGGCGCTCTTTGAAGGTTCCATGTTCAGTAAACTCACTAATCTATGCTGCTTATTAAATTACTTAAAATTAATAGTATCGCAAAATAATTAAACTCACCCATGAGAAGCATTTCCTTTCCACAACCACAACCGATACGGTCATCCAGTTTTTGTTTGGGCTGCACCGCAAGACAGTTTCGACAGGCTTCTTTCAGGGCGTCTTCGTTCCAGAACTTTCTGCGTCCGCCGGCGCCTGCGTGCACTTCCGCACAGATGATTGTGACCGTGTCGGTCCCGACTCGCACAAACAAACGACAACCGACGCCGAAGCCGTAGACAGTATATGCTCCATTTGCCTGAAAAATATGCTTGTCCGCGCAGCGGAAAGTAAACGAATCGGGTCCAGCAGAGCGAATCAGTCCACAAGTGGCATCACATTGGTCGCCGTTGGCCAGTGTCAGTCGGCATGTACCAATCACAAATTGAGGCATGCCAATCACGTTCCGCAGTAAAGGCGCCTGCGGAAAATCGATGACATGCTTCCGGTAGACGAACTGGTTGTAAATTTGGGCGCCAAAACCACTTGGCTCCTCATCACGTGTCGGCATTTGTTCTGCCAACTCTGTTATGCAGACAACCCGATAGTCCGTTGTGGTGAGGTCCCCATTAAGGCGTACCACACAGAACACGGGAACAACGTTTTCGATGAATGTGGCGGGACGAAAGATCATCGGGCCGTCAGGAACATCCCGCAGTGCCACCTGCACGGGAAATCCGTAGACATAAGTCCAGTACGTGGCCAGTGAAAGTGATGGTGCGGCCAGACATGATTATTATTATTATTATTATTACTATTATTATTACATCAAGAGCAGACAACCCGATAAACGGGACTTCAACGTCTGGTCAGTACAAAAGTAAACAACATCGGCATATTACGACAGATCAACCATTCGGAGAGCAAACTTGAAAAAACCCACACCATCAACACTGAGTATCTGCATATTAACTTTTTGTATGCGCTCAAAAATGTCCTTTAAACGCATAGCCAACGTGCCTTCTCCGATCTTCTTCTTCGCTGAGGCTTCGATTCTCTTTGGCTTACGAAGATTATACCGCGCTGTGATATCCGTGAAGTCAATCATTTCGACCATGTACTGCGGAGGACGGTACGCTTCGTGGTTGTAGATCTTGTACAACCATACTGCTTCGGACTGCTTCCAACGGTCGTACACCGGCAGGATGCGCAGTTTCTGGTACAGCTCGGGTGTTACCCGCTCCTTGTAATCAGAAATCGCCCGCAGTGCTTTCCGCTGTGCTTTAGCCAGTTTGCCGCGCAAAGCCAAAGATGCCGGTGACCACGTATCCGACCCGTAGTCGAAGTGTGGCTGCACACAAGCATGGTAAAGGCTCCTACGCTGGGGCAGATCCAGTAGCGCGATGTCGTGTTCATGGCGATAGGAAATAGGGTCTGAATCACTGAACGGTGTGTAACTCACTTGATCTCTGTAACTAGAATATAAGGGGCGAAAGTAAACGCGTTCCACCGTTCCCCTGTACTGCTGCCGTCACCCGCCTGGAGTGTGACGTTACGTTCAATACATGTGGTTAAATCTGGCGCGGTACATAAGCGCCATGTTCAGCCACAACGTCAAAGTCCAGCCGGGTGACGGCAGCAGTACAAGGGAACGGTGGAACACGTTTACTTTTGCCCCCTATATACGTAGTCACATGTCTAACCCACTGAAGTATTACCGCAATAAAATGGCGACTGAAAATCATAGGAATCAAATCAAGCGAGAATAAAATCAACTGCTGTGGCAGCGCGATACCTTGCAGGTTGCAAATGATGATTCGCTACCGCGCAAACTACACTGTCGCTGTGCACAAGATTTAGCTTTCAATAAATCCGGCTTGTGGCTAAATCCGCTTGCGCGGCTAAATATGCATGCCATTGGGTGCCTGGTACTTGATCAGTTATTCTGTAAAGCCCGTCATATTTTGTATTTAATATGACGGGCTTTACAGGTTAGAGAACGTTCGAGAAAGCGTCGGAGAAAGTTCTAAGTACCAAGTTCAATACAGCGAATGACAAAAATTCAAACACTGACAAAAATTCCCTTTGGCTTATGGCAAAAATTCTTTATTGTGGTTTGCAACGAGCCCAGAACCTCTTCAAAGGCAGCAGACAAAAGGTGAATATTACCTAGAACAAAATTATGACTCCCTGTCTTCGTTTCACAAATGCTGTTTTGTCCTCTGGCTTAACGGATGGCACAAGAATTACGTGAGCATTTAAATCAGAACGGTGGTGAACAATAATGAAGTTTACATAAAAACTATAATGACCATGTTATCATTTTTGGAATTTTCGTTATGTGCCAACGTGCGTTCGATAAATCAATCCGTTTAGTGAATATGTCCAGAATGCATAAAACATCAAAGTAGAACTCATCGCTGTTTTGATGCACGCGTAATTTTTAAAATCAAAATATTATATCTGTACAGACTGTACTTCCAGCAAAATGCATGGGCTAACATGCCTAACAATAATTAATTTTTCATTCAAACTGTATTATAGTAAATAAAAGCAGAAATACAAGGAGAATAAAATAAATTATGATACTGTAACAGCAGCCGGTTTGACTGCTGTTCTAGTGGGTTGGTTAATCCACCTTACCACGATCTGTCGGCTGTTAGTGTGGGAAAGGCTGGCACGGTCGGCAGTGATGCTGACCGGAAGCTGACTACCGTTTACAGGGTGACAACAATGGGAGATGCATGATCATCCCATACGAGGACATTTGGGTGCTGTGAACATACCCTGCACGATTAGTCTGCGATGAACAGCCGGCTAAATTTATAGCCGTTTGCATTCAGACCGAGCTACGGCTAACCAGGTGTTCATCGCAGCCTAATCGTGCAGGGTATGTTCACAGCACCCAAATGTCCTCGTAGCGATTACGCAACACAACACAAGGTCATCGCAGGTGTTTATTAGCAAATACAACGTAAAAAGAATCAGCGAGCAAAGCAAGCTGAGGAGCAAGAACGTATAAGCGTGGGAGCAAGAAGAGCGGAAGGCGCGTAGCAAGAAATGCATAAGCACAGGGGCAAGAAGCGCGGAAGGCGCGGAGCAAGATTGGGCGCAAGCTGCACCAACTCGGCCTCCAGCAAGACTAATTTCAAGATGTTTCCGACCGTGAGATGCGGTCGGTAAAAGTAGGAAAGTTAGGATTCTGATCTTCATAACACAACAACCAATAAACAGTAGAGAAAAGCCATTAACACTCCTACTGGCGGTACATTCTAATTTCTGTCGCTACAATACATACAGCAAAATCTAAGCCGATAAGTTCCACAGGAAAAAGCCAAAAATGCATCAAACTCCAGCAGCCAGCAAGGGCGGCTGGCAGGGCGACCCATCAACAGAACATGACAACCACCGTCCCAATTCTGGCTGGCGATCGGCAATCTCCCACCCGTCCACATTCCTAATTTATTGTTTCGGGAGCCATTGTCGGCAGCGTTCTTTGTCCCGCAGACTTCCGTCGCGCTTTGCTCCCCTTCTTCTTCTGCCCACTGTATTCCTGCATGCGGCGCAGCAGTGTGCGGGTATGCATCTGGACGGTGGAAGCGGCCTTGGCGGCGCTCAGTTCCGGGTGGTGTGCCACGTAGGCGAGGGCCTCCCGGTCCTGCTCCGCGGTGGTCTTGCGGGGGCGGCCCTTCGGCTTCGGCCCGCCCTTGATTTCTCCCGTTTCCTCGTCGTATTTCTGCAGGATTTTGTACGTCCAGCCGCACGCCCTGCCGAAGGTCTTGTCCACTTTGCTGGTGCTGTTCTCCTGGCGATACAGCCGGAACACCGCTTTCACCAGATCGGGATCCATGGTCTTGCCACGTGCCATTTTTTTTGTAGTGGAGTAATACACGAGATAACAAGTGTAACCCACTGGATTTCTCCGCTCTGATCTACTCCGATGAACGCGCTATCGAAGGCATACAGTCCAGTGCCATATATGGGGTGAGGCGAGATATGTCTTCAGGGCGCCGGAAGTTTTCCGCGGCTAACGATCTTGGGAGGGAATCCGACAGATCGACTGAGCAATAACAATTTTCTGAAAACATTTGTTTTCAAAATAGAGCACGGCATCCATGCAAGAATTCCAGCTGAATCACAATGAAAGAATAAGAGATCCTGACATACCAGCGATTAGAAATCGTTAACTCAAGAAAACAATTGACAAAATTTAATAATTTCTAATGAGGTGCGGTTGCTTGGAGTGCTGCTGTGTTTTTCTTACCTGGACAAAAATGCACGCTGGATGCCATTCCAGCAGCAAAATACGCTAATACGCCATTCGCATCAGCGAGAACATTCTTTCGGGATACTTCTTCGGGTCCAATATATCATAATATGTAGGTTTACGAAGCTCGAAGGTGCGAGTATAATTCCGTCGCCTTTGTCAGTGAAGGTGATATATGAGCACCATTGGAGGCATACGAATACTTAGAAGTAATTGGACTGGATGAAGTTCGATGAACTACGAAATACTTCTTTTCGCGATATTTTCCAGATTTTGTAAATCACCGCAATGTTCACAGATCCTTCTAATTTTGTCAATCAGTATGTATGCCGAATGCCGTACTATGTCTTTGAGCAAGATTAAACATTTAATTGGAAATAAAAACCGATAATTCAGAAGGTTCAAAAAAATAAAAAAAGGAATAAAATTTTACACGTTGCAACGGATGATAATATTATCATTGATAATTTGATATCAGTTTCATGCAATATGCTTACGGTATGTGCCTATGTGGATATCTCAAGTGGAGACAGCCGCTCGCGGGGAGCTGTTTGAAACCAAAACGACTTCCGGTTGCTACTTCGCTTCCAGTCTAGTTGTGAGGGAAGCGGCCCGGTACATGGTACCAAATTCGTGTGCAAATGCACGAAAACTTTCACCTTCGCGCACTCCCAAACACATTTTTGTTTCGGTTTATGGCATTCTGTAGCCAAACCATTTGTATACACTGGCGTGAAAACCGTTTGTGCGCGCAATATCCGGTTCGAGAGCTAAAGGCTGTTAGAAAATTCCAAAAAGTTTAAATATATGCATTCAGGTGTACCAAAAGTTTCATCATGGACTGATCTCCTTCCAATTTTGTACGTAAATGCACATGGCCATGAAGGTTGTTTTTACACCGATCCAGACTTTCATAATTTTTTTAAAATTGTAAAATTGTTTTAAAATTCAGTATAAATTGAAAAGCTGCTAGAACAGTGCATGGATCGATGTAAAAACGTTCTTCGTGATTATGTGTATTTACGTGCAAAATCTGAAAGATCAGTCCATAGAGATACTTTTGGTACACCTGAATGCACTTAAACTTTATGGAATTTGCTAACAGCCATAGCTCCCGAACCGGATGTTGCGCGCACAAATGGCTTTCACGCAAGTGTATGCAAATCATCTGGCTACGGTACAGAATGTCATAAAACAAGAGAAAAAAAGTTTTGAGTGCACGAAAGTGAAGGGTTTCGTGCATGTACAGTGTAGACGACACTGATATCATGTACCGGGCCGGGCCGTACTTCCCTTAACATTTTGTTAAGTCCACGATCAATTATCGTTAATTATTGCTAGAGTACAGTATGAGAAGTCAAGTGTTGGTATATCTGTACAAGAGAACATACGCACCGTTCCTTCGTTTGCAGCACGATACATCGGCCACCATTCGACGAGGTTTATAATTTTGAGGTGGTTGCCGCGTGTTGGTGCGAGTGGAAAATGATGGGTCATACGGTCACGATCATTTGCGCGGATGTACACAGGGGTGCCAATCCCCACCATCAGCGATTTGCCTCATCCAATCTTTTTAACCGCAGTGTACCCGTTGAGACGGAAAGTTCAAGTGGAAATTAACTACTTTGTATTTAAATGTTTCGGAGCATTTCACGAACGCCGGGCTGGCAGTACTTTCCGTACTAGAATTGTGATTCTATGGGTTACGTGTCGTATTATTTTATCATTCAACGATTGTAACGCTTGTTGTAATATTCACGATGTTACTACCAGAAGTACCAGCAGGAACGATTTGTTTGCAGTTTGGCAACGTATGGTCCGTCGTGGGCTTTTCACTCGCGGATTAAACCGCTTGTAAACACTGTGAGACTTATAGGATGGCGTGATACCGCGCATCAACACAATTCGCATCTCTGTAATACTAATACTATCATCTGTTAAAAATACAGAGAGCGCGCGAGATACGAAAAAACGTATTTTCCACAAAATGAGAGTTTATCAAAAAATCAAGGAATACAAAATAACCAATGTAATGGAATAACTGAGAATTTCCCTAGGAAATGTACCAAATCCTACATCACCAGTCATCAGCGGAGGCCGCTCAACCCATCCAACACATATTTTTCTCCTTTCGAATTCTAGCTGCTCCACTCCTCGTTGGCCATGGTGGGCGGGCCCGGTAGGGTGGGCTGCGGTGACTCCCCCACCGCAGGATCACGATGGGCTTTCTTCGGCAACTTCTGCTCCTTTTTCTTCTTGATCTGCTCTTTCAGGCGCCGCTGTAAAGTGCGGGGGGCAATCTGCACCGTGGACGCGACTTCCGCGGTGCTCAGCTGCGGATTCTGTTGCATGAAAGCGATGGTGCCCTGGTCCTGCGCGGCGGTGGTCTTGCGGGGTCGGCCCTTCGGCTTGACGATCTTGGGTTTGCCCGTCTGCTCGTCGTAATTGTGGAGGATTTTGTTGGCCCACACGTGCGATTTGTCGAAGATCTCCGCCACTTTGCGGCAGGTCCCCTCTCGCCGATACAGCCGGAACACGGCTTTCACCAGGTCGGGATCCATCACCTTCCCCCGGACCATTTTTCGCCGAAGGGGGAGGGGGGAGGGGAGGTACGAGATTAACAGGAGAATTCACGTTGTCGAATATCGATCGATGTCGCCAAGTGCGCGTCAAATTTCCTTGCTGCTAGGAGTTCTCGCTGCCTTTCGAATTTTCAATTTCAAATTCTGAAAACAATTATTTTTTAGACTAGACCAGAACTCTTCAGTACGATGTAAACTGTAGAGAAATTAATTTTAAGAAAGGAACGAAAACAGCAAGTGAATGCTACAATGTAGGACAAAATGGTCGCATAGCCCCATACCCAGCATTCTGTACGCAAGCGGTGCAGTGCACTTGTACGAAACGGATATTTTGAACTCAGTCGTACAGTGCACTGCGCTGCATTCGTACTGAATGTGGAGATGTTGGGCATGCGACCATTTTGTCCTAAGCTGTACAGTATGCATGCATGGTAAACACTCGTTCCTTTGAGTCTTCTCCATACCTGGACGAGAATTGTCGCGTCATAATAATTCCAGTAGGATGACTAGGATGTTATGTTGGGTAATACTTCCAGATCAACGCGAAAATTATTTCGGAACAAAAAGATAATAATTATTAACGCCAACGGGATAAAATTGTACGAGTGAGTTTCCTTCGAATGCACATTCTATTTGAACTGACTCGAACCCGTCGAACTTATGGGCTTCTTAAAACTATAAGCAAAGGACCGTCAGGAAGAGTTCCAAATATTGATTAGACTGAAAAAAGTGGCTCAGTTTTCCAGAACTTCGGACATGATTGGATCAATCATCAAATTATTAATTTATAAAAAAACAGTCATTTCATTGGGATATTTTCTCAACTTTCACTGGAGTTGAGCGATTTGAGTATTTTACTGGCGTGACTGTCACAACCGCGCGAGTGGCAGTCACATTTCCGGTTCATTTTTTAGCCATTCTCGCGTAATTCTCATTTCTCACACAGTTCTGCGTTTATAAGATCTACTGTACATACAATTTACTGTTTCGATAATTTAATTTTCCAAACCAGGTTTTCGTCGTGAAACTGACTGACATCATTTTGATCTATAAAATCTAAGGTATCGAAAAGACATTTAAAATTTGTGGGAGTATGTAGCGCTGATGGAATTAATAGCGAGTCAGCAAAAAATACACGGTTTCGAGTCCCGTCATCGGCGAGGTTTTTATTTCATCAGTATTTTCAGTAAATTCAGAAATTCATAATTCAATTGAAGTTGCATTAAATTGTATAATCAGCAGTGTTCTCCTATCGCGGGCGTCTGATCTTTTAGGAGCAGAACATAAGAATAATATATTTATTGAATTACATCGCGTAGTACATGCACAAGTAACAAGAACAACAATCCTTGGCATCATTGCCGTTCAGCTAATTTAAAGGCAAAAAATGTCTTATTTTTGATAATGAAGTAAAAAAATTATTTGAGTAATAAATTTACGCAGTTTCATATGACAACACATACACAGTGCGAGTAATATTTAGAAAATACCTTGTGTGGCCATATGCGATGGGCCTTGAGATTCACCGCACCACTTAATATGCCGTTATGTATGCGCTACGGCTAATGAAATTATTGGCTTAGGGACCATCCATAAATTACGTACGCAGTAAACCACGATTTTTTACCCCCCCACCTCCCCCTTCGTAGCGGTCCGTCACGTTTGCGTGACCCCTCCTTCCTGGTTCGTTCAGTCGCAATACATGGAGCGGACCACCCCCTCCCCCCTGGGTTCGCCGAGGCCGTCACAGCTTGTCACATCTTCTGGACCCCTCCCTCCCTGGTTCGCTGCGTACGTAATTTATGGATTGCCCCTTAGTGTACTACGAGTAGTTCTTGTACACTTACCGTAAGTGCTATTAAGGGATTTGGCCCGGTACATAGCACCAAATTTGTGTACATCCACGGGCACTTTCGCTGTCGCGCACTCCCAAACACTTTTTTGCATTGCTTTATGGTATTTTGTAGCAAAAAAGAATTGTATACGTAGTTGTGAAATCCGTTTGCGCGCGCAACATCCGGTTGCGGAGTTATGAGGGTAACAAAATTCCAAAAAGTTTAAATGCAACCTGGTGTACCAAAAGTCTCATTATGGACCGATCCCTTTCAAATTTTGCACGTAAATGCACATAATCATGAAGATTGTTTTGGTACGGATCCAGACTTCTGCAATTTTTTTCAAATTTTAAAATGAATTTTAAATATTTTAAAATTCATTTTAAAATTCGAAAAAACCCTAGAAGTCTGGTTCCGTACCAAAACAATCTTCATGGTTATGCATTATAATGAGACTTTTACACCGGGTTGCATTAAACTTTGAATTTTGTTACTGTCATAACTCCGCAACCGATGTTGCGCAAAAGGATTTACAACTATAATTCTTTGGCTTCAAAATACCATAAAGCAATGGAAAAAAGTGTTTGAGGGTGCGCGACAACGAAAGTTCCCCTCAATGTACACGAATTTAGTGCTATGTACCGGGCCAAATCCCTTAAGTGCTATTAACTACTGTATATAATTTTATCAAATTGAAAAGGCGCTGCTAAGTATATTTCTGCTACATGCACGAATGCACATTCTATTTGAACTGACTCGAACCCGTCGAACTTATGGGCTTATGGGCTCCTTGTCTTGCACTTTTCTGACCCAAAACACCAGATCACCATCGCCATGAGGCCCATGACTGCAACGTTTTGGCCATTATGGTGAAAAAATAAAAAAAAATCGTATAACAAAATAATAATAAATAAATACAATACAGTAAAAGGGTCAGTTTAGTAAGGTAAAAGTTCTGCATAATACGCAGTTTTATTTATTATTTTAATAAGCAACATCATCCAATTAATCCCGAAATGGAGATCACTATTGAATAATTTTGAACTGAATCGTCAATGAGTTACTATTTGACTGCTCCAGCTGCCCGGATTTCCGTCCTATCGTTTCTGATACTGTCGTCATTGTTGGTAGCGTTTCGGTCACCGCCGTCTTTCGTCCCGTCTTCTTCTCTTCCTTTCTCTTCTTCCCACTGAACTCCTTCATTCGGCGCAGGAGCGTGCGGGTGGGGATCTGTACCGTGGAGGACGCTTGGGCGGCGCTCAGCTCGGGATTCTCAGCCAGGAAGGCCAGGGCCTCTTTGTCCTGCTCCTCGGTGGTCCTGCGGGGGCGGCCCCGCTTCTTCGCCGCTTCTTTGGGCAGCCCCGTCTGCTCGTCGTATTTGTGGAGGATCTGAGTCGCCCAGACATGCGATTTATCGAAGATCTCCCCCACTTTCCGGACACTCTTCTCACGCCGATACAGCCGGAACACGGCTTTGACGAGATCGGGATCCAGGGGCTTCCCCCGCGCCATTCGCTGCTGTTCAAAAAATGGACAACCGAAGCTGAGGAGTCCACGGGACTCCCTGGTCGTCTCCGTCGGATGCGCGCAGTGTTGGCAGCAAATGTTATTAACTGCACACTGCACTGCTAGACAGCCTCATCGCAAAGATAAAACACAAAATTATTCCAGCACGCAGATATAATTATTCCCATTAATGATTTAATCCAGTACCAATCACTTCGACTGGAAGCCTGTCAAGAAATTACGGGACAGAAAGAAAGCCAGCACTTTAAGAGAAGGTAGGGATTAAAGTGCAAAAAAAATCTACAATGTTACGGCACCTAGTACAATCAGTTGGTATTAAACCTCAACACAACAAGTCAACAGAATTAAAAATTGGAAGTACTGTCACTACGTACGAGTGCTTTTCTGAACATCGCGAATTTTCCAGACAGCACAGCGTGTACAGAGATATGCCAGTGCACCACATCATGATTGCGCAATAAAATTCGTGACGGTGAAGATTTGACGCTGGCCCATAGACACATATGCTATAACTTAAATTTTCAAAAATTCATAACTTTGTTCATTTTCGCGTTAATTTTTTGCGAGTATGCTTTAAAAATATAGAATAATATCTACTATTAGGCAAAACGATTTTTTTTCTGTTTCCGTCTTAAGGTTTGGCACTGAGAGCATACGTGGTTAACATAGCCGCCTACGAGATATCTTGAAATCAAATTAAATGACTTCTCCATAGACAGCCATGCTAATTACATAGGCACACAGTGCGCAACCCTAAAAGAAAATCGAAAAAACATTTGTTATGCCTACTATTATTCTGTATTTTTAAAGCATATTCAAAAAAAACTAACGCGAAAATGAACAAAGTTATGAATTTTTGAAAATTTAAGTTATAGCATATGTGTCTATGGGCCAGCGTCAAATCTTCACCGTCACGAATTTTATTGCGCAATCATGATGTGGTGCACTGGCATATCTCTGTACACGCACAGCTCGGAGCATCATCGGGCTCGGTAACTATGAGTCGTGTGGCAGCCGCTTGCGGGGCGCACTTCTAGCGCTCCTTTGACTTCCGCTTCGTTTACGCACAAAGATTTATCCATTACTTAATTTTAATCGACATCGAATATCAGCCATTGACAGCCAGTACAGAGTGCACATTTGTGTTGTAATACATAGTACATTGATAGGAAATCAACAACAGCACACTTTTAAAAGACTATAACAAGAAAATTTCCTTTTAATTTCTCCGAATCCTGTATTGTGCCCATCACGCACATAGCGTTCCCTCTTTAAATTTGTATGTAATTTTTACATAATACAGTATGTACGCCTGCGCGGTTTACCCTAAATAAAAATTCCAAATTTTGGAGATTGAAAAAACATTCATAATCATTATGGTCTTTCCTAAGTTTAGGGCGTGCGTTAAAAGATTTACCTGCAACATATGTATGACAATGTACACCTTTTACGTAACATGGTGCAAAAATAATAATTATTCTATTATTACTACATGAAAGATTATTATACCGTGCTTTTGCTCTTATACTTGAGTAACTCATATAAAACTTAGAGGTTCACTATTTGATAACACTAAAATAAGTGTTGTTACTCTTTAAATTGCTTTTCCGGTTGCAAAATTATTTCGGTACTTCGTCTGCATGATAAAAGCGCCGGCAGAATTTCCTGCCGACCGAATTTTTGTGTGGTCAAAACGCCGGGTAAATTTCTAGCCGGCAGAATTTCCGGTGGTCAAAACGCCGGCAGAATTTTTTCAACGTTTGGAACTTCAAGCGGACATACTGAAAAATGTCACCTGCCTCGAGGTATACTTGCCATGCGGTGTAAAACAAAGATTGGGCACTCTACACTTATAATTACATATCTTCGTCGGCACGATTTTAGGGTTGCTTTGACAGCGTGCATGAAATCTCGCGAAAGAGAATGCAGAACACGCGCACAAGAAACAAACAAGGAGTTACATGCAAAACATGGTAGAAAAACAACCTAAAGCGATCCATGCGAAAGCAAAGAGTTAACACCGGAAAGGGTAAAGGGTTAATACCGGAAATTCGGCCGTCGTTTTGACCACACAACAAGTATTCGGTCGGCAGAAAATTCTGCCGGCGTTTTGACATTGGCCTTTTGACGGCGCATACTTGAAGTTGAAAATTGTGAAAAATTTTGCCGACGTGTTTTGACCACAAGAAATTCGGCCGGCGTTTAACCACGCAAAAATTTTGCCAGCAAGAAATTCTACCGGCGTTTTGACATTGGCCGCTAAATATTGTATTGTACGTACAGACACAGAATAGTACTCTGTACAGGCATGAGTACGACAACAGTAATAAATAGTTATAATATTATACGTTCACCTGCCAGCGGCTCATTGGGCTACGTTTCTACACCCTGAATCGCAGCTATTCAGTTGCATGGCGTCAGTATCAACTTTCCGGCGGCTTTGTTCAACGGAAGCTGTCCGTTCCACCTTCTTTTTCGGCAACGTGTAGAACGCCTTATATTGGTCAAAGAGAACGGTATCTGGCCGTGGGATGAGCAACACACGAATTCTCGCTATAGATCGCTCAACATCTATTCCCGACTCCTTCCGTCCTCCTAGACAGCAGAGGATGAAGCTTCTGTGCAGGAAAAGCTGCAGTCATCAGATGAAGCCGGTTCGACAATGGTTACGTTTTTCCACATGTAAGGCTTACGGATCCGGTGCCTAATAGCGTCTAACATTGGCCGTTCATATTATCGTAAACTAGCAAAATTTAGAAAGGTATCAAAAAACGTAGAGCTCTAATAAACTAAAGCAAAACAACGTAGAGCTCCGATTTCTTGGCTACTAGAAAAATGTCCGTCGGTGTAAAATATTTACCGGTTTTTCCAGATTATTGTTACGGTAAAAAAGTTTTTTTACTATGTAATGTAGATATGACCGGAGCAGTCCTAATTGACATCTTTACGACTATCGTCGGCGGGTTTCGATGCAGCCACTGGGAGTGACTTTGGAAAAGGTCCGCAAATGGTCACCGGGGTTCCGGGATTGCGTGTTAAAACTGCTGTGAACTGGAGTTTCACTGCAGGAATTTAGCGGAAAGAACCAGCGGTCACTGTTTGGACTTGCGAATGACGGTCGTGTTCGCGTTTATTAATTTAGGTTTCTAGAGGAGCAGTAGAGCTCTAACCCATTAGGAATTGTTATTACAGAGTGCAGCGTCTCGAGCATTGCTATGGCATACACTACACTATAATGATCGTACAGTATTTGATTTCGGCTGTCTGAGGATTCCTTGTTTTCGCACAAGGAGCTCCGCAGTTTTATTTAGCTAATTTTCTTCAACTGCCGCGTTTATCATGTGTTCTGCCTTTCGGAATTACGCAAAGATTATAAAACCGTTATACAAAATTAAGCAAATATTTCCGTGTTTACTCTTGTAACTTCACTGTTTAGCGATCTTTACAGCCCTTAATACTTCACCGTAGGAGTACGAGTACACTATGGAGTTAATACTGCAGCGTACATCAATAAACAATTTTATGAACAGATTCATGTAATAATTGACTTTTGTGTACATGATTAGTGAACATGCCTACTATTAAGATCGTGTAAAAAGCATGTCTCTAGCAACTGTCATCTTGTATTTGCTTTTGTGTTTGACATAGTTTTGAGTATCGGAAGACGATGTAGTGGCGTAACATCGATAGCAAATTGCTGACTGTCCGCTGAGATAAAATCTGGGAGATTTCCATGGCACCTGGAGTCGTCTGGCGAATCCTCCGCCGCAGTAGCTACAGCGAAAACATTCCTTGTGGAAGGCCGAACCCAAAGCCACGGTTGACCACTGAAAAATATATTACAAAATAAACACGTGAAGAAATACACTAGCGCTGATGTGGTCCGCTGCACTGAGCCGAAGTCCTTAAATTATAGATTAGTACATCCATACCTCCTCTAAACCGATATATTCCATGCAAGCTGGACACTGTCCTCGAGTTTGCCGGGTGAAACATTCTTCGTGGAAGCTCTTGCCTTTTTTCACCGTTTTAATCCCGTTAACATCTGCAAAGCAAACTGTTTACTAATAAATGCTTACGCAAGCGGCACTTCACTGTACTAAATACAGTAATTACTGTGTCGTCCAGGTGCATACATCTGTGCAGTCTGAATAGTTCGAGCCACGGTAAAATCCTGGTCCGGATTCGCTGCATGCAGACCCAACACTTGGGCGGCGTTTGACGCGTAAAGCACTTCCTACACCAGAGTATGTTATCGTCTATACGAAATTCATTGGCATCAATGGCAGCTCGACAATGACGGCAGGCGAAGCAGTTCACGTGGAAGTAGTATTCTTTTTCACTTTTTTTCTGCAAAGCAAAGAGTAACGCTGTGGATAACGTTTCTAAATAAGCGGAGGGGAAGCCAAAGCTGTTTCTTGTAATTAAATAATTATGGCACTGATTGAAACTGACAGGGTATGATTGTTCGATCCGTTTTAAGAAACCGTCTTATAATATTTCAATTGAATCGTTGTAGAGCCCACTGGAAATTTATCCTCCGTGTAATGAACCATACAGAACTTTGAAATTTGAACCATAGTCACGTAGACATCTCGAATTGGCACACAATATTAAACAATGCTGTTCTAGCGTACCGTTTAATTGTACGCTACAACAAAATAGATGTGCTAATTTCCAACATTACTTTTAAAAATTTGCTTACCATTTGGTGCGCCCAAGCTAACATATCACGAGGCGGCATGGTCATGTTCATTGTTCCCTCCGTAACAATCCTTACGGGCTGCAAATAACAATTATGCACCATGTATAAAGATTCTTCAGCGATATATTTCGAAATGCACAATAAACGCCCAGTGAATACACCGTTCATACCTGCTCCTTTTCGATGCGTTCTCCGCATCCAATACACTGTTTCTCAAATCCATACGGACCATTCGCCACACGGCTGCTGTTGCTATTCCCCATGAACGTGCCCTCCAAAAGGCATTCGATGCAGTTCAGTCAGTAGTGTGCTCACACTTTCCCAGTTATAAGGTTGGTGTTGCGCTAAACGGCAGGAGTAAGACTGAGGAATTTTAATGTGCATTCTTACTGAATAGCGGTTTATGTACCTGCCATTTTGCAGTCTCCTTCTGGAAATATTGCCATTGGTCCACGTTGAACATCTGCATCCAGATATACCATAAAGTGGGCTGCAGCAATGCAAATCACGAGTCCTCATGATATCATCATGAGAAGTCTGCAGTGTATGGGTTTTTGAACTAACAGGTCGTATATGGTTATTGGTTACCACTGCCCGATAAACAAGACAATAGTTAGACAGTACTTGCCACATACGACAGCCATTGGTTATCGAGAGTTATTCTCCGGTTGCGCTGATAATGGCAGGTAGAGCTGTTATCGATAATAATAGAACTGGTTTATTGTTGGCTACGGTTTCTTTGATATATTGTGTGAAAATGCTCGTCAGCCACGCGTATCCAATTCTGTACGATTTATAATTACATGCACAGTAAAGGGGTATAGGTATGACATTTCCGGCACATTCGAAAACATGATTTTATGCATACCGGTATGTCGGTAAATATGGCTACCATTTACGGATAATAAGTGGATTTGTACATGCACGGCTTCTCAAAATGCACAACGAACACTTCCATGGTGATCCTTTACAGTACATCTCCGAGATTCCAAGATTTGTAAAAATAAATTTTTAAAGCGCACATCGTCCTTTTCGAATGCAACAGCCGATACTTCGATTGCAGTAATCAGTACAACCGCGTTTATCGATTCCAAAGTGAAAATTTCAGATTCCAATAGCTCCGAAGTTGAATACGTAGTTAAAGGAAGCTAAAGCCGTTGCACTAAAGTCTAATTATCACACGTTTTTGATTTAACAACTCTTTACGAGGACCAGCTGCTAAAAGCCTAAAACTACTCGCTTTTTTGGATTCTGGATATGTAAAGCAAAAAATAATAGGTGTAAGCCGATTGGCTGACGTGTTTTTACTGCAGTTTCTAATTTTCTGCCCTCCTTTTGCTTCAGGTTTGCTTTTTACTATGTATTAAAGAAGAGTAAAATTAACGCAAAAATAAGTACATGTTATAATAACTATTCAATGTAATGATATATTAACGGTTCTGCAGGACGCGCCCTCCAGCAGGGTTCGACTTTAGCAAGCTGTACGCGGAAAGCGAGTTTTGTATTGCTTAGGTAGATCGTTTAATGTAGCGGAAGTTGCTGGGCAACGCAGTAACAATACATCTTATGCGTCCCGGTGATCCAGAGTCTTGTGGGTGCTTAATTTGGCGTGCGTTTACGATGGTCACCGACCGATCATGTGCACTAACACAAAAAAATTCCTTTTTAATTTTAATCATCACCTTTTTTTTACCTTTAATCTTTGGTTTAATGATTACCTTTGATATACCAAAAGTGTTTGGCTGTTAATTCATAAGAAATGTTTGAATATGAGAGAACGGAGTTACGGAGAACGTGAAGTCATCGAGCCAGTACATCGAACCGCCCAGCGAATGGTAAGGAAATAATACTTTCGACCTGACTTGTTCCTAGATCTTGATAAGTGATTCCTGGTATCTGCAGAACTTAAGCAATTGAAACGATAAACCAAATTTATAAAATACTTTATTTTTTATTGAGTTTGTCCTTCCTTCTTACAGCATTTTCGTTGGGTTACTCAGTAACCCAACAAAAATACAGTGCCCGTTACTGTATTAAAAAACATACCTGGAAACAAATTCTGCAATAGCCGCATTAAAGCAGCGCCTTGTTTAACTTCACAAATTACTAGACAATAGTCAATTTAATAAACATTAAATTGACAATAGCTTGACAGTTACCAGGTTTTCAAGCCGACGAATTTGTAGTTTGTACTATGGTTTGCAGAATCAGTCTCGGCAGGCTGCTGCTGTACAGTATAGTGACTTGGATAAGTTAAGAGTAATTACATAAGGAAGCACCAAAACTAATGCGGGCGTAAAAAAGGGCGAACCTGAGCGCAAAATCCTTCCAGAAAAGCTCCTGTACGAGGCAAAAAAGCTGGACCAAGCTCAGGTCAGATGGACGGACCATCATACACCCAATCAAAAAATTATTGTAAGTGTTTCTTAATAAGAAAAATTACAACCTATTAGGGGGAAATGGCGCTGTCTTCGGGCGGCGGTACTGTTAACGATGTTATTTTAGCTGCTGCCAGCGGCGGAGTGCTTTTGTTTCTGGACTGAACTTATGCTCTTGTTTCCGGATGGTCGTGTATATACACGCAGATATGACACACCAGATTCGTATATGTTCGTGTATATAAAAGCAGTGTGCAGCTCTACCTGTTTTCATAACTGCGCAGTATACTGTACCAGTGTCGCGCCTGCCCTTGAAAAGGCAGCAATGCTTGTAACCGGATTTCGGGGTGAGACTGCACGCCCTTCTGCCCTGTTCTTTATGGACGTCATCGTCGGCATCGCTACGGGATCCGGACTGCTTGGCTTCGTTCCGGCCCGCTTTGCACTTCTTTGCGCGTTTAACGTTTCTTCGAACGATTGAGGGTCATGCATGGGTCATTAGGTGGGAACGGGTGCTTCCATTCTGGAGATCGTTGATAAAAGCCACGCAGAGGTTCTCATCCAGCACTGTGGATGGGAACTGGCAGTAAGCTGTCGCGTCTTGGCGCTTTCACGAAAAGTTTTCCAGGAATTCACTTCAAGTCTGGGTTACCTTGAAGAATTTTGCAATTTCAACTTTCCGGAAGGTGCAGGAAATGTAGCGGACACGCTTCTCCAGCAGCTGCTGCAATGGAAAATCTTTAGCCCGGAAGGCATACGGCCACCAAACGCCTGAACGGCTTGGGACCGAGCGAGCCCGGAAACAGATTGACTTCTTGTCATCCGGGACTTCGGGCATTTCAATGTAGTTTTCGAACTTCTGGTACCATCGAATCCGAGTGAGTTCGTCCGTGTTCCACCTTTCCAGCCGAAGGATAAGCTGGGACTTTAGCGGGCTCGAAGAAGACACGCGCTGGCCGGTCAAGGAATTACGAGTGGTACTGGGTGCAGTACCTGGGGGAACGAAAACGCCCAGTGGAGTATTGAGGGATGGATCGGAAGTTCTAGTGACTTTACTGGTAGTAGCAGCGGAAACGGACTGGCGATTTAGTTGATTGGACGTTGAGGGAGGAGGTTTGGGCGGCATACGGTCCGAATGAGCTCGAAACATCGTCACGCCAATGTGAAGTAGCTGTTGTAATATGTTTTGTATGATATTACATTTTATACGAGTACTTGATCAACCGTAAGCAGCCATTATGCGTACTGACTGCTACGTACTCTGGCACGTGGTAACAGCACATATCGCTAACCCAGTAAGACAGGAATGAACAAGGTTGTAATGAAGGAATACATGCGACCAGGAAGGTCGTACACAAACCACACTCGCCCACCCTTTTATCTCCAACCTTCGCCTGACATACCCCTGTTCAAGGTTATCAGATAATCTTATCCTTTGTGAACTTGTCCGGAACGCCCGGTAAACACATTAAATACAGAATATTTATTGGCCGAACTCCAAGGGAATCCAGAATGAGTTCTTTCTGCTCTATATCCGGTATTTACTGCAGTTTCACGAGGTCTGGAATCGGAACCGCAATGGCTTCCATAACATGGTATTTTGCTCAAATTTGAGCAACAACATCAATAGACTATCTTTTCCGGCAGGCGTGGACGTCGGCGACGGTAGCATCGTGGCAAACAAGTCCACCCGACTCTACAGATAACGAGGACATACACTCACAGTACACAGTGACAGAAACAGCACAAATCATTGTTCCAATCACTTCCCGCCAGTTTAACGTGTCCTCTAGCTCACATCTTTATCGACTGATGTTGTAACAATATAGATACACGTAGACAGCTGGTCACTGTTGTAATTACTAGTGTAAAGTCATGGATTACTGGGACATCACATTAGAAATGCATGTCTTCTGGAATTTTCCTCAAATGCAAATGGTTAGTCAGCCTGCAGTTCCATAGAGCCGGGTCTACTGGTTGATCGTGAGCAGGAGCAGGATAGCAGGTTAATTGATAGGATACTTGTCACGTCTTTAAGTGCGTGTAATTTAATAAGACTGCACGGTATAAGCCCGAATATAGAATGACCAGAAAATATACAGATAATTCAAATCCCTGTTGCTACGGCATAAATACAGCAACAAATACTGTACAAAGGTCATTCAGTACGACATTACACCTTCACCACCTATGCAAGAGAACAAGACATACGTACAAATAATTATTAGCAGGTAGCAAAGGAAAATATTAAGTGCATATACTTAACCTTGAACCTTAAATTTCCACTTCATATTAGTACGTCATTAGTACATCGAATTCTTCTTCAGTAAATATCGTATTCGTACGCATACTAGTCTCCCAAGCCACCTCTAGGTGACCTTTCCGTCCGCAACGATTGCATCGTTTGTCGCGGTGCGGGCATTCGTCACGCTTGTGTGAACGTGAACCACAAATCCGACATTTGTAATCGGAGGAATTCTTCTGGAATGGGCGGCGCTGGAAAACTCTGTTAACCGTATTGGAGGATTCACTGGACCGTCGCGCTTCTTTCTGGCCGGCCTCATGTCTGGACGCGAGATCCAATGTCTCCTCGAACGTCTGTAGGTCTTTCGACATCAGTTGTGCCCTTGTGGATTCATTTCGTAGTCCATTCATGAATGCAGCACACATGTTGTCGTCGAGTTGCGTACCGCTGAAGCTGCAGTAGGATGTACCTTCGAAGAGGTTTTCTGCAAAATCTTCTAAAGATGCGCCACTCTGCTGCTTTATCTGAAAGAATTTCGCAATCTGGGCTTTTCGGAAAGTGTACGCAGTAAACTGCTTTTGAAGCTTGGAGACCAGCTCCGTAAGGGACAGCTCCGTGGGCTTCCGGGGACGGCACATGGCCACAATCCGTTTGATTGGCTTTGGCCCTAGAGAGTCAGTCAGGAGGTTGACTTTCTTGTTGTCTGGAACCCCGGTCATGCTGACGTAATTATCGTACTTGAAGTACCAGGCATCCCACTTCAGTTCTTCGGGATGCCATTTCTCAAGGCGGGGGACATGTTGAGAAGGGAGATTAGCATTAGAAGCAGAGGCACTTCTTGACTTCTTGTAGTAGACATAATGTAGTAGAAATTGTAAATGCAGGAGAATTTGTACGAAGCAGGAGTGCGTGACCCTCACCGCTTCACGCCAAATTGTCACGTCTTTAAGTACGTGTAATTTAATAAACGTGCACGGTACAAGCCCGAATGTAGAATGACATGAAAATATACAGATAATTCAAATAACACAAATCCCTGTTGCTACGGCAGAAATACAACAACAAATACAAAGGTCATTCAGTACGACATTACGACATTACTTGAAGCTGATAGAGCCATTTTTCTGCGGTGTGATGACATTTTATTGTATGCTGCATTGTTTGTGCTTGCAAATCGAGACCTTGATATTGTAGGAACGTACAACAATGGTACATTGAACATTGTAGGAAATGGTGGAGCGATAGGGATATTCTGTAGAATTAGTGGGCACAGCAAATGGCACCAAACATGGGGATCACTCAGCACTGAGAGCGGTAGACTTCGCTGGAAGGGTCGGGATTCCCTCCCGCGCGAAATTCAATACACGTAAGCAGGAAATGAATTAATAATTATGCCAATTGGCATTACGTACATTCGCAGCAGCAGAAATAGTAAGGAATAGTGCAAGACAAAAAATAGGGATATTTTAATATGACATGGACGCTGGCCAGTCAGCATGAGAACTGAACACAAAGCAGCAGGAAATACAACTACCAAAAGCAGCTGTTGCTAAGTACAACACGACAATACTACACTAATTTTGTAGTTAACATCATTTTTAAAAGCGCTACAAACATTATGCGCTAATTCGGCGTTTTTTGACGTGTTGAAAACGACTGCCGCTTCCAAAAACCCCTGGAGTGGCACCAGTCCGACAAGCGCACAGGTGAAAACGGCACACATCCGTCGCTTCTTGTCAGTCTGAAACTAACTCAGGTGCAAAGCTTTACCGAGGTGGCTAAAGTCTTCCACCTGTTTCTCAGTACTTTACGTATATTAGTTGCCGTTGTTTAACTCTGTGGCTCACCATATCTCCTCCTTGAGCATTCATCCACCTGGTGCGGCAGAGCTATGTGGGATTTTATGGATCGGTCGTATATTTGAACGTTTGCCTGCAGGTATTTCATACAAGTTTAGCCGGCAGTAAATACGTTGGCTCTGGAATTTTCTCAGTGTTTGTGTCTGTTTGCTGCACTTCGACATCCAACGCAAAAGCACATGTGCGTTGAGTTCCTGTTATGATCTTTGCGGTCAGACGTTGTGCAGTTCGTGTGGAACATGAATCTCCAGGAATGTCCTGCATAAAACATGAACCTCCTAAATGTTCTGCATAAGCGAATTTGAAAACTAACAATCGCGGTGCGCTTCCTCCATTCTTGCTCAGTTAGTGAGTTTTATCCAACCACAGGAGTCACAGCGACGGCTCAGTTAGGAACTACAGGAGTCACAGCGACGGCTGGGCGAGGCGGAATCAGAATCATTGAACTGGCTGTCGCGACTCGTAGACGGCTTACCATTTCCAATTGATCGTGGCTTCGGATCGGAATTTTCCTTAGATTTAGGCGTGGATGTGGAATTACCATTGAAACTGGATCTGTACTGTTTCTGGGCAACGTTGGGCTTCGCACTGGAAGTGACTTTAAGGACGCAGGAGTTACATTCGGTACTGGTGGCGTCCTCCAACCCGGTTTCGAACCGACGGGCTGCATTAAGCGTCAGCTCATGCGCAGCGTATTCGTTGATTAACAAATGACGCCGAACCGAATCAGACTACATAAATGCCTTTAATGAAAACAGCATTTAACATGGTATCAATGATACCATTTGGAAACGCACACGACGCACTCTCGTAGCAAAGTCTACTAGAAACAGCTGCCAATGACTTATCGTCATCCTGGCGCATTCTAAAGAACTGCGACCACTCAGCCGCTTTATACCTACAGCGATTATACCATAAAGTAAAGAAATCTGCAGTTTAAATTTAAATAGTAGCCACGAAAAAGCCTGTCTCTCTGCAGATTCCGCTGATAGCCCAATCCCGATAGTAGTTACTCTGCCTCTGTTCATGTTGTACTTTCGAATGTACACCTTAGTTTCGTCAATTTCAACGGTTTTCCCGTGACCTCCAATTTTGTTTTTCCCCGATCAGAAACAATCTTGCATTCCGTTATTTCTCTAATACGGCGCAACCATTTTTCTACAGTTGGCTTTGAAAATGAGACTTCTTCTGATATATCTTTATATGAGAAATTCATTTTCAAAAAAAACTGCTAGAGGATTTCCCGAAAATTAAATGTGCGGCGTTCCAGCTCTCCAGTTTCTGCGCGTTTCTGCGCTGCAGTAAACATATGACCCAAAAATCGGAAGAAAATGAATTGCAATAAAAGCATCCTAATTACAAGAAGATCACTGAAGTGGTGGGCTGTCCTAGCAAGAACATTACCCCCTTCAGCACACGACACACTTCCTCCGCAGATGGATTTGGTCTACTCAATACAGTATCTCCATGTTTGTTTCTCGAGGCAATGGCATGGTAATCTTCATTCGCTGTCGGGTATAAAAAGGTCACTTCTAACCATTTAGAGGCCGTGCAGCACCGTTCGCATGCCGTTGGGACTCGAGTTGTAAACTGAGAGGCAGCGCAGTTGCTGGCCTTAAAGTAGTCGCTCGGGTTTTCCGACAATGTATTCGTGGGTTTCTTTTATAAATATTGTACATGAACTTTTGACTTCTACATCGTTAACGTGACGCATTCACCTTATTAAGTATAGGTACAAGTACACTTTATTAATGATACAACTGAATAAAGGAGGTGCAGGATAGCAAAACAACCAACTAACGTAAGAAGTACGACCAGTAGCTGTCGTGTTTGCAGTATTACACTTTTTATTCTGCTTTCACTCGTAGACGACAAAACATCGAGTCATGATCAAGATCTATCACTTTAAAAAAACATTCTACAAGCTGCCTTTAACGTTTCACAAATACACTGAAATATTATCTTGCTTTTGAACATGGTGGACGCTAGACTGCCCGCGACCCCGTTCCCAAGATGCTTTTTCTTACACGGCGCATATCGTACATTGCAGTTTAATATTCATTTTAGCGCATACAATGTAGCCTAGGGTTTCCGGTTTTGGCAGCATTTCGAATGCCATCATGTGACATTCGTTTGCTTGCTGGGTTCGGAAACTAAGGAGTGCAACACTGTAAGTAATTAACCTGCACAGTATACTTGACCACTAAAATTTTCCTGCGTGACCTGCAAAATTCGAAACATGTTCGGCGTGCGCAAACAATATAAGACAGCTCTCCAGACCGATGCGTCATAAGGCCGCAGACATATTTTGGCAAATGAAAACATTTTTCGTTATTGACAGATGCACTGGTACCACTTTAACCGGGGGACCGGGTTAAACATTAACGCCTCTCTTCAAGCAACGCTCACAAATGTCTGGGGCAAAATGTCAGCCTCAACTCGGCTGCGGAGTCTCGTGGCATCGCTGGAACACACAGGAATTACATGTACTTGTAGAACAAATGCCTGTCAAAGGAAGCTGGTTAAAGCTCTCTTCTGATTAGCGCAGCCGGCGTGGCTACGTCAACCGATATATAAGGGGCAAAACTAAGCGTCTTCCACCATTCCCCTGTAATGCTGCCGTCACCCGCCTGGAGAGTGACGTTACGGCGGTACATACTACATACGGTTAAATCTGGCGCGGTACGTAAGCGCCATGTTCAGCCACAACGTCAAACTCCAGTCGGGTGAAGGCAGCAGTACAGGGGAACGGTGGAAGATGCCTAGTTTTGCCCCCTATATGCCTACGTACGTCTTGGCATGTACTAGCCTAAAAGCTTTCATTAGACAGGAAGGCGGTTACTTAATTTACTGCGCACCACTTTTGTTGGCCACACGGTAATCCAACACTCCAAGTATCCGTACATTGTCCGAGATCCGTTAAGCGCAGTCGCTTCGCCATCAATTTGAGCTCAAGCCCAGGACCAGTACTAACGAATTTGGCTTAGAACCCGAAAATTATTTTTCAATTTCTGAACTGTTATTTTTTCTTACCCATTGAATCGTTGACCTAGAAATATATCTAGAGTTCGTACTTGTCCGTTTCATGGCATACACTCCTCAGTATTTGTCTATCGCCATGAATGCAACACATCGATATTTTCGGGAGCTGAATTCGGGTAAGAGCGAAGTGAACCACGGTAACACAGTACTGGTGCTGCGTGACAACGGCAATTTTTGGCTGGGATACGTTCAGGATATAAGCGGCGATCACTTCTTCGTTGACTTTGACGCCACAACTATCAATGCCGAGTGGATTCATTCCAGCCATCTCTGGCCGCATCATTTCTTGCCACGGCCACCAATGATGAATCTAAATTTACCTGCGTGTGCTGCTTTGCGGGATGAAGTCGGGGGACCGCTGGTTTTCCGACCAGTCACTGTCAACAAATTCCTGTTCTGTATGTTCTACGGTGTTCATTTAAATAACCCGCCCGATAATCGCATTGTCCACGTGCACCACATGACTACACAACTTCCCGCACCTGATGACGGGCAAAGTTTCTTCGGAAGGGTTAACGGGTTTCTCTACCGGAAGTATGTCATTGGATTCGACCGGGCGCAGTTGCTGCACGACGTCAGTTTTATTACCAGATTCCTGGTTGAGACGTGCCAGTTCACTTTAGGCCTCGCAAACGTCTCATGCAATGTCGGGTGTCGGTATTCGAGATCGGTTGAAGTGGACACTTTCTGCTTTCGTTGCGAAAGACATTTGCAGCGTGATCCGTTTTCGGTAAATGTTGGCTGTCGTATGTTTGTTCGAGTGGGAATCGATGCGGTCACATTTGTTTGCGCCGAGATGCACATTGACGCAGCCGGTCGTAGTATATTTTGGAAGGAAGAGTCCTTGAAAGCCGCGTGTCAAAATTACCTCGGCGAGAAACTTCGACTGCAATCGTCCAAACTGGAACTCCCTGTCCCAGTTGCTGCTGAAAACGGCGCCATGGTTCCCATGCAGCACGGTTAGTTAATCACTAGGGTAGGACGTACGGTATTTCCACTACGAGTTAGGACTGAAAATGTACCGCTGCGAGTAGCTGGTATTCGGAATTACTGATATCCGTTCTATCACCAAAGAGGTCTTTTGTGGCAATCAAGATTACATTACACATTTTCAAGAACTGTCATTATGACAGTGTCATAAACTGTTTCCTCAATCAAATGTAATGCGTGGCTACGAATTTGATCCTTTATTTCCTGTGTCAAGCCAGACAGAATTTTACCGGTGGCTGTGGCTAAAGGAGGAAGGGCGGCATTTTTGCCGCATTATGAACGCCGCAGCTGAAACTGCCCCTACAGGAGCTTAATACTCACCAACCCGTACCCGATCATACTCGTATAAATGTAAGGGATATCAATACGTTTTACGTAGCATTTTTTTTCTTGTGAAATTAAATGATAGGCAGGAAAGCAGGATAGACAGTTCGTTCAATTTTTTTATCTGGAAGTTTGCATTAATATTCTGATGTCATGCACATTAGACTCAGTGTAAACACTCGGACGGAAAATGATTATACAGAATGTCTGTAGGGTAAGCGCTACTCTAGCCAAAATAATACGAAAGGCTTGTTAGATGTTCTTCCAACGAGAAGAGCGAATCATGAGCTGTTCATCTCGTTGGAAGGGAAACTGCTCAATTGCCGGTCTCCTGCCCCTACTAGCGGTAGCGGGTGCACCGCTGCCAGTTACTACAGGAGGTTGTTTGTATAAACCAGAAAGTACTGCGCCAATCAATTTGTGTTACAAACTTACAAACCAGAAAATACTGCGCGGGCCAATTCGACATTTCCAAAATAGTTTGACTTTGGTGATAGAACAGTCAGTAAACATACTCACCTGCTGTCTTGCTTCCCGGGTAAAAAGCTGTGTTAAAACAAATTGATTTGCAGGATTCGCAGAGTTACGCATAGGTGACCTCTCACTTGTGGTCCTTGCCGGCGTTTTGCTTAATCTCGACGTGCTAACTCAACTGCGGACAAGCCAGTAAGTGTTTTGTTAAGGACCAAAGAGAGATTTGGGTGCTCTAACCGGGTTGCGTGCAGGGTCTGCGCGTTATGGAGGCGGGTTATAAAGGAATTCGGCAGTTATCGGCATATCATCTTTGTCATACCGCCTAGCCGCGTCCAACCACCCTGGGATTGGACGGTGCCTTCTGAACTTGACCGTTTCACCGAATACAGACTCACTACGATGCTGAAACGAACCATCTCTCATGCCACCCGGGCGGTGGCGTTGGTCGTGGAAGGACCGCAGTACCGCCAATCTCCCATGGATTTTGTAATCAAAGGATCGCTTGTTCGGCGTGTTCTGGAAGAAAAGGGAGTACGGCTTTGGATGTTCATTGGCAAGAACGGATGGGAGGACAGGGATTCAGCGACTGTTGCGCTACTGAGCCTTTCTCCAGGCATTCCGGATCGGTGGCATGAGATGTCCCAGTGGATGCACATCTGTGACAACCTCCTGCTGATCAATTATACGACATTTGACTTCACCCACAGCACACGTCTATGGCGACTGCCACCAGTCACGAAACCGTATCTGGGTGACTTTTGCAGCGGGCAGTTGCATGTCACCATTCCGTTTCTGCGCTTTCGCGCAACGGAGACAGCGGCAGAACATTACCGGCACTTTTTATCGGCGCTAAGCGACAGTTGTCCGTCGGTTAGTCCAGACCTTTCGGCAAAGATCACTGTGTTGCATATGCACTGGGTGCAGACATTGACCTATCCCGACGAATAGACGGGGATTCGCAACTTCTTTAAATGGTGCGTTTAGGACAATTGTACAGATATATAGGCCAGTATTTGTACGACATATGGTAATCTGTTTTCAGGTGCAGCTGCATTAACCCCGCGGGCCCTGTGCAGGAGTGGGATCAGGTCGACTTGCGGCAGCTTGACCTTTCAGTGCTCAATAAGCTGGCCTTCGCCGTGCTCGACGCATGCTATAAAATCTGACGGGTGCCTTTCGATGAAAGCGTAATAAAATGGTTTTCGCGAGCATTATATCAATTATCCCTGCTTGTTCTGCGTAATGGTTTTTAACATAGCGCGCTTTTCGTAGTTTCTCGAGCACTTGCTCTTCTTGCTTTAAACATTTTGTGAGTACTTTGCTCTTTTTTCACGCTGGTTAAGAAGCTTCCATTATCATACTCTTCTCTTTATAACTGTAGCGTATAGTAAAGGACTCTCGTGAACGGTATTATGCGAAGATGTTGTTTTAGCTACTGTTGTACCTGGTAACTGGGCGTAGTCCGTGCACGTACGCATTACGCAGTTGCGTTGCTGTTGTTTGGTCTGCTGAGGCGCAGCTCCTGACCTGCTAATAAAAGTATAATTATTACCGTCTACTAGCGCACATTTATTATGTGCAAAGGTAACACTTACAGCTTATCTGTATCGTACATACTTATCTGTATGCACATGATCGTGCGTACATGAAAGCCGCCTTGAAATTACACTATACCATTCCTATTATGGCGTTACCAGAAAACATGTCTGTTCCATGACGAAAAGTTTAGGTACAGAAAAGGAGTATGTCTTAAGAGCGCTGAATTGAATCGAAGTAAGCATTTATTGGTCAAATTTGTTTATCTCAGGCTTGTACCTGAATAGCTCATGTTTATCTCAGCTTAATAACAACATCCGAAAGTATCCTGTGCAAGCGAAAGCCATCGTTGCAGACCTAACCGGTAAAGTGTGACTGCGACCGATAAGCTTCTACTGTCGCCACCTTTTATTCGTTCTGACGGTCGTAATATGCACCCATTGATTTTTGAAACTTAGCGCACAATGCTTTTATAATGTTGGATGGATGCTGTTATAGAGTTGGCTGGGATATTTCATAAAACCTTGGGTGGCACTCAAGGCAATCAAGATTAAACTGTAGTCTAGCATCAGATTTAACTACAGCTATCTAAAATTAGCTAAAAAATTTATGACCAATTTTGGTCAGTTTAAGTCACCAATGGTTCTGTGGAAAAGTCAGCTGCAGTGGTCTTTCTCCATATCAATAAGAAGCTTGATGGAGCGATGCAAGAAATCAGGCGTGCGATGTAGTCAGGTTAATGTTAGGAACAGCCGTTCATGGCTTCGGGCAGTAAACATCACGCAGCTGTTGATAAGTCTCTTTTACCGTTTCCATAGCATCTTGACCGCATTTGCTGCCCATTTCGATACCATCCGCGCCGCTGATGCGTTCTGCGACCACTTTCAAATGCCTGAAAAAAAACGGTATGGATTGTAAATTGGTAACTGATTTAATAAACAGCCCAGTTGTCATTAACCAGCAGCTGATATCACATCCCAGGTATGGTACGCGACATTTACTATTGCGTCTACAGTCTACTCTAGACCATATTACGGATTATAAGCAGGTTCGTCACACAATAAACTGTGATATTTCCCAATTGGCGATTTGCGATAAACAGCCGACCGGCGCTCATTCGCTAGACCACAGGACTTGGAACAACGCGATCTGCGCTCGTTATGGATCTTTGCCTGTTTCGCTTTGCCAAAAAGTTCATGCGGCAAGGATCATACCGTGGACAGGCATAAGGCAGAATAATTCCCTCTTCTTCTATAGTTCCATTATAGCTTTACTTCTCGCATGAGCATGACCGCTGCCGGACTTCCGAATGTGCTTTTCTGAGTTCGGCCCGTGCCTGTGTGAGCATTTCATCTCCTAGGGAGCAGCGTCTCAATTACGTTTTAAATACTTTTTATGGCCTGTGCGCGCGATTTGTGAGCCTGCGCTCTGGCTTGCTTGTTAACTCGAGCTCTTATCGCAAACTGCGAAATGACTTTAAGTAAGCATGACCCTATAACCGAACTGTGATTTTAAATAATCTTCTTGACAGTTCCTGTATAGCGATGTACTGCTTGTTGAGAACGTACTGGCAAATATTCTGATGCGCAGCGGAAGCATTTTCGTTCTGTTCGTGCGAGGCAGCTGTCCCAAGTGTGCAGCAGTCGGAGAACTTGCGATGATCTCGTCCATCACAGTGCAATGCAGCGCGGAAGTACTTCACCGGTCCGATGGTGGTATTGCACAGCAGGCCCGTAACGATCTGAAATTCCGGTCTGTACCATCCACCATAATCACTTTTCTCGCTGTTGTAGACCTCGGGGCAGTGGGAGTACAGCTTTTTTATGCAGTTTCCCAAGTTGACGCCCCGCCTACAAAAGAGGCAGTTCGCGACTCGGATGTTGGCAGTACCTTGTTTGCTTGATCTGAAATACATACCGACAATAGGCATCGCCAAACGGTCGATATTGCTGCAGATCTGCCTCAGTTACTGGCCACAAGGTGGGGTTGGCAGTAGGGGGAAGCATGCGACCGATGAAGCCGTCGTCATCGCGGCGCAGCTCGGCACATTGTGCCTTAAGTTCCTCGCATGTATCCGCGACAACTGGCGGACCGAGGAACGCACAGAGAGTTAAAGCGACGATAATTTGCATTATCTAAATTGTCAGAACTATTGTGCCAGCGCACGGTAATTTTGCTACTAATGCGCTACGTTTAACAGCCTGGGCAGTCGAGCGTTTTTACTGTAACGGATCATAAAACGTCGCAGTTTGTCAAATGACATCTGGTAATGCACGCCCTATGTATGCATGTGCATCTACGGTACGTATTTTGAGATTTTATCAAATCTTTATCAAATCTTAGAGCAGCCTTTCGGCAAGATTGATTTTCTGATAAGGTCAAGGGTTATTGTGCGTGGACGGGCTGCTTCATATAAAAGTTGTCAGCAGCAGCGGAGCGATAACAAACGTACAGAATGACAGCCCAGACTATAAGCGGTCGAGCCTTATAAAATACTTTCCCCTTTATCAAATTTCTGAATCTTTCGGGAAGGCGCACTTTGTACATTTTATTATGTAGGCCTTTTTGAACTGAATGACGAATAATGGAGACGATACCGGGATAGCAGTTTTTGAAGAACTACAGATAACTGGTGTGAAGTGAGCGCAGTATTTGGGGGAAAAACGGAGCCGGTAAAAGTGAAACCAAATACAGAAAAACCGTGTGACTTTTACTCCAGGAGCACGTCTGTTGCAAAGTTTCCACCCGCTCACGGTTTATCGTAAACGAGAGTAATTCTCTCATTTACGATAAACAAACCGAAAAATTAAAAACGAACTGAAAATTTCATTTTAAAATGCATTTGTACATCTCATTTATCAGCGCACCATCATCCTTTTCGAAAGTAATAACTTTAATTGCAGCCATGAAATGCATACCACCAGGTTTACTGATTCCTAAGTGGAATTAAGGCAACCTAAAGGATTTACATTACGATTCCTTTGCTGTCTATCACTGAATACAAATAGTTAACTGACAGCTTAATATTACTGTTAACTATACAATGCATGACATAACGTTTCGACAGGAGCGCACGGGCCTTCCAGCAGGATGCGACTTTTGCAGTCTGTTTGCGAAAAGCGATTATTGTACTGCTCATAGTTATCGCTCTTGTAATGTAGCGGAAGTTGCTGGGCAACGTAGTACAGTAATACTACTGTAACTAAGCCTTACGCGTGCAGGCGATTTAGTCTTCTTTGACCTTTATTTTGCGTGCGTTTACGATGCTGACTGACCGATCTCCTGCTCTAATATTAAACAATTAGTTTTTACCTGTAATAATTACATTAAATTTTGATATGCCAAAAGCGATCGGCGTTAATTCACGGGAGTTTGTAAGTGCGGGAGTCACGGAGAACGTGAAGTCATCAAGCCAGTAACTGTACATCGAACCACCCAACGAATGGTAAGGAAATTAATTACTGCTGGACGTACGACAACATTTGTTTAAAGATCCTGATATGGAGCGATTCCTTGTATATGTAGACAATAAACAGTTAAAAGTTAAACAAAATTTAAAAAAGCCATATGTATATCCGGTTGAGTGTGCCCAATATGCTGTGTGTTCTTACTTTTTCTTAAAATTAATACACTGTTTTTGTTGGGGTTGTTGTATTCAAAAATCACATTGCTCGAAACAAATTCCGCACTGGCCACATTAAAGCAGCGTCGTTTTTAGCTTGTCAGTCTACCAGGTTTTCACGCGGACAACTTTGTACCATAGTCTGAAAAACCATGCAGTCGTGATAAACTGCTAGTATTCAGTTAGATGAGTAATTACGTTTACGTAATGCAATATCAGAATTAACGCGTGCGTGAGAAAAGATGAACCTGAGTGCAAAATCCCTACAGTCAATTGCGGTACGAGCCAAGAAAATCCCAAACTGGGGTCAGATATACAGATACCAAGACGGTGGTCAATTGAGCGGTACGGTTCACTTTTCTATGAATGCGCAGGTGGGCTTTTGCGCAGTAGTAGCTTGTCACTGGGCAGCTTCACAAAGTTTCGGACAGATGGCAGGGACTCCCCTGTCCAACCAGCCAACTAAAGGAAGGTCTGCACTGTCCGCGTTTTCGAACTTTGCTCGAAAGTAGAAGCGCATGTCTGCAGAAAGCCGGGCTAACTCACCACTATGCATTCTATTCTATGTAACTTGGAGGCGAAATTTCCGGGCGCATAGGAATTAAAATTCTTATCCTACTCAATACTGTAGAAATTCGGACTGCATGTCTTCTGGCACTTTCGTCAACTGCAGATGGTTGTTCAGCATCTTCCGCCAGAACTACCGTTCCATAGAGCCGAGTCTACTGCGTGATAGTGAACTTGAGCAGGAGTCGGTTAACTGATAGGTACTTGAACAAGAAAACGGTGGAAGGCGTTTGGCTTCGCCCTCTGTATACCACTTTGCGACATTCCCTTTAACGAGTATTGAGCTGCTCTACACAGCTTCATGCCATTGTAGCGTACTGCGATAAATATCTTTGGAAAAAAAATGTTAACTGAATAGTTGGGTGTATGAGCTGAGAGTTTATTTAAGTACAAAGTCTTATAAAAAATCAGCGGATTTTATCAGCGGATTTTTATAGGCGCTATTTCGGGGTCTTATTGATTTATTGAAAACGACTGTCGTTTCCCAAAATCCTTGAAGAGACGGCGGTCTGACGAACACATGTGTGAAAACGGAGTTCTCTTCCGTCCGTTTCTTGATAGTCTGAAATTTGCTCCGACGCATGTCGTGTTTACACACTTTAATAGATAATACTACCCGTTCAGCAGCTGCTCACAAACACGACTTGTCTTAAACTCACAACAACAAGCATAAATAATAATCGTTGCTGAGCACATCGGTTAGTACGTCAAAGTGCAAAACTTTTCCGAGGTGGCCAAAGTTTTCCAACTGTTTCTTAGTACTTTATATTATCCGGGGCAGTTGTTCTACTCTCTGGAGTCTGGCTCACCAAATCTTCTCCATGAGCGTTCATCCACCTGGTGCGGCAGAGCCATGGAGGGATTTTGTTAATCGGTCGTACATCTGAACGTTTGCCTTCAGGTATTTCATACAAGTTTAGCCGCCAGTACACACGATGCGCCCCCGAATTTCCTTAATGTTTGTTTCTATGTTACTGCGCTTCGACACCATTGCAAAAGCAGATAGATGAGCGTTCGGTTCCTGTTATAGTCATCGCGGCCAGACGTTGCACAGTTCATGTGCAGTCTGTGCACCCAGCTGGGAAACCGGAACTGGAAGCTGTAAGTCCGGTGCCGGCAGACCCACAGGCTCTCTCGGATCCGCGGTAACGGCTGGAGAATTGTTCTCGTAGCACACTGAATGAACCGTTCGGTAATGGTCCTTGGGTACGTTTCCTGGAGTGATGAATGTAGATTGTCCATTCACTGCCGGTGCCGGCAAATAGTTTATTAATGAGATAGGGACCCGGGTTGGTGGTGGCACTGGGAATCGTTCCGGTGGTGGAGCATATGCAGGATTCAGTGGAATGCGGCCTTAGGAGAATTATTCGACGGCATGTTCTGCGCACCAAGAAAAGGGGGAAAGTGGTATTCGGTCCGATACTGCTCCCTCGCATCCAGCCGGTGCACCAAATGGTTCAAGGTTTGATTTGTTCTCATTATTTTACCACAAACAATCACGGATAATCATTATATGCATGAAAGAACTGAAGTTATCCTAAAAGTCTAAAACGTACATGAAAGTATCTTTTTGGGTCACACACCACACAAAGGTGGCAACACCAAAAGCGGTAGTGCAACTCCGGAGCAACTATTAGTTCATGGGTAAGGTCTAATAGATTTTACTTCCTGAACAGTGCATATCGCATAATGGTACTTTCGACAAAGCAGATCGAAATCGCCGAACTACAAAATATGTTTTCTTGGCTACCGGATACGCATCTTCTACTCCGATTAGAACCAGCCTTCACCCATTAAGGTAAAGGCAAAGCATAAATCCAGGAAAATTTTCGGCGCTGTGCTGCAGTATCACTTGCGATGATTGCTGCAGTATCACTTGCGAGAAAATGAGCTACATTAAAGGCATCCTACTTAAAAGAGGACCACTAATGTTGTGGTAGTCCTACCCAGAACATTACGCCCTTCAGCGTTTGATACACTTTCTCTGTGGATAGATTTGGTCTATTCAGTACAGTAATCTCGACGTCTGTTTCTGCGATCAAAGCTGTCGTCATGGTGGTCTTGATTCGCTATTGGGCGTAAAAAGGTCACTTTATACCATTGAGATGCCTTGCAGCATAGTTCGCGTGCCGTTACGTTCGGACTGGAGTTGTAATTACAACTCAGTTTATAAACTGAGAGGCAGCGCAGTTGCTGGCCTTGAAATAACCGCTCGGATTTTCTAACAATATATTTGTGGGTTTCTGTTATAAATATTATACATGAACTTTTGACTTCCTACATCTTCAGTGCACCTTACTACGTAAATAAGTAACACTTTATTAATGATGCAACCGAATAAAGCAGGTGCAGGATAGCAAAACAACCAACTATTGTAAGAAGTACGGCCAGTAGCAACTTCGTGAAGTAGTTTATCCGCTTTATCGTAGGAACCAGGAATTCCGCGGAAGTTTTCGCAGGATCAAATACATATTTGTATGCTGTTCGGTGAAATTTTTAACGGTTGATCGAATCTTCTATTGGCAGTAAGCACTTCTGCCAAAACTTTCGGAAAAATCAAATGAATATACGGTATTTAGCGTAACAATAAATCAAATGAATTACCAAGTAACACAAGATTTCTTTACTTCATTATCTACAATTCGAGATTACAAGAGAGGCCTTAAAATCGAAAATCAACATCAACCACTTTTTGAAAAAAAATCTTATAAGCTGCCTTTACAAATGGTATCTCGCTTCTGAACATGGCAGACGCTAGACTGCCGCGAGTCGCGACCCCGTTTCTCAGACGGTTTTTCGTACAAAGCGCATATCTGTACATTGAAATTTTAATATTCATTTAACGCATACATTGTACATTGTATGTAGCCTGGGGTTTCCGGTTTTGGCAGCATTTCGGATGTCATCAGATGACATTCGTCTGCTTGCTGGGTTCGGAAACTAAGGAGTGTAACACTGTAAGTAATTAACTTGCACAGCGTACTTGACCACTAAACTTTTCCCGCGTGACCTGCAAATTCAAAACATATTCGGCGTGTCCAAACAATATAAGACCGCTCTCCAGACCGATGCGTCATAAGGCCGCAGAGTCGGCGCAGAAATATTTTGGCTCATGAAAATGTTTTTCGTTATTGACAGTTGCGCTGGTACAACTTTAACTGGGGGTCCATGTTAAACATTAAAGTGACGGAGAGATCAGTACGATAGGATTAATTACCGTAATAATCTATCCTACGGACCTACTCAACGACAGAGTATGAGCTAATAATCTTAATGTGTGAAGCGAGAACTGCATCTCCGACAATAAATTTAATTCTAAGCTCCGATCACTGCCAAACTCACGGAATGCGAGAGCTGATGATGCCCAAAGTACTACACACACGGACTTATACAGACACGGCGCATCCGTGTAGAAACCAAAAGTAAATCCAAAAACAAAAGAGGAAGATCGAGAATGTACCAGCAAACGATGGAAAGTGCAAGTAAAGCCGTCACTTTATGTACAGCATCGCTACGGTAGCTATATCACGTTAAACGCCTCTCTCAAGCAACGCCCACAAATGTCTGGCGCAAAATGTCAGCCTTAACTCGGCTGTGGAGTCAGGTGGCATCGCCGGAACACACAGGAATTACATGTGCTTGTAGAACAAATGCCTGTCAAAGGAAGCTGGTTAAAGCTCTCTTCTGATTAGCGCAAACCGGCGTGGCTACGTGACCCGCTATATGCCTACGTACATCTTGGCATGTACTAGCCTAATAGCTTTCATTAGACAGGACTGCGGTTACTTAATTCACTGTGCATCACTTTTGTTGGCCACACGGTAATCCAAGACTCGATCCAAGTATCTGTACATTGTCCGAGATCCGTTAAGCGCAGTCGCTTCGCCATCAAACTGAGCTTAAGCCCAAGACCAGTGCTAACGAACTGGCTTAGAACCAGAAATTATGTTTTTAATGATACAAAAGTCGGCTAAACGCTGCTCTGATCGATTTCTGTTTTTATTTCTCATTTTATGTTATTCGATTTGCTTCAGCATCATAACCCTTGTCCTTCAGGTGCTGCACCAAGCGCCCAACATAAACAATGGCGGTATCACATGCGACAATTGCAGAACATGCCCTATTAGCAGCACTCGGTTTGCATGTCTGGACTGTTTAAACTATGATTTGTGTAACAGTTGCTTCAAAACTGTAAATCACAGTGAACCTACAGATAGTTTCCTTGCCGTCAGAATTCAGCGCGCAAAGGAGGACCAGTTAATCCATTCACAAAGACAAGGTGAGGTTATATTATATGAAATGGCTACGCTCGAGAGTCGAGAGCCTCCTACGCTATGAGTTTTGGCTGCGCGTGTAAAGTTTTCCCGGGACAGTAAAGCCCCTAACAAAAAGTCTGTCTGGTATTTATCACGTCATGACAGCTGATAATTACGGGAAGGGTCACCTTTCAGTAAAACAAATATAAAATCTGACCGTACCGGTATAATGCAAGATCAGACATTGTCTGATAATTCCAATTTTCGCAACTCTCAGAGGTTATGGCGTCATAACTTAAAGTAGGAAACAGGTACGAGTTGTACTCGGGGGTTTTGAGAGCGGTCGAGCAATGGAGCAAACGGACAAATCAGGTCTTTGTAAATCCTGGCGGTAATGCCGAAAAGTCTGAAACTTATTCGCTACATGATTCATTCCCGTACAGTTCAGTAAACTCGTCTGCAAGAAGGCTGGCGGTTACCGCCCACACTGGCGAAATTCAGTTCCACTTCCCACAAAGAAAAGCATTACAACAACCTCTAAAAAGCGTGTGGTGGTCCGCTTAAAGCTGGTGGATAGCGTGATAGGCGGCTGCCCGAAACGGAGAAGAAAACTGTGGAACAACTGATCATGAGTCGAGTGCCACCTGGGATTATAGTCAGCACAATCAAGTGTATCTGGAGTTTATCTGCTGCGCAACGCATTTCCTCAAAAAGGTGGGCTAGAACTTCCTGCAGAGTAGGCTCTTTGCCACTCCAGCGACCAGTGCTTCCAAAGGCTACGTTTCCACATGCGGATGAATGGAGGTAGCATTGTGCAGCACATGTTTACGATGTAAAACTAATACGGTGTGCTCTGTATAACTGTGATAGCTGTCTTGCCCGGATCTACTGCTCCACGGGGTAAATGCCCAGTGGTCCACAGACTGGCTGAAACTGCAACTAGGGGGGAGGCGGGGACCGAGCCCTGGTTAGACGCGCTGTGACTGTGGGTAAAATATTCAAAAAGCTCTTCTTCCCCCCTAACTGCAGGCAAACTATATTTATGGCCTGTTTTACAAAAACCAAGGAGAAAAATCTGACTTACATTCTTCGTTTTTTGTTCTGTATCTGCTCCAAAATCGATCACGATTTCTGCCTTCGCAACAGACAAAAGTTTTAAGAATGGTTTTCGTGTTTTTAGTTTTCCAAATTACAAAGCCTTCGCAAACCGAATTTCATAGGAAAGTTCAGCAGCAATGGTTAAAAAAACAAAATGGTGAGGGCTCAATAATAAATCTCATCTTACACATCTGTACATGAAACCATTTACTACTTGTGCGCAGGAGTCCATTGTGCATAAGGGTCATTTTGGAAGTCCTTTCTTCATATTATTTTGATCCTTCAATGGCTATATCAAAATCGTTAATCGCGAACAGCTTTTTGACATGATGCCGAGCCATTTGTTGTTTAATTCTATCTCTTTATCTTCGTAGCGAATGTCCGCTCCGGAGCAGTCAACTCCACGTCGGATTTAGTCCGAATGCTTCAAGGAATGCAAGTGAGACGGCAAAACTGAACCATACTGCATCAATAATGAGAACGTTGCAAGCTGAGCGTCGTACGGCACTAATACAACAAAGGTGCCTTCTCTGCTTTGTGTTGTCTGATTTTCTATAATTATTTCTATCTGTGAAGTAGGGTTGTGAAATGAACGGTAGTAAAGCCGTCGTAGTAAAAGGTGCAGTTTGAGATATCGTGGTAGCAAAGTTACAAACATCGTGGGAAAACAAAGGAAATTCTGTGGCGGAAGTTTACCGGAATGTAAAATGAAAAAAGTTGTTGATAATTTTGCATAATACTGTACGTGAGCGCAAAGCCAGTGCACCACAGTATTTTTTATTCCAGCTTTCAAAATTAGCTTTACCGGAAAATATAGTTATTAATAACAATTTAATTATATAAGCAAGCAAAATTCTACACATTAAGTTTAACTAAAATTGCCAGATTGCTTGAATTCATACGAGCTGGCACATCTCACATAGCTTATCATGGCTGCGGTAGTACTTACTGCAATCTTCAACTTTATTCCCTGTTTGGTTTCAGTGTTTTACTTTCTACTATGTATTACAGAATAGTGAAAGTTAATATTAAAATGGTATTATAATAATATTGTACTTCGACTTTTATTTAGCTGAGAGGAAATGATGTTATGACTTTTTTGTTAACTAATACTTTTGCATTTCGCAATCGGATCGCTAACAAAAAATGATTTAAATTCTTTAAATTGTACAATGCATGAGATAATAACGTTTCTGCAGTAACGCACATGGTCTCCAGCAGGGTTCAATATTTGCGGTCTGTGTGCGGAAAACGAGCTTTGTACTGTTCTATGCCGTAGCGGAAGTTGCTGGGCAACGCAGTAATAATGAGACTTCTCGCGAGAAGGCGATCCAGAGTCTAATCGGATTTTATTTTGCGTGTGTCTACGATGCTGGCCGACCGATCATGACGTGCAATTTATTATATTAAAAATTTAATTTTTTATCTTGAATAATTAATTTTGATATTCCAAAAGCGATCGGCTGGTAATTCACAGGAAATGTTTGATTGTGGTGGACACTAGACACGGAGAACGTGAAGTCCCTCTAGCCAGTGTTTATACACCTGAACCGCCAAGCGAGTGGTAAGGTAATTGCTCGTACATACGCTTTGAGTCATGTGATGTGTTGATAGATCTTGACATGGAGTGCTTCCTAATCTGTAGACAGTAATCAACTAACAAGCCACTGCAAACAAATTTTTAAAAAAGCCGTATACCCTATTGAGTTTGCCAGATACTTATGTCCTTTCAACATACATACAGTATTGTGCTATGGTTACGATCAGGGCCGTAGCGAGGGTATAGGCGCACTGGCGCGCGCCTACCCGCGCGCCTACCCCACCTCGGCCAACTTTTGAATAATATTTGCGCCCGAAACTGGCGCACAGGCGCACGGGCGCAAAATTTCTGGATTTTTCAAAAGGCGCAGCGGGCGCCACTGGCCGTGCGCCCGTGGCGCAGATTGGACTTTGGCCGGATGTGCCTTGGTCTGACGTACGGCGATCCAGAACTATAATACTTAAACTATTTATATTAATTAAAGTATTAAAGCCCGGCCTGTTTATACGGGCGTAACGGGCGCAGGCTTCGAATTTATGGGCACAGTGGGCTCAGACTGACCTTCGAAGCGGGCGCAAATGGCGCAGCCAAATTGCGCCTACCCCATCCCACGGACCTCGCTACGGTCCTGGTTACGATTTAAAAACAGAACCATATATTTCAAACCGAATCCGTCCTCCTGGGTCCGTTCAGTGGAGATATCTTCAAATCATAGCATTAACTGAGCTCTGTCGGGCGATCCGTGTGGAATTTGTATGGCTCCCTTTCGTTTTCGTCTCCGTTCATTTGTCGCGCCGACCCTCCATAAGGCAGCAATAGGGTCGCGCGTGTGCATATCGGCTATGTCAGAATCGGACTCGCATTTCGGCTTCCGCCACATTACGACGGTCGGACGGTGGTCCTTTAGTTATACGGACCACTTTTATCTGAATTCGCCGGTGGGCTTTGTGCAGTGGTACTTCTCTCTGGGCAGCCCACAAAGTTTCGGAAGGGTGGCAGGAACTTCCGTGTCGAACCAGCCAACGACAGTCACCTGAACGCATGCACCGTCCGCGTACGTGTTCGTACTTTGCTCGGCAGTAGAAGCGCATGTCTTCGGAAAACCGCGGTAAATCCAGAAAATCCGGATCTTATGGTTAAAAAATTTAAAAGACTATCTACAGCATAATAATTTTATGCACTTTACCTGCTAGGGTGCTTTAGCAAATGTTGCAGTCAGGGTCACTGTGCGTAAAAGCTTGACTGGCGTCTGGTTCGGTCTGGCTTCCTCGGTGGGTGTGAGATTCACCGAAATGAAAACGCTCATACTAACTGGTATTTTCCATGTACTTTAGAGGCGAAATTTCCGGGCGCATAGCATTTCGTATCGTACCACTACCGTAAGAATGCCGACTGCATGTCTTCCGGCCATTTCGTCAAATGCAGATAGTTGTTTAGCCTCTTCTGCCAGAACTGCAGTGCTACTGCGTGATCATAAATTTGAGCAGGAGTTGGTTGACTGATAGGGCCCTGAACACGTGAACGGTCGAAGGCGTTTGGTTTAACCCTCATGTACCACATCTGGACGTTCTCCGTTCCGAATAGTGAGTGCTAAACACAACTTCATGCAGTCGTAGCGAATCCAGCGGTAAATATCTTTATTAAGCAACTCCCAGCTCGTACAGGAAATTATTCATTTAAAATCGCTTTCCAAAGTGCTACAAAAATTAATGGAGTTTTATTTGCGCTATTTTGGCGTTTTTCGGATAATTGAAAACGACTGCCGCTTCCCGAAATCCATGGAGAGGCAACAGTCAGACCAGCGCACGAGTGAAAACGGAGTGAACATCCGTTCGCTTCTTGACAGTCTGATCGGAACTAACTCAGGTGCAAAACTTTAGGGGAAGGCCAACGTTTTCCCTGTTTCTCGGGCATTTTATCTAGATACTAGGTCTTTATTACCACAAAAAATAAAACGGTGCACACGAACCCAGCTTTATAGTATAAGATCAATTAAAATCATTACCATATTCTAAAAGCCCATATTCCAAAACCCGGCAAGCCGGTATTAGTTTTTCTAAAAACTCCTTCAAAAACAGGAAATCTTTAAAAACAGGAAATAATCATTTCGGCGAAAATCAACCACCTAAGTATCTCCATATTTTACTAAGTGTGGTATATGTTGAAGTACGTATGTACCAGTATCGGAAAGTACGCATCTTAATCGTAGCTCGACAAAACAGCAACTAATTTTGCTGACACTGTTTGTCAGCAACAATACGGACAGCGTCGCTAGGGACAAGCGCGCGTCCTTTGTACAAGGTCGAGGCATATCTCACACTAAGGTACATCAGTAATTAACAGAAACATACGATTAACTGTTACTATATTCGGTTGTCCGGTCATAAAGTCCGCAAAATGTCCAGAGCACAGTGCCCGCTAGGTGAACGAGTGACCGAACTTCCGCTACTGCCCAGTTCGCGGTCGTCACCGCGAGAAGCACACAAGCGAGAGCTATGATCTCAATCATCCAACCCGTAGCCAAGTCCCGAGCCATGAACCGCTCCGAAGGGCCGCGATCACCGTGAACACGCGTTCACCTTCATCCATTATACTGCAACGACCATTTTAACAATCTTCACCGACACTGTGTGTGTATCCGAGTTGCTCTTTGCCACTCACCTCGATCTGCGTCGGCTGCTTGGGTTTCGTGCATGGATAACGGTGACCAGGGTACCCTTCCAAAAGTATCCCCTGGCCTTGTGGCAGCGGGCTTTCGCTATGATGTGCCGTCGGAATGCCTCGCCATGGTTTTAGAACCGCATACATGGCAGCTGACCATCTCTTCAGCCGAGGGCCGTGTCTCGCTGAAATGCTGCCTGCGACGTTTGCCTCCAGACTTTTTTCGACGAAGAGACGGTTTGTTCTGAGACGGTTCAGTCTCCGCTTCAGAGACCACATTACCCTCTAAATATACCGATAAAAAAATAATTAAAAGAAATAGTCAAACGTCAAAAATAAATACTGGAGAACCACACCACGTTTTACCGCCAAAGTCTCTCTCTAAGTCGAGCATGAACAAGCAAGCTTCATACTCACCCAGTTCGCGATGGTCAATAACCCGATCCGCTTCACTGCACATCGTGCCTGCTGTTCCCTGTTCGCTAGCAGCACTGGAAAGCAGCATGGATGCGGCGGCCCACTGCACTGTCTGGCCAGGTGACGGCAGACAGTATACCTCCACGGGGGACTGCTTCGCTACAGGCGGCGCTTTGACAGCAGTCGCACGGGGCACGGTGTGTGGTGCATCCTCTCCGCTATATATACCAGTTTCAACGTTATCCTGTAACCAGTAGTGTAAAATATAAATACACCGCAGCAGCACAATACGAGCTGACTAATTCACACCACAATGTCCTCAGTCTCGCTGTGACGCAGTGCCGCACCGGCAAGCGTTTTAACCGTATGATATAGGTCTTTCTCAATCTCCAATAACAGAAAAAGGTAGCATGAAAAAGTTCCGTCTGTTCACATAAGTCCGGAATAAGTACTCGTACTTAACCAATCAAAAGTAGTACGTTATTCTACCTTCGACTACGAGTATGGCTTCTTAGTTCACAAAATCCAGAACCTGTTTAGAACCGAAATGTTTCTTTACATGGCGCTCATTGGTCAGTGATTCAGCGTAAGCTTTTACTTAGTACGACCACGAATGCCAAACGAAAATTTTCCAGTCTTTATTTTAATCATAATCGAATTCGACACTACCGAGTCCAGACTAATGACCTAATAAGTTCTACTAAAAATTTCTTTTATCTTACAACCAAGGGCGTGTTAACTTTCAGCACAACGTTTGATCAGTTCAATCAACGAAGTGGCGAACCAACCTGAAGTATATCGGGCTTGTTTGCGAAAGAGTTGTCTGAACTCCTTTGTCAGACTGATGCAGCGCAATAAATGCTCTGACAAAAACAAAGCCTTCCGCCACTTTAATGCAGCTATGCACATTTAAAATCTGGAAATTCACACCTTAAACAAAACAGTATCAACCGGTTTCATCGACTGGTAACTAACAAAGTTAAAAAGAAACCGGCTAATCGGAATGGCCGACGCTTGGTTCCCACATGTTCCGAAACAAACTAGCTTTAATGGCCTCTGCACAGCTTTTTATCTTTCAAAATTGACTCAAACTTAATCAGCGGAATTTTGAGAAGTAACTGGTTACCGGCGACTCACGCAAGGCCTTCAGTGTGGTTGAACCTTGTATTATATAATTTGTATAATTATTCTTCTTATTATATGATTCACCTTCAACTCTCTGGCTCACCAAATCTTTCCATGAGCGATCATCCGCCTGGTGCGGCAGAGATATGCAGGATCTGTTGATCGGTCGTACATCTGAACATTTGCCTGCAGGTATTTCATACAAGTTTAGCCCCCAGTAAATACGATGCGCGCTCAAATTTTCTTAATGCTTGTATCAATGTTACTGCGCTTCGACATCTAATGCAACAGCAGATGTGCGTTGGGTTCCGGTTATGATCAATGCGGCCAGACGTTGTACTGTTCGTGAAATGTCCTGCACAGGCAAATTTGGAAACAACCGATCGCGCAGCGTTTTCCTCATTCTTGTTCAGTTAGTAAGTTTTATCCAATTCATTATCTTTATAATTCAATCTAGGTTGGTGCATTATCACGATTCTCCCGTTTTTCAGATTCTTACTCGTAAATTAAACTAGAATGATGTTCAACGAGTTTCTTCCTGACGTACGTATCGGTACTCAACTTAAACCTTCCAATATCACCTTTAAAATCGTCGTGAAGCGTCTCCCGTATACGTTTCTGAAAGTCTTCTATTCGTAACGCTTTTCCCTAACCATCTTTAAATGGCGCTTACATAGTTGCCCAAAACAATTGCATTGTTTCCGCTATAACACTTTTGCCACGTCACTGGCCATCTTAACGGTCTTTCCATTGCAATTAAAATATTAGAATAGTACTTGGTGTCGTATAAACGACATCTTACACACGTCCAAAGTAACACTATTTTGGTATCTCGCTTCTGAACATGGCAGACTCTAGACTGGCCGCGACTCAGTTTCTAAAAAGTTTTCGCGTACACAGCGCATATATTGCAGTTTACTATTCATTTAACGCATACATTGAAGCCTGGGGTTTCCGTTTTTGGCAGCATTTCGGATGTCATCAGATGACATTTGTCTGCTTGCTGGGTTCGGAAACTATGGAGCGTAACAACTGTAAATAACTTGTACAGTGTACTCGACCACTAAACTTTTCCCGCGTGATCTACAAAAATTCAAAACGTGTTCGACGTGTGCAAATAATACTTGTATAAGAGGGCTTTCCAGACCCATGCGTCATGAAGCCGCAAACATTTTTAGACATTATTTTGAAAACATTTATCGTTATTGACTGCTACGCTGGTACAACTTTAAACGAGCATCCCGGTATTAATATACATTAACGCCTATGCTCAAGAATCGCCGACAAATGGTTTGGGGCAAAAGGCCAGCCTCAACTTGGCTGCTGAGTATCGTGGTACTATATCGTCAGAACACGCAGGAACCAGTAGCATGTCAGGCCTGGACACATTCCTCCACGTTCTGGAAAGATAAGATGTCGACCAATAACTCTGGACGGAGGTCACAGTAGTCATAACTCGCGCTCGTGCCTACCTGGTCAATCGGTGCAAGCAGCCCGGTATTCTACCGCCGTTAACGCAATTAAATCGTAAATCATATTAAGACGGCAATTAGACGGTTGCACGTTCGACTTTATGTAATACGGTGGACAAAGGGCATCGCCACACAGTTTATAGAACACAATCAGAAACAACTGCACATCTCATTAATTTTTTCACCAGGCATATGTCGCCCAGTTGGTAAAGCTAAGTTTACTGTTAACTTTCATGTATTGGTCGCATTAGTGCGCAGAATGGTGTTCACACGCGTGCTGTTGAGAAAGTGACAAGTGTCACGCTGTCTGCTTGATGTAATGAGCAACCACCCTCGGTGGCTGGCACTGGCAGCCCGTATAGATTTCTTGCATTTCCTATGGATATGGAAATGATCAGTTTTTTGCTACCCTTTTCCCATGTTTCTGTATTTTTCCCTTTTGGGCGATACTCTTCTTTTGTGGGAGACCCTTGCTCTCCCACCTCCAGATTTATCTGTTATGTCGAGGGGGTGTTAGACCTTCCTCGTGACACAAGCATTTCAACGTTTGGTCTACCAATCTGCTCACTGCTGCCCTTATTCGAAGATCGGGCTTTTGAAGTTTGGAACATTATAAGCGGAACGCTGATTCCACGGACGGAATTTGTCCGATTGCCGTGGCATTTAGTATCTGGGAGACTGGAACCCAATGCGAACCTCTGCCTGGAATTCTCCCATACAAAACGAACCTGGTAGATGGAGGAATCGTAGGTCATCATCACCCCAGTACCCACTGAAACCTATTGCACGCGACTGATGTCAACCTGGGCCAAACAAACACGGTAAACTTTGACATTCTGTGTCACCTTTTTTTGGTTTACTGAAGTCGCGAGTTAGGTTGTGAAATATTTTTGTACAGTGAATTATATGTTATCCGAACACGACTCATTGTACGAAAATGTCAACTTTATTTCGCGGAGGTTTGCTGCGTGAAGCAGGCTGTTCGAAGGACTTTCCCTTCCTTGAACGGCTCCATGTCAGATGTCTTAAGTATCTGGCCTAGACGTAAATCATTGGTGTCAAGTTGTCAGCAAAATATTCACAAGGCGCTGACGACTCTAAACAAAAAACAGAACAAAAAATCGGTTGAATTTCTTTGTGACAGAAATGCAACCAATAGTTCTGGTTTGGCTCTTCCCTGCTCTAATAACTGAGTTACTCGGGTCCTACGGTCTGTCAGCGGAAACAGTCTCCTCCTTTGGTCCTTCCGTTGAATCACTCCACTCATATAACATCCTAATTATTACGCAATACCGTAGCAGCTAAGGCAGCACTGAACAAGCCTTTCAAATGACTCTAATGCTAGATCCAACTGTGATCCAGATACGGAGACCTAAACGGAATAGATCCCGTGGAAGTGAGCAATGCGATCTGGATTGCGAACTACGCGAAATCACGAAACGTCGCACCGCTAATTGCTGACTTTTAATAAATTGAAAGTTCCGACAACAGAAAATCAATAATGATCGGCGCAGCTCGATCGTAAAATCGTAGAGCCAATTCTACACTGTGCATCACTGTGCAGCACGTGCTATGCCGCGCCCACTGACACAACTCAAGCCAATCAGAAGCGAGACACAACACAGACACGTAATCCAGTGGCGAGTAGCGCCACGAGCGTGAACGCTAGTGAACCCCCGCTCACATGACAATTTTTGACTGTGCGATATTATACGGATAAGTTATGAGTAACAGAGTGAAGCAATAAAATAATTTACATAATATTACAGTGATAATCTGCGCATCAAAATTAAGCATGCACCCATTCCACTATCGGACGCTGCAAACGGGTGCACGCGAAGTGAACTACGGGAACACAGTGTTAGTGAGACGGGACAGCGGCCAATGGTGGCTGGGATATGTTCAGGATACTGACGGCGACAACTTCTTCGTCGATTTCGACGCCAGCACAGTCAACGGCCAGTGGATCCACTGCAGCCATCTCTGGCCACACCGTTTTTTACCTGATACAGTGACAAATTCCTGCGGCGTCTCTATACACGTAGCACTGCGTGATGAGGACTACGGGCCCATGGTTTCTCGGTCGTGCACCCTCATCGACAAACTGCATGATTTGTTTTACGCTGTGCGCATCAACGATACAAACTACAGCGGTTCGGCAGTCTTGCGCATCGCCCATAAATGGCAGCTTATCGGAAACCTACCAGCAGTCCGCGGCCAACCCAGCTTCCTCGGTCGAGCTAGCGGATTCGTGTACCGGAAACATGTCATCGTTTTCCCCCAAGCGCAGATGCTGGGTAGTATGGCTACCTTGAGAGCTCTGCCCAGCTGTCTGCTGAACACGTGCCAGTTAGGGCTGGGGAGTGGTGATGTGTGGTGTGATGCCAGTTGTCAGTTCACGCTGTCAGTGGACTTCGATAAAGCTACTTTTCGGTGTGCTACCGCCGACCATAACTGGCGGGGCGCGCCGTACCAGTTCAAACTGGACTGCCGGATGTTTGTACGCGTGGAAATGGACACTGTCACATTCGTGTGCGCCGAACTGCACGGTGACGCGGACGGTCGCAGTGTTTTGGAATGAGGGTGCTCTGGAAGAGGCCTGCCACAACTGTCTCCTGCAGCAACCATTACGGAATGCAGGCAGTATTAGCGCTGCTGACAGTGACGCGGTCAACTCAAAGGAAGGTCAGTACAGAAGCGCCGCTGCGCGATGGTGGGCACGTACTTAAGAGAAGCCCAAATATGGAGAGTTATGGTTATCGTTTCGGGTTAAAGCATGTGTTTTCAGTTAACAAGGCGCTGCCCCCGTGGCGACGATTGTGAAGTCCTTAGAAAAATCAGTTTAATTAGGGATTTGCGGGGCGGCAGAACAATTTGACGATTTCAGCGGAATGTATTTTTCTAGATATTACGGAGAGCACGCGGATCACCGATCTTCCCCATCCCATCCTGGCGTTGATTCTGCAAAATATGGACTTCTGCACGCAGTTGCAGTCGAGCCGGTAAGTCGAGTTATATGGTTGAACCTCTCTAATTTATGTTTATCGATTTCTGACTGTTTATCGATTTTGGTTATCGATTATCGTAAAAGCCGATCACATGGGCGTCAGTCAGAAATTGGAAAAACCATTTAATTATTGGCGTCCCGTGTGCTTTAATAAATAGAAGTATACGTAACTGGATACGCCAAGTACCAATGAACTTTATGTTTTTGACTATCAGGGTGTGCGCTCTCTGGGAACTACTGTTGCGCAAAGATGTCTCTAACCGGCGCAACGTTATTGTGGAAATTGGGCAAACTCCCTTAGAACGTTATCCAGAAAAAGAAGATCCCAGTGTCGAATACCATAGCAGCGCTTACGCGTCTGACCCAAGAGTATGTGCACTGGATGCGCATTACACCGGCATAGATCTGTATGTGCATGTCATCATGCACACGCTGCCCGTGTGTTGCGTTCCCGTACACATACCATGTGGTAAAACTTGCGACTGTCGCTACAGTATCAGAGATTCGTATGCCGGCTGATTCCGACGCTAGACCGTGTCCTCACGCAGCACACGGAGACGTTGACGCTGATTGAGGAGGGCCCCGGGTATGAGCGATGTTGGTGGAAATGCGCATGGAGATTGATGACCATGGTACGAGTACTGCAAGCCAAAGGCATTCGCGTGCCGCTGCTGATCGTTAAGAACGCTTGTGATCCCAAGGAAAAAGGAGAACACGGCTTAACGCTTCTGGAACTGAAGCCAATGAGCAGCAATAACGAGCAGGATTACGTGTGCAGCATGCTGTCGCAATTGATGACCGTGTGCCAAGAGCTGCTGTTAATCAACCACACTGTGCGAATTCCTACGGGCCAACATTCACCCATAATGCGGCTGTTTGGGAATGACCCGCTGCAATGGCCGGATGGTATTGATGGTGGACAATGGTTTCACGTTATACGTGACGATAGATACGGCCCGAATGGCCCACCTGCTCTGTTGGACATTATTATTCCGCTGCTGCGCATCCCTTCTACGGATACTGCCGCCGAACAGCGGCAACGCTTCCTCTCTGTCCTGAACGACAACTGCCCGGCCGTTACTCCACGAGTACGCAAAAAGGTCAAAGCTGTGCATGCCCGCTGGGTGCGGAAGTGGACATATCCCGACCGCTGGACGGCCATCCGCGTCTTTCTCAACTTGTGAGTGTAGAAGTGAATTACTACATTGGGGGGTTTGCCTTCTGGTATGATACACAAATGCAATACCGGTGGTGCTTTCTTCAGGTTCAGTGGCTTCCGCTCGGATGACAGCCCGCGATCGTGGGATGCAGTGGATCTGCGGAAAATAGACATTTCCATGCTTAGTAAACTGGCCCTGACGATACTGGATGGATACTACAAATGCTGACGCAGAATACTTGAATGTTTTAGCGGAATGCTGTCGAATATCGGCATGGAAGATGTTTCGTACACGAACTCGCAAGATGTTTATAATGTTAACTGTAAGCGATCGCGGTTATTATTTTTTTGTCGTACGGCATGTGTCTGGCTCAGTATCTTGTATGTACTATAGCGATTCGTATAATGAGAACCTCTAGAGCTCTTCACTGTTTTTTACATTCTGGGCAACAGACAAGTAGAAATCTCCTCATTGTTCCAGACAGAAGGTTTTTCTAAAATTGAATAAGATTACTGTTAACATAATTATGCATTAGAAAGATTAACGAATTGTGCAGATGTTATAGACATGCGATTCTTCCCTGATCACACTAATGATCTCCGTATCATTTATGGATAAAATATAATAAAACTCCGAGAATTATTCATACAATCATGCATAAACAATCTGGTCACGCTGATATAATATAATATTTATTATAATATTACATGTCTGCTTCTCTCCTGTACATACCAGAGTTATACCAGAACTGATAGACGCATCAGTAAGAATGGGTACACGCCATGGATGCTAAACAGTAAACACTATAACAAAAACGCAGTTTTAGGAGGTTATAAAAAGAATATTTCCTCTAAATTGTCATGATGGGGTATTGTGCCCATCACGCTCATGGCATTTCCTCTTTGAATCTGTATGGAAATCCTTTGCCGGAAAAATTCTTTCGCGCGTGGTTGCCCGGTAGCGGCCGCGATGAGGTGTCCGAATTTAAGGACTGGCTTTTTAGCTCTGCCGCCCAAAGGTCCGCACATTTCGAAGGCCGCTGGCATATACCTTGACTGCAGCCACGCATGTTTTGCGAGTTTCTTTGTTTCGGCCATCTAGGATGCGGCACCGCCGTTGACGGATGTTACGGTCAATATATAAATCTGCCAGAGTGTCCACACGCGTCACGTCAATTGCGAATGGCTTTCCACGCTCTCATGGGATAAGCATAACAACGTCTGGCCTTTTACTGCCGGCTATGACCAATCCTCTTGATTCCATTCTGGCAGGGAAACCGGCAGGGTGTAAAAGGTGGCAGTGGCACCTGCCACTGGCAGTTGCCACCGGCAATGGCATGTGCCATTTCGCGAGTGGCAAGCGGTAAAACGTGGCATTTTTCAGAATTACGGAAACAATTCAAAATCATACTGTCATTAAGAAAATTTATTTTGAAACGAATCAGATCTCATGCAGCTGATCTTTGGATACTCTAGCGTAACTGAAACAGCGCTTGTACTGCACAGAATGCTACCTAGCACATTCAGTAGCTCTTCACGTTATCGTCAAGTTTAGTTTTCTTTCGTATTCGGCATGGTTACCTGTAACCTGTGGTTCGTTTTTGGAATTTCTTAGGATTTCTTAGACTCCCTAAGACCCTCCGGTTTTCTTAGACGTTTTCTACTTTTTCTGAGGTTTCTTAACCTTCCTCGGTTTTACGTTTTCTTAACATTTCTGAAATATGATATGTACGAGTACTATGTGATTCAAAACTCAGACGTGTGCGAGCTGTACCATACCATCTGCATCATGGAATTGCTATAAACTGAAATAGGACGCATTTATCGAAATTTCGTGTTAGGGTGTTGCTTTTGCCAGGAGACTAGGTCGTCGCCAAGTGAATAACAATGAAACTTAAGAAATTACCACGCGAAAAACTTTCTGCCTCAAATGGGTGCACAAAGTCCACAAAAAATTGCGGTGCAAGCAATAAATAATCGAAAAGGGTGCCGATTGTAAAACGGGGTGCAAAAGGTGGTGACTGTAGACTGTAGTAAGCGGGGGTGATAAGGGTCCCATAGTATAACTATAACCCAGTTTGTTTTTTTATTAAGTATATAACCCAGTTTGTTACCCCAGGGGTTCTGAATTTAAACGTAAACCGGTCCGGCGGAACCGGTCCGTAGTGTATTTGGATATCACTGGTTAGTGATGATAAGTAGTGTTTTGTAAATTACGATTGGCCATACCAGACTCGACCTGAGTCGACTCCCTTACATTTTGGCCTGCAACGAAAATCTAGCAACCTAAGACGTGTAAATAGCCAGAAGACATAAGAAAACCTAAGAAACCAAGAAGATTCAGAAATTTAAGAAGCCTAATAATATGAATGTGCGGCGACCCAAACACCAGGTAGCGGAAGTGGCAGCCGGCAGGATACCTTAAACGCGGAGAATGCACATGAGTCCGGTCACGAGTTGTGAGATGGTAGCGAAGAAGATGCCGGTTATTACGGTGTTCCGATGATTGCAGTCTTATAGGCTATTTCGTTGTATTAGAAAACAAGATATCTTGGCATTTGCCACTTGCCACGTTTTACCGCTTGCCAGTAAGCTGCCACTGCCAGTGGCAACTGCCAGTGGCAGGTGCCACTGCCACCTTTTACACCCTGCCAGGGAAACCGCTCGTATTTTGCGCGCGAGCGAACTGATGACTCATGTTACATGAGCGTGCCCAAATTGTTTATGTAATATGGTACCGGGACAAACAACTAGTTGCTGATCTAAAGCTTTGCGCACTATTTCACGATGAAGCCGGAATTTCCAGCTATTAACACAGCATGATATTTTTTATTCCCGCCGTTGAGTGGCTAGTGCAGCGACAAACAAAGTACATGAATCAGCGCAAAATAACTTTACTACGTCGCACCTGAAATGAATGGAGAGAATACACGATCGAGGCCAAAGTTGCGAATCAATGGTAGCCAGGTTTTTCCTGCAGCTTCTGATTGCCTTAAATTGTTGCGGTTAAATTTCGGCGTGTCACGGTATAACCAATACCGTCCCAATATGTGCTCTCCTCTAACAAAAACGGCTCCGTTATTCTTTCGACTGCACTGACACGAGCATCGTCTTGAGCGCCAGACAGCGCGCCTTCGTCTGGATAGGTCGCCAGGAGCTCTCGAGCGATATACTGCAGCCAAAGTGGAGAGCGTTCGATCTTCCCGAACGTAATTCCTGCCTCATAAAATCCCTTTCGATCGAATAGCGAGGAGAATAATTCGGAGTTTTTTGAGACACCGAAATAGCTATAAAAACGACAAACCAAAGTGAGTGATATTTATAACCAAACATTTTTCATGCAAAAGTGCTCAAATTGCAGAATAATTATAACAAAAATATCCTTAAATATTCATACGTTAACGTACAGCGTTACATCCGCGCCGGCGTGCTACTATGGCTACTGGCTGCTTCCGAATAAAAATGTGCTTGTGAAAAACCAACATGAATTAAGTGGATGCTTGGGTGTGGTGAACGCCCACAGACACCGTCGACTGAACCGTTCCACACAGCAAACGCTATCAGAATCGATCCAGCTATCGATTTGTTTAACCTTTTGATTCCGGGCCCATTGTCCGAATCTGAGTTACGCACTATTGAGGGAAAGATGCGTTTGGATCAGCCAACGGAATACCATCGCAAATACAGGCACTACTGGATTGGGTAACTTTCTTTAATTAACACCTATCTCACAACTAATCATATTAATTCTTTAATTCAGTACAGGTTGTTTTTGCTGATGGTTTGTTTCGGAACTCTCACACCAAGAACCAACGGCAAAGGCTCCGCGGGCCAAAGTGGAGCGAAATGGCAGTATAATTGTACATGTTCCAAGTGGACTGCGGTTAATCGCGGCATGTCCAACCATAGCATATTGGCGTACAAGGTGATATTTTGCAGGGTCAATTCTTCCAATGCAACTTTTGGTAAAGATGCATCGCTTTCCCTCAAAATATCCGAGACATGACGAATTATACAGTCCAGATGGCATCGCGCCGCATTTACTACTGGATCGTCATAAATGCAGTGCTCGTACACGGTTTCAGTTGTTACAGTAACGGGGAGGACCATTACAGGTTTTGGTTGAATGTGATTCGTTGGCCAACGCAGAATTAACCTCTTAGTCGCGTGCGTCAGTCGCTTCTCCAACAACCCTACAGCACGGGCGCCGTTTTTCGATATTTCAGGGTCCTCGAGATTATAATGTTTTGCCCATTTCTGCAGGTCCACGATGACGGTTCTCTGCACAGCCAGCGAATCACAAGTTTCGTTCCATCTTTTGGACACGCTATCAAGCAGATAATGTTAAAGGAGAATCCATTTTCTGGAGGGTGGAAAACTGAGTAGGTATTTGTTTGTGTTACTTGTTTTTTTTACACTCCCTATACAAGAAGTGCGTAATATTCCGTGCATGGAGTTAAAGTTACTACTACTCCCTGCCGGAAATAAAATCTTCCGTCAAAACGAAGAAGTTCCGCTAGTGAGTTACAAGAACATCGTTATGCACGGTTCGTTAGGGTCACACTAAGGGAATAATTCGTACAGCGCCTGCTCGTACAAGTTCGGGCCACTGCACTCACTCGCACTAAGTGACGTGCAGCGCAGCGCTGAGCTCACACGGAGTAATGAGTATAACACGTAAAGGCACGTCGCAGTTCCAACGTCTGCACCAGTACAGCTGATGTTCAGAGTAGGAGCGATAAAACTTACTCATCTCATGCAAACATTCCACAAGTGAAGAACCTTCGCCTGGAATTCAACGTAGGAGCTCCTTTTATTCATGATGATTTCCATTATTATGAAAGGTAGATTTCAAGCTTTACATAGTAAGAACTGTGCGATAGCGTCTTCTAAATGTCTGAATGGACAGATAACTGGGACCACAACGACTCAACATACAGGAGCTCCTTGTTGCTGCCTTTCTTCAAACAGCGATTCACAAAGGTACGTTTACTGCGTTTATCGCTGCAATTTTGCATTTTTCTTTTAGAGACAACCACAGTGTAGACTGTTTATGAGTCGATGCTGGTTTTAGGTGCTATTCCGTCAGCGGAGCTCCGCACTAACTTGTCCCATCTGCACCGTATTCCTTTACGGATAAAAAAATGAAAAAAACAGTCTAAATAAACCACCAACACCAAATGGACAATTAAGTTATAAAAGAAAACTAGGTCGCAACAAAAACTCCAACAAATTTTAATTGTTTTTACTATTAAACAATTTTGCAAGAACTGTTTGGCATTTGCTGCTTTTAAAATGCTGTGCTGTTTGGCTATTTATTTCCCAATTGGATAATATTGTGCCAGTTAGCGTTAGTGTTTCAATCCCGCCTAGTGGTTTTGCGCAAATACGGTTGGGTGAAACCTGGCCACTCACAGAGCGGATAAATGCTCGACAGGCCAATGCGAGAGCGGACATACTAACGTGCTCCGTTGATATGTGGAGTCATATCAACGCAACACGCTACGATCTCACTTTTTCCGGGAGGGACTTACACCGCACAAGCTGAAATATCAAATATATCCAAATACGAAAAAATTCGAGCCCAAATTGGCTCCGGCAATACTTGACAGGACATGGAATGGCCGGCAAAATGATTCCGGGGTGACTCGGTAGTTTACTTCCCGTATTAAGCCTGTAAATTCATTACACACGATCTTTCTGTAAAAAGTACTGTACTAAATCATATTCTCCGTCAAACTACGAGCGCACTCGCCGTGCAATTGAGTGTTTCAACGAAGCAAAACACAGCTTGCAATATTGATATTGCAGTATGCTGCATTAAGTCAATCGTGCGTTGAAACGCCAGGAGCAGGATAAAGCTGTCAAACTACCTGAAAGCAGCGGGGTATGCGCACATGTACCGAACCATGCCTATTTTTAACATACACTGCATCATGTACAGATACACTGCTGATGAACATTACTTACTCGCGCAACCATAACATCTGTAAATGTACGATGATTACGATCTCTGCATGATCCAGTACTTAATGGCTTAAAAGCCTGACATAAGCCGGAAATAAGAATTCAGTCGAAAACAGTCGAAAATCCATCCATGAAATAATTTTTTAGATATTCTGCGGTAGTATACTATCGCTTTTCAAAAGATGCGATTTTTTGAATTTACACCCGGAAAATGTGTCCTGATCAGTCGCGTCTTGCTCATCACACAAAGCGAAATGGAATTAATTTCATATAGACTAGTAGACAGACTCTGCATAAACTGCGCGGTGTAATTAAAAGATGTAAAAATAACTTTTAAAAAAATTACTTTTTATCTCACTGTTACAAATGTTGTTTTTAACGAGCGAAGCTTAAAAGTTTTGAGTTTCAGTGGCAAATACCTGCTTAAATGGCAATTATTCCACCTTTAATTTCAGAAACTTCAACAAAATTAATTAAAAAATACCCACTTTAATTGAGTTCCTTTCTCTCCCGGTATTTTTGTGCGATCATTTCTTCCCGTCCAGTTGACTGGAGAGACATCATTGAACCTAAAATCTGAAAATTTTATTTTTACAACGTGCCGATTTTTTTAGCAGTCTTCTAACAATTCTTGTTGTTCCTTAACCAGTAAACAGGGAAATCGCGCAGAAGTTCAGCTCCATAATTATTGGAAGTTACTGCATTTCTATATTTATTGACCTTATTGCCTATTGGAACTAGCTTATTGTATTTTAATTCGCTAGCTGTTAACTATTCGACAATCGCTAAAGCCCTTGCCTCCGTTTGCTGGTTACGCTCATGTTAATAATAACAACATTTTCCAGTGTTCAATTTTTGCTTGCTGTTGTTTATACACAACAAAGAAGCTGTTAAAAATCTCATTGCACGTTGTCTTGCACTTTTTACCATTTAACGTCGGAAACCGTAGTTGACTCATAGAGTTTTGACATCGATATCATCATTTAATTAGGTGCAACCATTTGCGCGAACCAACATGTGTGTATGAAATCGCAACCGCACCTCGTATTTTCATGTTATACTCTTATATAAAATGATTCACTAGAATCTCAGCATATCAAGCTTTCATCTGCTTAATCACGAATTACGATCGGTAAAACCTGCTGCAGCTGCTTTCATCAGCAATTTACACTGCTAATATAACCGGCAGAAACTAACCCAATTAACTGCAAACTGGACTTTCTTTCTGGACGTAAGCTATACGAGCTACGCAATAACGCTTTCCAAATAGTTTGCGGCGTTAAGCCATCAACAGCGTATAGACCGCGCTGGTGCACTGCACTGCGAGATTTTGGGAGGCTATATCGGAAGTTTTTAGCCATACGGCAGCCATGCAGACGATTTCAGAGAATTGGAGATCTGTAGTGTTTATAAGTGTTCTTCTTCTCTCAACTGCCGTAAGCGTGATTATCAAATTTCCTTAGAAAATGTTTTGTTTTGATTTCTAAGGATTTTGATACTTTTTCACCTGTAAAATTTCAGTCGGTGCGTGGAAAAAAAACTACCTACGCCTTGTTTTTTAAGCAAACATCACATGTGACCCATACTTCTATAGTTTCTTCGCTTTGAGCGACATAGTGAGGAGGTTATTTTATCGTGAACTGTTTTCAGGGTGTACAAGGCACTGTGGATGAGCTGTACAGTGACACCATGGACGATATTATGATTCAGGCGGGATTCAGCCTGTCTAACAACGTCCACAACTATCCACCCGTTCCAAACTGTACGCTTTTGCCACAGGGCGCGGCTGGGAGCTACCATCACCAGGGTTTGTACTTAAATTTGGAAGGTCAACCGCAACTCCAAGTGGAGAAAGGACACATCCAACCGAGTCCAGTTTTCGCATTGCACTGCAGCGCGCACATACTGTGGCCGACAATAACCATCACCCGTACGTCGACTTCTACGGAAACATACACAACAACATCCACTAGTACTACAACCAGTACGTCTACGACCACCATCACAGACACGTCCACATACACAACCACCGTTACCAGCGGCTAGTCGACAACGGACACACATTATTATAATGGTGACACTATAGCCACCCACCCCGTTATTTTTAGCCACTCCATTTCCGCACCCCGTTAATTATAGGCATCCTTTTTTTAGTTATTTAATTAAATTACTGTTTAGACACCCCATTTTTTATAGGCCCAAGACACCCCTTCATTCTATATTACTTACTTTATAGTCAGTACTCCAGGTGTTTCTGTTTATTTAGCACTAAGCCAGGGTGGCTATAAAGGACGGGTTGCGAAGGGGTGACTATAAAAAACGGGGGTGAAAATGGTTGGCTGTAGTGATTTCCTTATTGTAAATCCTGCGACCATGGGCACACGTTTTTATGGCTGTCTATGTTATGTTTGGAGACGTAAAAAACGCCATACCTCTTCCCGAATAATTTTTTTTTTATCAGTGCTTATTCGTCTTTCGCACTTTTCTTCTTTGTGGAAAGAGTTGTGTTTGCAATTTGTAGTGTGATTGTCAGACGGGGTAACGGTAACAAATAGCCGCTAAGGCAACAAAATAAGAGCATTTCAACAGTACAAAGCCCGATTTGGTAAAATAAATGTTCGATCGGACTGTCGGCATACCATCGACAAAATGTTATCCGACAATTATCTGAAATGAGAACTTGATTACCGACAAGTTGTTGAATGACTGTTTGCTGAGCACCAACATGTTGCTGACAGAATTCTGATGGCACATGAGGACATGAGTAAAAATGAAAAACCAGAAAAAAAACATCAGAAAGCATAAGAGCAAATTACATATAATTAGAATAAAAATTACATGCGGGTACAGATAGAAGATGTAGAGATAAATACTAGTAGATAACTGGCAAAACATGCGAAGCATGTACAATGGACGAAAAAAATTAATTTCCTTATTTCCGGACAATACGTTACAAGCTACATAGTAATGCGCTTATGCAGTTTCTGCATCTTTGCGAACTTCACGGCGCATATCGCTTTATGCCACTTCCAGTTCGTTTTTTGGCATTCTTTGCCGCAGTACACTGCCGTCAAACAGACACAGGTATAAGGGGAATGAGGCTTTCCACATTCTGTGCATACGCCTTCAGCATGGTGATCATGTGCCGGCATATTAATGTTGAAGTTCACCCGTGCGACCTCTGCCGGAAAAACTATTCGAAGCACCATCTCGGCCTGCAGTTTTGGTGGGAAATCGTCAGGTATCCCATCAAAAAACTTTATACGGTTCGTATCCGCCTCGCAAGCCTTTTTGTAGTATGATAGGACCTTTGTCACGTCGGCCTGCGGACCCATAGCGTACAATGATGCCACATAAAACTGTGCAGCAGGAACTTTGCGCTCGTCTTTAGGATTTCCATCGAAATACCGCTGGTATGCAGCAATAACCTCGTTTATCTCTTTCTGCATGGCCTCCTGGTTGGCGTGTTTCGCATAAATGCTACCTAAGTGACCCTCGAAGACTTTGCGTAACCCGGTGGCGACCGTGTATAGCCAGTTGGGGCGGGGTTCTAACTCGTAAGCACGGTGCACGCTGGCCAACAGCTCTTTGTCCATGCACCCGAATCCATAATAACAAGCGAGCAGGTGATGAAAATCGGCTTCCTTCGGGTGCAAACGAATGCAACGATCCATGAATGCAATGTTACCTAAAAAGTCACAAAGCAATTATTGTTGTTAGCAGAAAATTGTCCTCACGCAAGAATAGGTTTTGTTAGTGGCGGACACGATGGAAAAGCAGCGTTGTCGAAGCGTGTTTTCACCGATACCTGCAATGTCGTTGCCAAGATGGCATGCTTTGACGAAGAGAGCATCGGCGGTTTCTAAGTTATTTTCTTGAATGAAGGCTAGCATATCGGAAAAATAGAAATCGTTGACGTCGTAAAATTTAGTGGATTCTCGGATCAGGTGGAAAGCCGTTGTGATGTCCCCATATTGCCATGCTTCGTACCCTTCCTCGACCATTGCAAGCGCTTTAACAACATTTTTGGCTGTTATCGAGCCTTTCGCTGCCGGTTCCACTAAATGTGCTTGATCATGCAAGGCGGAGTTTCTCGGTACCGGATTCCGGTGTTCTGACAACGTATCAAAATGTCTAGCCACATCAATTTCAGCAGCTGAAGCACCCTTCCACTGAAAATACCGATGCACTCTGTGAGACCATTTCATGCTCTTGCTTCCCGTCGGTTCCGATAACTGAGAACGCTCAAACTCGCAAACGGCTTCGGAAATCTGGAGCAACCGTTCGAACCCCGCCCTAGTTTGTTGGTCTTCCGGTTCAGCTGAGTGGTTAATGGCACGCTGGAACCATTCTCTGGCCGCAGTCACATCGCGCTGGCAGCCGGACCCTTGTGCTAGTAGTCTTGCGAGAGACAGCTGAGATGTCAGGTCTCCTCGTTCACTGGCTTGCACGCAGTAAGGAAAAGCTTCTGTATACCTGTGATCTTCTAGTAAGGCTTGGGACAGCGCAATCTGTGAGTCTGCATGACCCAGTTCAGCGGCTCTTGTCCACAACGCAACGGCAATTCCGAAGTGTTGCACATGATAATAGTAGCCAGCCTGAAATAACAACAAATGTGATTCGCACTTGAATTACGCATTTTGTACAATAAAGGGTAGTTTCGGTGGGACTTTGATCGAAGCGGGGGCAACGAAATGAATGGCGCCGACGCCCGAATTGAATGACAGGCAAAAATGTTAGTTCAAAGGTCACAGCCTAAACGTAAACTGCATTCTGGTGCCTTCCTCGCTGCTACTCGTTTGCTCATTGATCCATTTTCTTAAGACTTTTGATTTTGAATGTAAACCGAAAACAATCAATCGAATTCAGTTAAGCACCACATTGAATTGAACGCAGTACACTCAATCAGCATAAAACAGCTTCGGGAGGCCTAAGAACAGAGAAAAAACTGATCTAAGTTTGCTGTTGGTGGAGTTGTCCCTGAACGGAGGCCGCGCTCCTGGATTTCTCTGTTGATCCTTAAGGAGCCTTGACAAAAACAATTCTGCCCGCCGAGAGTGGCCTTATGGAAAAGTTTACCCGGGTTTCTGCTGGATAAAATAGGGTAAGCCTAATTCGGTCATGTAGTCGAAATTCAACGGTTGACTTTTTATTTTTATCCAGTTCTTAGGTTTACGAAACGATTTGTCTTACCAGAAAGTGCAGAATGTGCACATTTTCCTTGGTTGTCAGCTCGCCAAGCAGGACAGCCAGGTCTTCCTGCTGTTCCGCAGTCGCATCTCCGCTGTTTGACAGGCGCCACAGGCGTGCAATTGCATGCTGCGATCCTTGCTCCGCCGCTTTTCTGTAGTATTCAAAGGCGCTGTGTTTGTCAACCGGCCCACCTCGGCCGTCCTCCAGCATTGACGCATAGTTCAACTGGGCTTCGGCGATTCCTTGTTTGGCCGCGCGCTCGAACCAGTACCGCGCTTCCGGAAGATTTTGCGCCACACCCTCTCCGTTAAGCAGGGCAGCTCCGGCATTGTTTTGTCCTTCAGCGTGGCCCCATTTCGCCGCTTTTAAAAAATGCTGGACAGATTTTCTTGGATTTTTGTCAAAACCTATTCCGTCGCGATAGCACACCCCTAACGCGTGCTCCGCGTGTGACACACCTGCGCAAAAACAAATTATTGATCATTGCGGCAATGTAATCCATCACGGCGTGTTTTATTACACTGAATCTCTTTGTACTACTACGGGACTTCCCTACAACTACCTTACAACACGGGAAATATGTCGGTTTGTAGGTACATTCTCTGTATAATTATTTGTAGCAAGGCTTTGAGCACAAAAGCTATCACTGCAGCGTAATCTGCAGGTTAAAGATACTGGTTTATGATTTTTTCACGTTAGAGACACTGGTTTTGGTTATTTCAGTGAACGACCTTGTCATATTTTCTTAGCGGTTTACTAGGAATTCCATTACCTAGTACAGCGGAAATCTGGCCCCCATACTTGATAAATGGTTTCTGGGCGCTCGCGAACCGATAATACTTCAACATCAGGTCATGATTGACGTGTGTGGCCTCACCCTGACCATACATATGTGCCAAATTATACTGCCCTTCGGCGCTCCCCAGATCGGCAGCTTCCTTGAACAGTTTAAATGCACGGTTAAGGTTTCTCTTTTGACCCATCGCTCCGGTCAACGCAATATGTGCCATTCCGACTACAGTGTGTTGTTTTTGGTGCTCTTGGAATCCCGCGTCATCCAGTATACGAACATCAGTGTCCTCCGGTTGAGTAACATCATTCCACCTCTTGCCACCAGTTTCCAGGCTGATTTTTGGGTCTGGTCGAGGATGTGAGGTGTTGAATTTTTGAGCAATCTGACTTTGAAGATCACGCTGTCTTTTAAGCAAAGTGCTTTCGTTGGCATCTATTTTCAAACCTCTCTGACAAACGGACAATGCTTCCTTTAACAGATCCAGTTCAAGCAGAGCTTTCGATAGAATGCAGTAGTATTTTACGTTGTGTTCGGCAAGTGCAATGGCCTGCTCGGCGTCCTTGCGAGCTGACCCGAAATTTCCAAGTTGCAGCTCACACAGCGCACGGTTGGAGTACAAGACAGCTTCTCCTGGATTTGATTCCAGCGCTTTTGTGTATTCGACTTTGGCATCGGTAAAGCGATCGTCTTTGAAATAAGCGTTACCCTTCTCTTTTAACTGCTTCCATCGCGGAATTTCGACGTCCGGTAGGCTCGATCTGGTACTTGATGGGGTAGGAACTGGGTCTTCTTTCCAACTAGAAAAACAAATTTCGCATTAACTCGTATCCGAGCAGCAGCGCTACTACTGTAGAACTACAATTCCCATTGGCAAGAGCTGTTGCAACTGGAGCAGACTAGAAATAGAATTTAATATGCCCCCGTTACCGGTTCTGTTGCTGTTGCCGGTTGTCCCAGCGAAGGAAAGCACAGGGAGCATACATATGCGTAGAACTTAACAGCGGCATAAACAGTGCTCACTCATCGGATGCTTACTGCGGTATCCAATATTCAGTAAGCAGACGGTGATCGGGTGAGAACTAATTTTATCATCCGTTAAATACATTGTGAAAGTTACCTGAGCAAGGGCACTGCACATGACGAGCAGCTAGCAAAGATTCCGCTGGCTTGGACACTGGTTCCGTGCATTTTGACGGTGGCCCACGGTGCCTCGCATTTGATGTCCAGCATCTCTGTCTCTGGAATTACCAGCCGCTCTACTGCCATTCCACCGTGAACGTAAATCTGGTCCTTAACTGCACAAGCGCTATGTCCGAATCTCGGCTGCCGAAACGGATGCATTTCTTCCCAATTGGGCCTCTGCAAGTTCAGGTGTAAACAAGACGCTGTTGCAGCCCACGGAGAAGTTCTGTCTTCTGGGATGAAGCTTTTAGTTATTCCACCCAACAAATAAATATTTTCATTGATCATAACCATGGCAAAATGTTTACGCTGGTCTGGGACATCTGGCAAGGTCTGCCAAATGCCGGTTGCCGTATTAAAGCATTCCACCCACATCGAGCCTGTGGCCTCCTGCGTCCCTATGTAAACTATTTTGTTTCCGCATTTCGTCGAGCTCACTATGCTTCCATGCCTACCAAGCAAACATTTTCAGATCGTCAGCAAGTGCAACAAAGGAGCTCTCGCAAGCGGGCTGATCCCGATTACGGTAAGATATCAAAATCGAAAAACCGAAAGATTTCACCTGTTTTGCCATTGATTGCCACTTTCCAAGATGACTGTAGTGTCTTCATAAATGTTGGTTGCTTTAAAAATCATAGTGCCATCTTGGTAGTCCCAGAAATATATCGTGCCGTTTACCGCTACCGGTTCAACGACCATTGATATGGTGGTTGGAAAGCCGAACGAGCGCATGCTACATTTCCGAACATTCCAAAAGATCGCGCGCCAGTATTCGTCTGGAGTTTTAAAAATGAGGGCAATTTCTATTTCATTAAAGGCCACGATCCGATGCTCGAACTTCCAATCGAAACCCTTTTGCTCAAGAAGCCCAGGAGGAAGCTGAAGACTCTGTATTGTGTTGTTGCTAGGGTCAAATAGCTCAAACAATGGACTGTCGCTGTCTCTGTTATGTGGTTTATGCCAGCATGCAATCTTACGCGCTGGAAGTACGTCCTGCGCTTCGTGCAGTTTATCGAGAACTTTACGCGCAGAAAGGCGGCTGTCCGTATTCCGATTGAGACACTGCTGTATGCAGAGTCCCAAATGGGGTGGAATTGAGCCATTGACAAACGGAGTATAACCACTGATGATTAACTGGATAAATCGCTGCTCCGCGACATCATTTCCTCCGCTAACAAAGGTTTCCTTGTTTTGCAACAGTTTCTCTTCGCATAGCGCATAAACCTGTGCTAACTCCAAGATAATGCAACCTAAGCTCCACACGTCGGTCATTCTGCCTGGCAGTTCTGCTCCGACCATCTCAGCAAACTTTTTCAACATTTCCGGCGACATGTAGCGCAAGGTGCCGCGAGGATGGGTGATGTCGGCGGATACCGTGACGCTTTTTTGCATGTGCACCATATCATCCATATCTCCTATAAGCAGTCTTCGGGGACCGTCTGGCATCTGCTTGACAAGGATATTTCCCGGTTTCATGTCACCGTGTATCATCTTCATGTCATGCAGATGATCCAGTCCCTGGGCAATATCAATGGCGTAACGCATGGTCTGCTGGTAATCGAGGTAGCATTTGTGTTGACGCACCATTCTGAAGAGCGATGTCAGATCACCTTAAAAAGCAACAAACGGTTATGGTATTATTAATACCTTTATTTGGCAATAGCCGGACCACAGAACAAATTAATCGTTAAATTAATCGTTGAGAAGAATATGGGTACAGAGTATATCACCAATGCTTTTTGGCAGGCGCCTACGATGGTCACTGTCTTAAGACTTTCCAATTTGATAAAAATATGTTTCAGTCCTTCAGAGATTCTTCTTTCTGCGCATTAATTTTTTTAACAGTTCCGGGTGGCTGAACAAAATGTCGGTCTTCCGTTTTAGTTTGTATCTCGCGGATCGGTTGCCACACCGCTAACTAATTGGGCTCGTTCGAAAGAGAATTTTATTGACTTCCGAAATCAACAAAATATTTTGATAAAATTGAGCTGCGCCTGTTTGCAACGCTGCCAGTTAAAATCGTGTGAACATGTGTCCCAGGTTGCAAAACATATTATCTCGTCGCATTTCTTTTACGAATGGGCGTTTTGAACATTTTTAACTGTTTTGTACAGAGGAATGCCTCTAATGGTAAAGCAGTTGTGCGCGCGCTGCCTGCGCTGGAGGAGTTATGCAGTATGTGCACTTTGTGAATTTCCCAAAAAATGCCGGTTACTAAATCTTATTTTAATGAGCGATTTTCGTTAAAATTTGCGTGTAAGATCGCAAGTTTGCAACAAGAAATGCCGGTTCTTCCAAATGTAGCTATTAGCTAACGCATTGCCCTTCCAGAAACAAGATTGAAACAGACTCGTTTTGACGCTGTGGTCAGAGATTTGCTTTCAAAAACCCTACTCGCGGATTTCACGAGACTTGCTCGTGCGGAGTTTCGGTTATTCCATGCACTGGTCAAACGACAAACGGTCAAACATGGTTGATTAGAATGTTGCTACTCCTTATAGTAAAAAAACAAGAAATAACCCCGCTGCCAAATACATCAATGTGAGGTAAATTATCTACTTAGTTGAAGAATAGCAATTTTTAATTTTGGAATGGGAAATTTCAAATTTTCGCTTCCAGGACATCTCCAATTCTACCCAATTTTTCAAAATAATTCTTAAAAAAGTTTAATCTTAGGATAATCTTTGTTTGATTTTAAGTTTCTGCACTAACGCACTTGCCGCATTTTAACTTGCACTTACCGGCACAATAATCCATTACCAGTTCCACCTTTGCTCCTGTCTCAGCGCTTTTGATTGTCACTTTATGGTACGATATCAGATTGTCGTGCCTAACTGTTACAAGCGTTTTCAAACGCTGGTAGAACTTATTCCACTTTTCTGCATCATCGACAGCGATGTGCACGACTTTCACAGCCACGTGACCACTCCCGGTAAAATCGCCAGGAAAAGTCACCGTGCCTTTGTATATCATTCCAAAAGCACCGCTTGCGATAAAATCATCATTGTCGTAGCGATACTCGCAGCTGCTGCCCAGTTTTTCAGCTACGCATTCAGAGCGTTTCTCGACCATTTTTACATAAGTACTGTTGTTTACTGGAAACTGGACTGTATTACTGGAGCGAGCGTGTAAAACAGATACATAACATAGCCTATATGTCTTCTGCTGAAATTATTTGTAACTGGTCTGTGGAAGTAAGGCAAAACTTCGAGACTGAGTACAATAAACCCGCCGAGTTCGATAACTTAATAAAGGATACCGGGTTTCCATATCAGCGCTCCGATAAATCGGCGTGATAAACGTATATAAACCGTAGCGTGAAAGAAATGTATCAATTTATCGTTGGCCTCCATTCAATTATCACTGAAACAGTACATGTGGGTCAGGTAACGCATCAATAATATGTAGTTAAAATTAACTGGTAGCACACTGGTGACTGATGCACATCACGAAAATACGTACGGCTTTGTTTCATGCACCATCACAGCAGACTTTACGATAGCTCATAGCTAGTATCAAATTCTTACTTACAATACCATTACAAATCTGCAGTATTTATGAACACCTATGGCTTCTAAAAAAACGAAAGATGACAAGACGATACACACAGTTAAAAACACACTATACAAAGTATACATGTGAAGTTTGCGATATATGCAAAAAGCACTTAATGCCTGCAGCGGACACCAGGCACCAGCACAGTTTTTCTGTTGTATTAATATTTATTATACTATTACATATGTACACAATACACTTGAGCTGTAATCCTGTTAGTAAATTATACATACCATATTTTAGCAAAAATTGTAGGATAAGCTGATATTAATGGCTCTGCAGCTTGCATCTTTTGTTCTTACTGGAGGGCACAGTGCTATATGGGGGACTAGCACAACGTTAAGCTCTTGGTGCTGGGACGTTTGACCTGGCTTGATATTGGTGTCAGCTGAACTAGGTATGTCGGACAATATTACCGTTACGGTTTCACCAATTTTTTTCCAGCAGAAGCTTCACTGATTGGTGTCACCGAACTGTCACGTGCTGTGTCAAATAAGTCACGTTGCGATAACTTTTTTATTGGTACATATTATTATAGCACAGAAAAGCAGTTATTTAGGGGGCACCGTAAACTCTGCATTATCGGGTATGGAAAAGACGGTATTATGATCGAGATGCTTCGCACTATGATTTCTCCTAACATGATACACAGCATGCTGTCCGGCCTCGGCCGGATTATGGCTGCTCAGCAGCGGAAACGACGCATTATCCAGATGCACCCGCACAATGATGTCCGGCGTCATCGGGCGTATGGTCACGCTGGTTGCTATCACATCCGGCCTGTCAATAATCACCTGCGCAAACCCGCTCATATTGATGGCGCCGCCTCCCTCGCGGACACTGGGCGACGGCACCGCCGACGGGATGACCGTCTCCGGCTCCATCATCATCGGCCCCACCGGCGACTGGTGGCCGCCCGGAGCGCTGAGACCCGCGGGGATTCCCTGCCCCCCGGCACCACCGGCGGCTCCTCCGCTGCCTCCCGCGGGCGGAGTCTCATGGGCGCGTCCCGCTTCCACCTCCGCTTCCGGGTCGATGGGCATCCGGGGACGGTTGCGGCCGCCGACGCCCAGTTGGATGTGTCCATGGTGCATACCCCCACCTCCGGGCGGGTAACCGCCACCCTGGCTGGCGACCATGCTGTTGGGATAGCCCGGGACGTTGGGGCTCTGCCCGGACGAGGGATAGTACGACGGGGGCATCTGGGCGGGGTATGAGGGGCTCCCTTCGATCTGAGGTTCCGCCGACATCCAGGATCTCCCGTTTCCTTCACTACTGACGATCGCCGGGTTCTGGCGGCTGTGATGGTAACTGTTGGGATAGACCGCCTGGCTCGGGTACTGATTGGGATCGGTGGCTTGGTAGGGATACGACCCCTGGGTGTTGTAATGCGGGACGCTGTTACCGCTCCCGGAGGTGTGCATACTCCGCTGCGTCACGTGGTGCGGCATCTGGCCGTAGGTCCCGCCTCCCAACTGCGTTACCAAGTACGGATTGTATAGACTCGGGTTGCTCCCGGCGGCCCCGGTCATGACCGGCTGGGTGACCACCGCCTGCCGGGTCATGGCGTAGGGGTTGTAGTTGGTCTGCACTTGGGTGTTGGGGTACCCTTGGAAGAGCGGCGTGAAGTCGGGGAGCCCGGATATGGCCTGGCGTTTGCCGCTGGGGAGGCTGTAGATGGCGTTGGTGGAGACGGAGTTGATCTGGGGATAGCGGAGGGCCACCGGCTCGCCCTGGCTGGAGAGGACCCCGGCGTAGCCGACGTTGTTGCGGGCGGCGTTGGCGGCGGCGAAGCCGTTGAGGACCTGGTTGGTGGTGGAGCCGAAGCTCTGCGTTTCCATGCAGATCACCTGGTCGGGGCTGGTGCAGGAGCGCAGCTGGTCGGAGAAGAGCATGCCGGCCGGACACGGGAACTCGAATTTCATTCCGTCTTGACTGTAACAAAATGAAAAGCAAATGAATTTATTAAGCCATCATATGTAAAAACTTCTCACGATTCCGGCAAATAAGATTTGCATAATAATTTCAGTACATAATTTTCGTATAAATAAGAATTTGTAACTCATACGAAAAAGGGTCTGTATTTAAATATCCATTCCCTTGAACAGCAATTAAGACATAACGGGGTACAGACACATGCCTGCAAAAATACTAAGTTCGAATGTTCGATACAAAGCACAATAAAGAATTTAGTATTACTGTATTTAAATTCTAATACTACTGCACACTACTGCATTACTACGAGTACTGTAATTAAATTCAGGATTAAAATATGACAAATTAATCCACATTTAGGCCCGTAAACAAGTTGTTGATAAGCACCTGTTTACAGTCATAATTACCAAAATAAATAAAAAAGCTTTATGTACATATGTGCCGGTTTTTTGCGATGCAGAAGTTTCCCCAACGATGCCAGTGCAGCAAATATTGCTAGGCTAGACATGGAATTTCATAAATACCTGCAGAAATAATAATTCCGACAATTTCTGGCCACATCCGCCATCAGCACCCCCGTCTTGGCCCCATCACACGCGCCCGTCAGATCCGGTGTCCCGTTGGCCATGCCCATATGCGGATCCGGATTGGCGGCCGATCGTAGAAACGCCTGCTGCGCTTTATTCGCCGAATTGGCCGACAGTATCGCTTGCGCGAACTGGTTGAGATTGATGTTCCCCGACAGCGCATTCCCGGCTTGCAACGACGCCGGTTGCGCGGCATTCCCTGTCAATCCGTTGAGGCCGTTGGAGGCGCCCGGCATCATCGGGCCGCTGTTGCTGGCGGCCCCCACCGGGGGCATGATGGCGGCGGCATTGGTCTGCGGCACGGCGTTTGGCGGGGCCGCGTTGGCCACCTGGATCGGGCCGGCGCTGCCGATGGGTCCGGCCACGCCGTTGGGGACGGGTACGGCGCCCATGCCGCCAGGGGGGCCGTAGGGGGAGGCGTTCATGCCGAAGGACCCGTGCGGGTGACCATGGTAGCCGATGCCCCCGGCTGGCATGTCCAACGCGTCCTGCATAATCAGCGCCGTTTTGTTACGAAAAACTTTGTCTGTTTTGTTCGAACTTTAATTTCGCTTTAAAATTTGAATTTAAATTTCAGTTTTTTTATATTTCCTTATGTTATTCTTATACGTGCTTCAAATATCTCCTAATTCTTTTCGAAATTTATGGATCTCGTTTGGTGAACGAATTATAATTTTTCCTTTAAAGCTGTACGTTAATCAGCATATAATAAGTTGTGGAATTACTTGATTGGTATATACCACTGATTCCACTGATATAATTCCACTGATTTTACTTTTTTGTCTATAACTCTGCTTAATTGTGGTTTTCTTTGCAATGCAACTGTTAGTTAGAAATCAGAAGGGAAAAAATTCGGACAACTTTATTACTATTTAACGGACACGGTGTGCGGCACATAATATTAAGAAATCACTGACCAATCTAAAGTCAGTATTTTCAACATTAAACAATATTTTGGAAGACAAGACATGGGTTTGCAGCTTACCAGCGGCTCTGGAAAATCACGGCACTCCACAGCCACTACAACAAGATAACAGAGGTGAGGAAAAAAGGATAATTTAATACCGATTAAAGAATATGGACAGCTACAATTAAGGCACATGTGCACAAGTTCCTCTTGTTAATACATTCATCCGTTTTTATTAATACATCCGTAAGACTCCATATAAATCAGGAACGGTATGGTGATTAATCACAGCTCACTTACAGGCCGCCGTGCATGTCTGCAACTCTTGGTCGAACAACTGTCCATTGGGACACGTAAAGGGCACTGGCGGCGATCCGTAATTACACCAATAATACCGGCTACACATCCATGGATCCTGGTACAACCGCGGCAGTCGCCCAACACAGGAGAACTCCTGCTGCATTCCCATTCCCGGTGGTCCCATGAAGGGCGGTCCTCCGGGGGGCCCGGGCGCCAGCATGACACCGGCAGGCGGGGCCGGCATCCCGCCCATGGCGGGTCCTTGGATGCCGCCGGCGCTGGGAGGCAGCATGTTGCCGGGAGCCGGTATTTGCCGTTTTACCTGCTAAGCCGACCGGTTAATATGCTGTTGGTTGGCCACTGAGCTGCGGCAGCCGGAAAACCGGATGTTTACTTGTTGGTAAAGCGCCAACGCGATTAAGGATGTAGTACAATAGGGCTTATACAATTGTAAACTTCTCAACGAGATGAGGGCGGGATAAACAGCTCTAACCAGCTTTTTATTAAGCCGCTAAAGTTTCCAAATTATTTCTGTTTAACTGGGAAAGATTTATTATGCGTGACCTTTGCAAAGTTTAAAAAGGATTGCAATCGAAAATTAATAAGTAAAATTTTTCTAATTTTGTTACAGCATTCTTACTCAATTAATCTCTTCGTGCAGTTTCTTGACTTTGTTTCTCGAATATTTCTAAGAGTTTCCTAGTTTTGCTTTTTGAGCATTTCATACAGTTTCTAATAAATTCGTAATAGTAAAATTGTGAAATTGTTTTTGTAAAGAGCTAAAATGTTAAAGAACTGCATATAACCACAAGAATACAGTTTGCTAAATTCGAAAATCTTACTAGAAGAAGTTGGCGATATTGCTAAAGTTTATAATTAAATGGCTGCATTAAAGTTTGGACGGAAAGTTGTGAACTGATAGTCCGCAGTCGCGCGATATCACATTACTTTCAAGGTCGTCTCGTATTGCGCACGCCGATGGACATCAATCCGCTCGCAGTGCGCTGGTCTAAATCGGCGGAAGGACGACTGATATCGATAGCGCGTTCTCGACAATACAATAATTATAATTCATAACGTACCTTTACATGTAATGCATTGGCGTCATGTGTCGAAGGTTTCCTTAAGCGTCTCCACTGTGCGTGCGCATCGGAAGTTGTCTGACTTAGACCTACAAAAAATAAAAAATAATAATATGTAACGGCTATGTATTGTATGTAGTTAAGTGAAGTTGACCTTTATCAGCAAAGAGCTTTACAATTCTAAAAGGCGATTGACTTACCGAATCGTTATTTAATCGAAACTGTAGTTTAGCTTCTTAAATCTTTGAAGGCAAGTTACAAGTTACATTTTTTCAAAAGAAAAAAAGAATTCTTTTCTAAAAAAAAGAATCATCATAAAATAAAGACGATAGTTATAAAGACGATAGTTCTCGGGTACTCACTAAGGACTGTGACAAGGACAACAAGAATGAAGGAGAGATCGATGAGCATCTTGACGATTCGGTCAGTAAGCCGAACCGCCAGCGGTCCAGCCATCCGCAGCATAGAGGAGACGGATGGGAATCACTTTACACCAACGTCTCCATGGATGTCAATAGAAATTCCCCAAGACGTTAACTTCCAACGAAATCCCCGTATATGAATTGTAAAAGCAGACATCCACAATACTTTGTTTATTCTAATCATTAGTTATTCCGAAAGAATTCCAAAAGCGCAACAAGAGCGACATTTTCGGGGCGGGATGCGTTTAGGTGGACAATACTCAGTGAACGGCACACAACAGCCGACTCCGCGAGTGGAACAGTGGGTCAGTGGTAGCACAATGTAGCGCGCTTGTCGAGTGGAGCAACAGCAGAGAGCGGTATGTGACAGAGAGTGGCCATGCCGGGCCAGACAGGCCGGTGTTGTATTGCCGCCGGCGCACTCGAGTTGAAGGGTAATCTGCGGGACAATGCCGATATCCACTGTACGGCTGCGTACTTCACGAAACCCGACCGCGGCTCATCCGCCAGTCAGTGTATGTGTGCGTGATACGGCAGCAACACATGATAATCCGCTGGCCGGCATTGATGGCCGGCGTGTCGGATGGTGTCGCCTTTATCGCTGCGTGTGCACGCGCGGCCAACCGGCCACCTTGACAATGCTAGCAGCAGCAGGCAGTCGCTGCAAGCAGTGTACGGTACGTCATCTACACTTACGTATACTAATGGCGAGCGTTTACACTGGGGATACATTACGCTACGCTGCTTCGGATGCGTAACGGCACAGTTTTGCCGAGTCATCGCCTACAGTACGAGGAGGAATAAAGCATCTTCGGTAGCGCGTTCGAATGTCAAGACTCTTTGAACACTGCGTTGAGTGTGCGACGGCATGATTCTCTTAACAGCCAACCGTGGAAGGTTGCCCATATACGTGCAACGTGACCGTCACCCGTGGATGAGTGCTGTGATTGACAGTGGCCAAGTTAAATGTGGACTACCAGCCTTCCGCAGTTCACTGTTAAGAGAATCATGCTGTTGCGCACTCAACGCAGTGTTCAAAGAGTCTTGGCATTCGAACGCGCTACCGAAGATGCTTGGCTCCTCCTCGTATGCTCGCAGTGCGTACGTCCTAGCTGTCTAATTTTTTACAGGGTATTCAATAGTTTCCTAAACTTCATACTCACCATTGTTAAATTTCAGAATGTGCTACAACTCATCGCCTAATTTGTTTTGTCGGATCAAAATAGTCCTGAAATTTGGCTCATAAAGGTCCTCACTCAAGTTTTTGACTTGACCACCGAAACTCACTCGGAGCACCAAAGCTTTAGGTTTTTTCACCTTAAGCATGAGTTTGATTGGTACTCAAACCTTCTGCCGGTATCATTATATCGGTCCATATCCGTTGGTGGGGGTGTGTAGCCGCAAAGCGTCGATCCGGACCGAAACCACACTGTGAATTTTAAACTGGTTTCGGTCGAATTTTGGGTCGAAAGTACGCTTTGATTTGTATTACAAGCTGCGCTTTCTACTTGTTTATGTTTTTCTAAAGGATCAAATTTAAATGGTTGTTTTCTGTTGCTTCCTCGGCTTTTAGCTTCTTTGATTGGATTGTTATGGTTACCAGACATATCGTTATTCAATTCTTCAAGCTAATATTTTTGCCAGCTAACGATTCCGCTGGACAAGAGCAGTACTATGCTGCTGCTGTTGTGATTGCTCCTGGGCGCTGAACCTTGCGTATTCGTATGAGCCAGGTAACTACTGCACTAGTTTACCGGCACCCTTGGTTGTTCTTTTACCTGACTTTGGAAATCACGCATTTGCCGTCTGCAAACGTACTGTTTATGTGACGCGGTAGTTTCTAGTGGACGGAGCCTAAACCATGTGAAATCTAAAATTCCCTAAAGGCACATTCTTAGGGTAGTAACGGTACCGACTTGCTTACTTTGAGCAGCGAAAAATTTCGTGTATGTCCAAATACGAGAAAATGCGTGCTACCATTTCGATGGGCAAAGTGTGAAACGGGCACAGGGAGTGGCTTTCCTTGATGAGTGCTTGCATTATGCGAACTTGATGGCAAACCCGGTCATACAAATAATCGATTCGATCTTTGGCTAAAATGGGATCGAGATAATCTCAGGCGAACCGCAACAGCCTTAGTGTTGCAAAACCTTGAAAATAATATCTGTTGCCAACAAAATTTTGCTCTTCGTACATGTTAAACTACTGGACGAGTGGCAGAACTACCGGTAATTTAGCAAGGCTGTAGTAAACAGTGCAAGAATGCAAGTGCACAAAACATGTATTAATTTTGTTTGTTGTACGGTCCAATGCAATCGGTGTTGGGTACGTACCGTACAACGAGCAATACTGAGACAACGCAGTGATATTAAACGTCGCCGTTAAGTTTAACATCGTCGTCAAAGCCGACAGCTGCAGGGCAGGCATAACAGCAGAAGTTTAGAGCATGTACGTTAGCTAAATATACGCGCTCCTAACAACATGTTGATCACGCAACGTTCACGATATAAATGCCGTGATCTGCTTGCAAAACTATTAATAGTCAGGAAGCAGCACTTTTAAACAGATACCCTTACCTTAATCTGCCGCAGCCAACTGGAAAAAGCGCAGCACTACGCAGGTATTGTAAGATTGCATGATCTGCATGTACGGTAAATTGTCGTTTGTATGGTTGATAGATGTAATTGTTCTTTCTTTTTGCGTATTTTGCACTGTATAAATGCAATCGGGTAGCAAGTGAGGGTCACACTCGCACTGTTTATAGGTTTCCCTCAACACCCAAACAGGATTTCTTGTCAGCAAGTTCCTGTGAGTCGTGGAGCAACGCTGTGTACGCCTTGGGTCCGATAATGCAGGACTCTTGCGAATCCGCAGACAACCAGCGCCTGTGCCCAGCCCACACTTTACCGATTGAACTCGTAGCCCGCATTTTTTCTTTCCTGGATATATTTGACATCTCACTTTGCTCTGCGTAAGTCAGCCGAGTGTGACCGAGTAAAAATTCCGGCTCAACAATTAATTTCGATTATTTATAATGCAAGCACCATATCCGTTGTTATTGTATCACAGAGTATGCAGGCGATGGGAAGTTATCGCTAAGAATTCTCCATTGGTCGGCAAAATTGTCATCGTCGATCTCAAGAAATGGCGTAATAACCGCTGTGATGAATATACGTGTCCAGAATGGCGGATAACCGGAAACAAAGAACTGAGAGGAGAACGTCTGCTGAAGCATTTCATCACACTAGCCACACGCCACGTGGTTTTACGCTGGCCTCTGGACTCTTCCCTACCAGAACCGAAGTTATGCATAAGTCATCCGGATCAAAACCCTGATATGTTCAGCACACACTATCACTGCAATTACAGCGGTTCGATCGATCTGGACGTCATCACGGAGATTCTTCAGCGGCTACAGCGCAGTCTTGGCAACGTGATCGTATCGCTAACGTTGCAAAATGTAAAGCTCTGCACAAATGATATGGCTCTGGTTCCCCATAGTTTTCCCATGGTGCACTACAGTCATGTCCAGGTTTACTGCCATATCAAACCCAGCGACTATGGACACTATCCCAAGCCGATTGTTCTGCGCGTTGAGATTGATCGGAAAACTCTGAAGGGAGACGACCTTGAGCCCCTCAAGGATGCATGTATGAACTACATATGTTTTCGTTACTTTAATCTTTTTTTGCCTGCGTTGTCACCAGAGGAACAAACTTGCATGGATAGAGTGCTGCGGTCACATCAGAAATTCGATGTTTTAACCAACTGGAACGGGTAAACTACCAAGTGTTTTCCAGACAGAACCCCATAGAAACTTCAAACGGTTCTGCTATTTTAGATATTTCGGTCGGCATATGAGATGGGAAAATACCCTAGCGGATATGCAGTTAACCATGAATGAAATCCGCACCTATCCCTTGTGGCAGCAGTACCTTGCTCGCGACCTCTTGCAGTACCATCCACTTGACAGCAGCGAAACTCCAGCGAACGCACAGTCCGGTCGCAGTGCTGTGCAAAGAGTGCTGGGACCATTTAAGCGGGAGTATACTGAGAGCACGTGGATGTCTTGTAATTTTACGGAAGGAACCACGAGCGTGCCACCGCCGTTTTGGTGAGCATAATTACGGACACTAGAAGAAAGTGGAGACATGTTTCGTTTTGGAGTAGCAAGCGAATAGATGGGTGCACGCGTACCTTTTTACCGTATATCTGGAAGTATCTGTATGTGCAGACAGACACTGGCAGAGTAGCCTGTTCTACAATAATATCGTAGTCTACGGTTAACACCGGTTATAGTCCGGGCGTATTTATTTTCCAGATGTATTTATTTACGAAACACATATAGTGACAGTTTTTACTATAGCAGAACCCAGTATTTGCCTTGTTCAAAGCTGAGGACTTTTCAAAAGACAGACTGGTGAAAGACAACTTGGAGCTCGACAGCTTTGAGTTTTGGAAGCAAAGACGCAATATTTTCCCAGAATTGCACAAGGTGGCAATGTGTATCGCCAGCGCACCGGCAACCAGCACACCAGTGGAAAGGGTATTTTCCACCGCCGGAATAGCAACATCGGGAAAAAGGAACAGGCTAAGCGGACTGCGGCTCGAAATGGAGGTTTTACTGCAGCGAAATTACAAGTTATTGGAGATCGACTGATTTTCCTGCCTGTTTTCTATTTTCCATTTTTATGTTTCATTTTTTCACTTTCTTAAATTTGTTCTCTTTCTGAGTATTTCATTCTTTGCTGTTTCGTTTTTTTCTTAGCACGGGAGTTTCACCCGGGGTCTCCATGTAGCCAACGGTTCTCCTGATCTTGTAATGATAATAAATAACGCTGCTCTGTTCTCTCATGACGTGTTACATGACGTTCCTGTGCTTTCGCAAGGCTTTCTTAAAAAATTTGTGTAATAAAAAAGGTCTACAAGTATATAGCTTAACAGTTTTTTTGTAAAATGGGAAGAGTATTGGACCGTGGGTAGTAGCTGCACCATTTAGCAGCATTTCCTCCTACCAGTCAAATAAATTTTAATTATAAATTTGCTTAAGCAAAATAATATCAAATTTTAATTAAGCTGGAGCATAATTAAAATTGAGCAATTTTAATTATGCTCCAGCTTAATTAAAACTATCCTAATTTTAATTTTGCTGATCATAATTCAAATTGGTTGATTTTGAATTATGATGAGCTTAATTCAAATTATAAGCAAAATAATTATGATCAGTTTAATTATCACTACAAGCGATGATTTGCTGTTAAAATCTTAACCGACCTAACACACTTTTGCAACTACTGTAAGCTTTACATATTTGTTCAAGTGGAAAACGCTTTATGACATGTCATTAACTTGCTTTGTCATGTTTGTTAGACACAGAAACGTTGTGCAGCATCAAATTAAATTTATTTCTGGAATGATTGATTCGTTAAATCAATGAACAGCCAGCGTTCTGACCTGTACCTTCTGTGGCGATTTTTCGCTTTCCATACCGACATTAACATTACAGGTTTAATATAATATCAGAATAGTGCTTCCTTTTTAGCTTTAGCTTCAAGGCGCGACTTCCGTTCATTTCGCTTTAGAAATACAAAGTGTGTACGTGAACCTGGTTTTCCTTCAAAGCAGCTGGAGGTAAAAGCAAGTGCAGTCTTGTAATACGCTACTAGCCACTAGCTGAGGGCATAGCGTAGTGTGCCGTCAACGCTGAGGCCATTCGAGGGGGAATTCCTGTTTAGGTACCGGTGAGTATGTCGCACGAAACTCGATCAGTATGCCGCCACCACCCTGATAACCTGCTATTGACGACTCTCGGTGCCACATCTGGTGTCACTTTCAAGTTTCTCCCGTTGCCGATCAAATGGTTAAGTAGTCTTTGTAGCAATGGATATTCATTAAAAGAACTGCGCAGCTTAGATGGTTTGTTTTCGTTTTATAAGTATTGCTGTGTTTTCGTCCTAGAATTAACGATGCTAGTTTGTTGAAATTGTATAATACCAATTTTAAGTGCATTTGGGAATTTACCGTAAGCCTATTAAAACATATTCTCTTGACCGTGAGCAATCAATACAGTAAGTATTTGCAACTTACTGTTTTACTGCAGAATAGAAAGGATGCGCAGAGTCAAAACGCGGACTTACATCGAGCAACAGCGACTTACATCGAAGCTCGAAATAGGCGTACCAAGTTCCAATTGGCTGGGCTTCGATGTAAGTCGCTTTTTGCTCGATGAACATGGGCGTACCTTGTAACGGGTCTAAGCGACGCCCAGGTACTTACAAACTTCGCTTTTCCGCGATTTTTATTGGTGGGTCAGCATTATGAGTTAGATCGAGGCTGCCCACCGCCAATAGCAAAATTCAAAAGCACGTGATTGTTTCTCCATGCTTTGGGCTGACATCGACGGTTAAACAGTAAAACGACAGGGTTTTCCGTCCTTTTTTAAGTTTTTTTTAAATCATGCCTTTTCGTTTGTTATTGAAATTAGAAGTAGAAAACTGATATACATATATAGTGCAGGGAAGCCTGTGTCTGGGAATCCAGATTAGACTATGCGGTATCAGTGTTTGGCCAGGTGCGCCTCTGTTACAAATTGTTTGTTTTCTGATTATCTTTTAATTTAATTTCAAATCCCATTGCAGCTGACTGGCGTACTACAATTGATTCGGAGCTTGCCAAAAGGTTCGCGAATCCCTGTGGCTGTCTCTAACAATTTGTGGTGTAGCTTGTCGTGTATAGCTGCCGTCGTATCGCAGGGACCCCTGCGCGCTGGCTACCCAGCTGTTGGTGCTATTTACAGTTTACTGTGTACTGTGCTTGAGTTTTTAACCTGGTTCCATACCCGACTACAATTTATGCTGCTAGACAGCCTTCCATGGTAAGCCAGAATTTATTTTTATTATCATGTCAATTCATCATTTTTGATGTTTCGTCCGGATTTATGACAGCACATTGTATACGTACTTTGCTTAACCGCGTGGCTGGTTCTCGCTTTGTTCTGGCTACCCAGAAATATTGTTTTACCGTATTTCTTTTATATATTTTAGCTTAAAATAATAGTGCGTAGATATTCCCAATCCACCTTGTTTTGGTGCTTTCCAACAGATTATATGGCATTATTTAACTTTTAGAAATGTGATGTTACAATTTTACGAATTTAGTAGCATAATGTCAGCACGCATAATGTCAGTCTGTATGTCATGACTGTTGTGCGCATGCGGTCGCGTTTAGCCCGTACACACATACATGCAAGACGTGTAAACGGGCGCGGTTTTGCGTTCGATGTCTGTATGTCAAGGGTGAAAAACGTTGTAAGTAAGTCCGCGTTTGAACTCTGCGCATTTAATATAATATAAATCCGTATGCACATTGTGTGAGCCAACGAAAAATACAAAAATTTTAATTCCTAAGCGGAAAGAGCTAATTCGACTTTTCCGTGTCCTCCATTGTTTCCTAAATCGATGCCGGGTTTTTCCGCTGTTTGTTTACAACAGCAGCCATTGTTGTTTTCGGCCATGGGTGATTCGCACTCTGCTCGAAATACTGTGCATATCGTACAACATAGAGTAATTTTAGTAAGCAGCGCACTGTATCACACATTATTGTAAGCGCTCTACGAGCAATACTAGGGCAACGCAGTGATAAGTCGCTGTAGTTATAACGTAGTCGCCGTAGCAGTAGTTATAACTAAGCGCATCTAACAACATGATGATCACGCAACGTTCACGACATAACTGGCGTGATCTGCTGACAAAACTAATAGCAGGGGGCAAGCAGCACGCCTGCACACAACCGTAAAAACGTGCAGCATAATGCAGGTATTGTAGAGCTCCTTGTGAACTGCCGTTTGTGAAACTTTAATACATTTTCTTATTCTTGATTTGCGCAGTGTCCACTATATAAATGTATTTGGGCAACAAGCCAGGGTCACGCTCGATCAGTTTATAGATTTCCCTTACCTAGCAGGATTTCTTGTCAGCCAGTTCTGTGAGCTGTACAGCACGTTGTGTGCGCACTGTATCCGATACGCAGAATTTTTGCGAAATCGCTGACCACCAGCGCCTGCGCCCAGCCCACACATTACCGATGGAACTCGTAGCCCTCATCTTCCTTTTCCTCGATATATTTGCCATTTCATACAGCTCAGAGTAAGTCAATCGGTCTAATCAAATAAAATTTCCAGTTCAACACTCAGTTTTTACTTTTTGCGAAAATACAAGCACCATAAACCGGTATTATCGTATCGTAGATACTGCAGCCAATGGGAAGTCATGGCTGAAAATTCCCCGTTAGTTCACAAAGTTGTCGTCGTCGATCTCAAGAAATGGTATAATCGACCGAAGCGTAGCGAAGGTCCTCTATGTTCAGCGTTCATGAAAAATGTGGTGTCTGTCGGTCACCGCCATCTGTTGCACGTGTGCGCGGCGTATTTACTGTGAAATGCACGTATGCGCGCTGGCCGTATATACTCAAGGCGAGTGCAAACGGTGGTGTCTGTCGGTCACCGCCATCTAATGCACATATGCGCGGTCTTTGCGCTGTCAAATGCACGTAGGCGCGCTGGCCGTATACACTCATGCAAGGCGAGTGCAAACGGTGGTGTCTGTCGGTCACCGCCATCTGGTGAACATATGCGCGGTATTCCTACTATTAAACTGCATACATACACGGTCACCCACCGCCATCCAATGCATATTTTTTACGGTCACCACATACTGTGAAACGGACACATGCACGGACCCAATACTATCAAAAACCAGAAATGCTGGCTGGTCGTATATGCTAGGGCCGCGTGTAAAATGCGGTGTCTGCTGGTCACCATCTCTCTATATAAGGTGTCCAGAGGCGCGGTAGCCGTATAAAAATTCTGTGCTGCCTACTGGCGTTTAGAAGAATGACATATTTATCTCTTTGATAATTCAAGGTAAGCATTAATTTCTGTATTCCTATCTTAACACAACACATACTTTGCAGTTTGCATTGTGTTTGTCCATCGGTCACCGCCACCCTACTTAAAAGGGCAAAAGGCGCAGTGTCCATTTGTTCTCGAGGCTTGTGGCTACCGTAAAGTGGTTTTTCGGTAACCGATACAACGGTACTCTCTTGCCTTTGCACTATTTGCTGCTTAAAATCATTACCTTCTGAATAATGTAACCGCTCCACGAAACTGGGACACAAAGTCTGGAAGTCCGGAAATAGTCATATACTCATAGCTGCTTGGTTTGACTAGCGCACTGCCGGCATGCCCAAGCTGCATCCTGATCTGACCGTAGGTAGTGCAATTTCATGGAGTGCCGCAGCAGTTTAACGTGCAAATAATCCTAAAATCGCATCTTACAGCTACTTCATCTGGAAAATATTTTGGTATTTCGCCGGAAAAGTAACCGCCATCTATTCGAATGGCGACCGAGCAAAACAAACAAGAAACTGAAAATTGAAGAAAAGAAAGAAATTTGGAATTTCCATTAAATATTGTCCAGAAACACGTCTAGAGCCGGCCGGTTAGACCATGCATCCGCCGCCCCAGAAGGACGTTCATCGTAACTGAGACCGTTAATACGAGTACATGTCCCTCCAAGTAGGCTTTAGTTTTGCACAATGTTTTTCAATATGACCGGCAAAAATATCCAACTCAAAACTTTTGCCATATTCCGAGAACACCGGAATATTGATCTGCCTGGAAGACCTCACCGGTCTCATGGTTGTAATCTACAGACACGGTACATAGTATATACTTTAAAATTGTAACATTCATTTTACAAATTTTTGATACCAAGTAGATAAAAAATATTTATAAATTTACTCCTACGCTTCGGTCATACAGTGCCCGCCGAAAGCGAGTGCACTTTCCTAGTAACAATTGTTCGGCGCCCATTGAACGGCAGACAACCGGAAGTAAGGAGCGGAAAGGCGAACGTCTGCTGAAACGCCTCATCACACTAGCCACACGCCACGTGGTATTGCGCTGGCCACTGGACTCTTGTCCACCGGAAGTGTCATTTGTCATAGACGAGCCCGACCGAAATCCGGATATGTTCGACACCACCTATCACTGCGACTACAGCGGTGATCCGGTGGGTCTGGAAGACATCATAGAGATTCTTCAGCGGCTGCAGAGCAGTTTTGGCAACACCATCTTAGCGCTGACGGTGCAGAATGTAAAGTTCTACACAAATTACATGCGCGTAGTTCCCCATGGTTTTCCTACCGTGCATTACGAGAATGTCCAAATTTACTGCCATATCGAACCCAGCAGCTCTGGACACGATCCCAAGCCGATTGTTTTTCGTATTAAGATCGATCGGAAAACTCTCACGGGGAACGACCTTGAGCCGCTTAAGAATTTACCTCCCTACGACATCAGTTTTCGTTACTTTAATCTTTTCTTGCCCGCGTTGTCGCCAGAGGAAGAAAGGTGCATGGACAGAGTGCTGCAGTCACATCAGAAAATCTATCCGTTTATAAACTATTGGAATGGGTAACCAACTACTTGTTTTCCAGACAGCAAAACCGAAGAAACTTTAGATTAATGGGTTTGTTTTTAGGTATTTCGGTCGGCACTTGGAATGGGAAAGTACTATACCGGAAATGCAACTAACCATGGATGAAATGCACACTCATCCCTTGTGGCAGCAGTATCTTGCTCGCGACCTCTTGCAGTATTATCCCCTTGAAAATATCAGCGAGACTTCGGAAAATGCGCTTTGCGGTCGCAGTGCAATAAAAAGAGTGCTAGGACCATTTAAGCGGAAGTATACAGAGTGCTCTTACACGACTTGTAGTTTTGCGGAAGAAACGACGAGCGTGCCGCCACCGCTCTGGTGATATATTAGGCAAATATTGCCGACGCTATGGAAAGTGGAAACCTGTTTCTGATGGGAGTTTCAGTCTTTTCTCGCTGACCAACGCATTTTTTGCAGCTGAGGATGCAAAACGTTTTAAAAAATTTATTTCGCTTTATTTCAGCTTGTTTATTATACTGTATGATACTAAATTGTTGTTGTATGATACGAAATCAGAGATTTGAATGGATTGAATAGTAAAAACGAAAAATCAATGAACAACATTCGCGCTTTTCCTTTCCATGCCGCCATCAGTTTCCAGTTCGGCATTAATATTATTGGATCTAACAGTTCGGAACAGCGCTCATTAAATAGCTTGAGCTCTTACAAACATGTCCGCGACCCGCGCAGCTTCATATCAGCAGCACTACATGTACGTGAACCTCCGTGTGCATAAAGCACTAAAGCAGATGTGAGGTGACCGCAAAGACGTGGACAATATTTGTTCAAGCCGAGAACAACGTGCAGTGTGTCGCAACGCTGACCCTATTACAAAATTATTGTAAGTTATTGGTTCGTTCGAAACAAATTTATATACTCGTATACGCTGTAGCAAACATAATTATTACTTCGTGAATGAAGTACCACTGGTGTGTTGACCTAATAATTCTTCTTTACTAGATTTCCATGCTGACAAGTCAAATTTTAATTACGTAATGTCTTCCACAATTTGACATGATTCGTTTTCATTAAAAACTCTGCGATACATTGTTGACAAATTAAACCGTATGGTACAGCGGTCATAGGTTGAACAAAATGAATACGAATTTGTACAGCTGTTTTAAAACACGCATCTGATAGAAATCATTTCCTATTTTGAGGAAAACCGCCAGCATGTAAGCCAATAATTATGTAGATGGAAGCTGTACGGTAAAATTTGCCGCACGTACTGCTAATGCAAAGGCAATAATTATGACTCATACACGCCGGCATGCCATCCCAGCTTAATAGCATGTAAGTTATACAGTATGCACCACTTATCCTGGGTGCATCATACCTTGATCACGCAACCTGCACGACATAGCTGCCGTGATATGCCAACCAGTAAGCAAAGATACCGACGATCATTCTTCAAGGACGTTGTACAGGGTAAAAAGCAGTAGGCTCACCAAGGCGGAAACCAGTCAGTGGCTCAGTGGTAATAAACATGCCATATATTCCCTTAAAAATTACACATTTTAATCCTTTCAGTCTCCATTGGTTTTGTTTCCGCAAATCTTCGTGTTGATTGCGTGAAGGCGACACCGTACCTCTTGCATTTACTGTATGAAAATCGAGTAAAGCTGAGTATTGTGATGAGTTAAAGTGCATCTGTTTCGTCCTGAGCATCGACTTCACCGTAAAAAATTCGATAGAGGCGACACCTTTTTATCGCACTGCTGCGAACAAGAGCCAAAACTGCATCGCTTTGGTGTAATCGTAGGAAACGTACGCGTCATCAAGATCTTTTAAAAACTCAGCCGGTACCTTGAATTTTATAAACTGGCTGTAGATGGAGCCATCTTTGAAAAAGGTCAAACTAGAAGATGCCGATCCTATATGTCCGTTCCATACCTTGCCTATCGAAGTCGTGGCGCATGTATTCTCCTGTCTGGATATATTCGACATTTCGCAATGTTCAACGTAAGTTCCCCAGGGTAACGAAATAATAATAACCGTCTTGAATGTTTTCAATCCACTGTAAATAGAAAATTTAGCAAGCGCTATTAGAGGCGTGCCTTCGTCGCGGGAAACCTCGCTGCTCTGCATTGTATATAAAATCATATGGCGAAATGTGTGGTTATGGGCACCAAATCCAGTGTAGTGCAGTAACAGCCAAGCGGTTCCCTGCGTTGCCTAACTGCTCTCTAGGTTTTGTAATAAAGAACTATTAATATTGCACACCGGAAGTGAATTGTTTTCTTATTAACACATTGCAGAGTCTGCAAACGTTGGAAAGTCATCGCTTTTGAATCATATTTGGTTCAGAAAAGTGTCATCGTCGATATTCAAAAGTGGAACAAATACGAGCTCACTAAAACTGATACCGTGTGGCGAAAATCAATGAACACCACTGTAACGGTTTATAAAGGGGAACCTCTGCTGAAGCGTTTCGTAACGTCATACACGCGTCACGTGATACTACGGTGGCCGCTGGGTACTTGTCCCCCGGAAGCGGAACTTGTCTTGAGTTCTCCTAACGACTGTCCGGATATGTACGAAACAAACTATGGCTACGACTACTCGGGTCCGGTTTCGCGCTGCCTCGACAACATTATAAAGATTACCAGCAACATCCAGCGCGACGTTGGCCATACCATTTCAGCGCTGACCCTACAGAATTTAAAGTTGTACACAAATCACTGGAACGAGATACGCGATAATTTCCCGGAAGTACATTACGACCGCGTCCAGATTAACTGCCACTTTGAACCAACCGCAAGGGAAGTAGAACCACAGCCGTTTGTTCTTCGAGTGGAGCTCGATAAGAAGACTCTGAAGAAAGCCGACATTCATCCGGACTGCAACGATTACCGTGAAAATCGGTACTACGAACGCTTTGGTCTCTTTATACCAGCTCCACTTTCCGTAGAAGAAGAAAGTTGTATGAGCACAGTACTGCGGTCGCCGGTGAAAACTGGTTGGAAATATGAGCACTTTTGGAACAGGTACAGATACTCTGCCGGCAATTCAATCCGACGCCGTTAATTCTGAATGTGCGCCGTAGGTTTTGCTGTAAAAAAGTTAAAAAAAAGTTTTTGCCGTTCGCCGTTCCATGAGACCACATAGATTAAACAGCAACCTGTTCTTGAATTACAATATATACATGATTTTCGATGCACTTTTGGTATTTACTTACACAGCTAAATCAATGTGAACGTTTTATCGTTTCTTTCATTGAAAACACGAAATAAATTATTAGAAAATAAAAATTGGTACTAAATCGTGAATGACTGCTCCTTAGGGTTTTCGGCAGGCAAGTTCGTCATAACCAGAGTTTGGCGGAAATGGAGTTAACAATGGATGAGATCCATACGTATCCCTTGTGGAAGCAGTATCTCGTGCGTGATCTATTGCAGTACTATCCACTGAACGCCAGCGAAATCACATCTAATAATTCGCCCGGCGTCCGAAGTGCGGTGCAAAGAGTGCTTGGGCCCTTTAGATGGTACGGGTTTAGTGGCTACGGAACTTATCTGACCACTTTAAGGAGCACAAGCAACGTGCCATTGCCACTATGGTAGCGGTTTCTGATAAAATTCCAACCTTACTGATGCAAACGAGTTGTTCGAATTTTCCATACTTCGTTCGTTTGCCGGGTTCATCCGTCCTGCTGTTGCCACTTAAATGTTACTTGAATTTTAAAGTAGTGTCACTAGTGTGTTTATTGCTAAACTGTCTAGTGTGTACGGCATTCCTGACAATCCGCATTTCGGCGGCCACAGAATTTTAGCTGCTTTATGGTGCTAATTTTTCTGACCGGGGCTCTTGGAATTCTCAGCGCGCTTTTCTTTCAGCTCAGCATTTCCGGCGTAAAGGTGCGCTCATCTGCTGTAGTTGATGGCGGTACGATATCATATAATGATTATAATCCAACGTTTGCACTTCTTGTTACGCTCCGTCAAGGTAATTACGTGACGAACGCGGGTTTGTCGGCCGTTAATGTCAGTCACGCCGCCAGTTTTGCGCGAGCTGATCGATTGCAATCATTGCACCAATATTTTGGGCCAACAAGCCAGTGGGTGCTGACACACTGCTGCTCCGCCTGAAATAGCGCAAGCATAGCACAATCAACAAGCACCATACAGCCTGAAGCAGTCAATAGGCTAATGTAATTATCCAACATGCAACGGTACTGTTGTCGGCCTCCATGAGAAATTATTACAGGTATCTATCTACTCTACTCGTTAGTCATTCAACATTCTATGTTAAGACGCGCGATAATTTTGACTTTTCCAACTCTTGTTTTTCTTCTGGCAGAATGCTGCAGTGACTATGTTAAGCTTTTACAAACAACGACATCAAAAACAAAACCAATCAAAAGGCTATTGGAACAGCATGATAGTTACTGTATTGAACGACGTGCGCCAATTTGGATTTGATGAACAGAAATTCACATTATTATTTTACCGATTGAGAAGCATTACTTTGAAGACAAATTATGGCTGGCAGTAAGTGAAAACATCCTTCGATCGCTCTACAGGTTATGTTTATGTCAGCAAGCTCATTTCTTGACAGATCGGAAATGGGATTTGCCGCCAAAATATTCCACGGCAGACAGTGAAGCTGCCCCGTGCTACTGCCCGTTTCATACGTTGCCCATCGAGCTCGTAGCGCGCGTCTTTTCTTATCTGGATATATTTGAAATTTCCTGGTGTTCCATGTAAGTCACCTAGCGACCGCTCACTGCTCTTGTAATTATTTTTTTGTTAACAAAACAATGAAAGTCTGTTTTAACTGTCAAAATTAGAAGCCACACCGCGGTGGTTTTACCAGCCACAGTTATACTGAACAGTAATAACTTAATTTTGTCAACTGAAAGCTGACGTTAATGGGTCATTTTAACTGTAGGGTCTGCAAGCGATGGGAAGTCATCGCGAATCATTCCCCTTTGGTTCGAAAGAGTGTCATTATCGATATTCACCAATGGTACACAAACCAGCTGGATGGATTCCATTTCGAGGATGAGGATAGCTGTTTTGCGGTAAATCAAGGCGAGTCCCTGCTGAGGCGTTTCATGACCCGCTCCACTGGCCTCGTAATTCTTCGCTGGCCTCTGGATTATTACGCGCCGGAAGCGGAGCTTGTCATCCGAGCGCCTGATGAATGCCGGTTTGTCTCGAAAAACCACTATTCTTCCGACTACTCGGGTCCAGTGACGACCAGCATTGACAACATCCTCATCATTGTGAAGAATATTCAGCGACACCTGGGCAATACATCCTTAGCGTTAACGTTGCAAAATGTAAAGCTCTACACAAATCATTGGCACGCGATTCGCGACCGCTTTTCCACGGTGCACTATGACAATGTCCAGATTAACTGCCATTTCGAACCCATCGGTCGGGGTCGGCATTCACGTCCGAAACCGGTTGTTCTACGCATTGAGCTGGACAGGAAGACTTTCACTCAAGCCGATATTCGTCCGGGTTGCAATGACTATGAGCGGTTTGGTAGTTTCATACCGGCTCCGTTGTCAGATGAGGAAGAACGCTGTATGGGCAAGGTGCTGCGGTCGCCGAGAAAAATTGGTCACAATTATCCTGACTACTGGAAAAGGTAACTGTCCGATGCTAGATAAACAAAAATTCCAATTTCAATGGTAAACTCGAGTGCTGTGGAGTGTGGATCACTGATCCGCCCTTCTTGTTGACAACCAACTCACGTACTCTAGTGCTTGGAGGACAGTTTTCATGATTGTGGTTAAGTTATTGTGCAATTTACTTTACAGGAGCAGACAGATCGCTCCTGTTAATCTTTGTGATTTGTTTGCTTCCGGTTAATATAATGCAGACCGTCACACGGACGCCGTCTGTACGAGTTAGCGGTACAATGCGGAATTCATCTTAACTCTTGTATACCTATTAGCAGACAGAGATAATTTGATATTTAATTATGACTGACTGCTTCCAGGTACTTTGGCAGAGATGTAAATGCTGACCGGAGTCTGTGCGAAATGGAATTGACAGTGGATGAGATCCTTACATACCCTTTGTGGAAACAGTACTTCGCGCGCGACCTGTTGCAGCAGTATCCAGTTGATACCTATGGAATCTGCGCTGATAGTCACAGTGGCGTTAGTGCGGTACAGAGATCTTTGGGACCATTCGAGTGGCTGGGTTCATCTAGCTTTCTCGCCAACGCTATCGCTTACCATCGTTTTCGCACCACTGTGTCGAAGCCACTATGGTGAAAGTTTCTTCGACTCATATGCGACTTTACAATGTCGTAGTCATGCAATACTTTATCAATTTACACTTTCACTGGGAACAGCTACGTTGTTCTTGATAAAACAAACGCCTTTCTTGAGAGTCACTACTGGAATGCGTCGTAGAAAATGGTTTCATAAGTTAAAGATTGGGATTTTATTTAATCGATGTACAGATATGTCTCAGGACAAATTATGTGTGACAAATTGAAGACCTGATTACTTCTATTTTTGCGGCTAAGATAGTATAGATTTTCATCTATAACAAAGAAAAACACCTTGTATAAAATTCGAAAGTAATACAACAAAATACTATAGTATCTTGGAAATTGAACATTTTTCCATTCTCGCGTCTGTTCATTCCGCTTCCATTGTCGCAATGTAGATCGTTTTTTCGCTTCAACAATTAGCTAATGTTAGCTGATTAGTCAACGTTGAGTCATGCAGATACCGGTGAAAACAAAAAAAAACAGAAATTTTGATGGACAATGCATTTGCATCTGAGCAAATAAAAATAATATGGAGCACCTGTTGACTGTTGGAACCGCTTCATATACATATCGTCAAATGCCTGTTACGCTTTACAAGAATACGCTATCGCCCGTTGCCCTGAATTCCTTCAATATGGGTTCCTTGAAGAGACGTTTTCGCAGAAAAATGCCGCTACCACAACACATATTTCGTACTAGAATATACGGGCAACATGAAAACTAGAATATACGGGCAACATGAGGCTGTTGTAACCGCTTCATATAATAATCGTCAAATGCCTGTTACGCTTTACAAGAATACGCTATCGCCCGTTGTCCTGAATTCCTTCAATATGGGTTCCTTGAAGAGACGTTTTCGCAGAAAAATGCCGCTACCACAACACATATTTCGTACTAGAATATACGGGCAACATGAAAAACACTTGTAACAAACTGCGTGTATCAAGATTCTTGTCATGCTAAGTCTGCATCTGGGCATACAGAGCGTACATATTAAGCGTAGACCGCTAACTAAAGTGAAATGATACGAGTGTCTGGTTTCGGAACTGCAGGAAAGCAAGTGCCTCTGTTTTGTACTGCGAATGTTTCTTATGTTTAACTCAATCTCACCTTATATAACTGCATACCAGTCGGATATAAAATGCTTTGGCAAATTTTTGGATGTCTGCCTGTTGAATTTTATAGTATTGCATTCCTCTACAACACACTTTCTTGGAACACTGATGGAGCTCACACTTCGACCATTACTGCTTGCGCAGTAATGCGCAGTTATCTGTGCGTAGCCGTTAAACGCCATCATGAGGGGCAAAGAAAAGAATGTCATACCACCTCTCGCCTTCCACGACTACGCACAAAACCAACGTACTATGTACACACTGTGAATCCATCACCCTGATCACGCAACGATCACGGCATTAATGCCGTGATCTGTCGATAAACCGGCATTCAACCGGTAAGTCAAGCAGTCGGCTTACCCTACCGCTTTAAGCCCGTGGAAGCGATGGAAATAATTATAGTAGAACTACTACTGTGTTTGCCAGAGGCTGCTGCTTTTTTAATATACATGTGTGCAAGCCAGATTTCTCCCCCCAATTACCGATGGAGAGACCATCCAAAATAGCCAAAAAGGAAGATGCTCATGGCCCTTGCCCGTTCCATACTCTGCCTATTGAGCTCGTGGCACATGTCTACTCTTATTTGGATATATTTGAAATTTCCCGCTGCTCAACGTACGCTATTTAGTTTACCGGAATTAAATCTTCAACTTTGTGATTCTTTTGATCAATTTGCCAGCTCCTAGAACACGAAGCTAAAAGTGGGTGCATAGGTTTGGTTGCTTTGTAGGGTATGCAAGCGTTTCGAGCTCGTTGCGAATAATTCCCCGCTCGTCCAGAAAACCGTCATCGTTGATGTCCGCAAATGGGACAAGAATGATTGTAATAAGGACGATGAACGGGTATGGAAAAAGACCGGAATTCGCGACTCCAGAGGAAAAATACTGCTGAAACGTTTCGTGACACGATCCACGCGCCTCCTGATCCTACGTTGGCCACTTGATCGCTGTCCACCCGAGGCGGAACTCTCCATACACATTCCTGACCCCAATCCGGACATGTTTGACAGCAGCTATCGTTGCCATTATTCAGTAGTCAATAGGAGAGGAGCTTGCAGCTTCCCAGTCCATTGGCTCGTACGTTCAATTCGTCATTCAGAACGACTAACTTGTAAATCTGATGAGCAGTTCGTGCAATGTAAAAATATTGTAAAGTGCAATGTAAAAATATTCACTAAAAATGTGCGCTACTGAACGTTAATGTAGAATCAACGATATTTTTAAATACTTATTTGAGCAGAGTCTTCTTTTGTCAGAAAATAAAACAAAGACTCGTTTCTCAATTTTTCAGAGTCGTATGGCAAAGTATGTGTATGAAAGTACAAATCATTTTCCGCTTATATCTGTCACGTTTGTGGATTGTGTCTGTGAAGTTGATATTTCGGCTCCGATGTGGTGAGTGCCACGTGTTATATTCATTAATTGTTTGTTATCACATTGTGATAATTTGTTAACAATGCGGTAGGTATTAAAACTTCACAGATAGTCGTAATCAGGCAACATATTGTACAATACGTTCTGTTAATACTCTCCGCTAATGCTCAATAACCCAACTACGTACATGTACGTAGTTGAGTTAATGAGCAAATGTACATTAGCGAATGTACATTTCACAAATGTGCATTTGCGAATGCTAAGCAATCAGGCTTCAAGCGCCCGGATGTGCAGTGCCGAATTAATGGGCATCGCTCGCTTTGATCCAGGAAGCCGGTACCAGAAGTAATGCGAATCCAGATCTGAAAACTTTAAAGCATTCAAGGGAAGTGGCCCGGTACAATGCATGGTACCCAAATCGTGTATGTCCGCGAAAACTTTCATTTTCGCGCACTATTAAACACTTTTTTGCTTTGTTTTATGACAGTCCGTTGGCAGATGGTTTGTACACACTGAAGTGAAAACCGTTTGAGAGCGCAACATCCGGTTCGGGGAGTATTGGTTGTAAAAATTTCAAAAAGTTCAAATACATTCAGGTGTGCCAAAAGTCTCATTATGGGCAGATCTTTTTTAACTATTGCATATAAATGCACGTAAGTACATATAAAGATATCATGTACTGCGCTATAGCGTTTGGAGAGCTTGTAGCTCGAATAAACATCGCGAGTTTCCCAGGGCGATGTAAGCGACGGCGCTTTGGTGTATCAAATCTTCAGCATTATTCTGGTGATGCCTAACGTGGTCTAGCTGTGAGCTCTTTGCGGTAAAAGATAGTAGACCGGGTTCGATTCCCGACTTTTCGGGATAATGCCACGATTTTTAACCCTACTGCAGCTTTTTATAGGCGTTTCAGGCTCAACTGCCGCTGTGGGGCGTACTTCCCTTACAAAGTTGTCTGCAGATGGACGGTTTAGCCTATTTTAGCTCGATACAGAAGCAGTTGGTACCTTCCACCGTCACTTCAAAGTCTATTTGGTGGTAACAGAAGCACGTATCCTGGTAGACTTTGCGAACTGATGCTTGATTTTAAAATAAACCAGCCCTTCGCACAGCTGCTAAGCCGGTGAGTCCATTTTACCTAGATAAAACCTGTTTCTAAATACTCACAATTCCAATTATTCATTGCTGTGTTTGTTTCTGCGGATGGTAGTTATCAGGTCACCACGTGAAAACAAATATCTGTATGTCGTTTTGATTATCGCAGCGGCACGATTATGTGCAAAAATCAAGCAACTGACTCCACTGCCGCTCTTTGGGCCTATAACCATGGCCGGTGATAGTCTTGCAATCGCGGCTCACTGATTAAATATTTAATGTTTAATTGTTTAACGTCCGCACACAATCTACGAGTAGGTACACACCCGATCGGAGGCAGCATACATAAAAACGGCAATAAAATAACCTCGTTGTTCATTGCAGAAGATCGTTGGCTTTCATGACGGGTGATAATTTCATTAACTAATTATTGCTTGACCGGCGATTAATGTTGATACATATAGTTAAGCATTTTTAAACGCCTGTCCGCTTCGATTGCAGGCCCAATGACGCGGTACATGTCTAATGTCCATCGCTTTTCGCTTCATTACGGCTCTTTTCAAGCGGTGATTATATAGCAGTTGCCAGCTATTCCGTAGATCATGCCAGTCACGCTGACGTGTACTGGCGTCCCTTAGTACACATCGGTACTACTTTACTACTTCTACCCTTACAACTAAGGCTTAGGCTTTACTACATCTTCTACGCGAGTCCTGACCCCGAGTCTCTACTTCGACTTCTCAGAAATCCCCAGCAGAGAACTTTGACCGCGACTTGCCATTTCGACGTGACCGCGCTTCGATGACGTAGCTCAACCTATTGTTCTAGTGTATTAGCTGACCTCTTGTTCTCATTTGTCCACGTGTAGTTGTGCAGCGGTGTGATTAGTCCACGTGTCCTCAGATGTCTCTTATTGGTTAGATCCTAAATCCCTATTGTTCTCAGACCCGTACCTGCGCGTACGAAGAGCCAGCACTTGCGGTGCCCAGGGCTATATAAGGCGCTCGTCGCCCACACAAATGTCAAGAGTTGTAATCCCAACAAAAGTAGAGTCTTGTTACTCGATCTGATTAACTTCAGGCTTTTGCTCTGGTCTTCTCTTTCCAAGTGAGGCTGTTCAAACTGACCTCTGGGTGACCTTTCACCTATTGTCAGGGGTCATTCCTCTACTTCGTCGACGTGCATTATCATCTTCGGATAGTCTCGTGACGTAACAGGCTACCCACTTGATCCCACTTGTTTGCCTTGACCTTTCGGTCCCTTCGATCTTCATGCCCTGTAGCGCCAGGTTGATGGATTTGTCATACTCATACGCTTCGGCTACCATCTAGCGTCGGACAGGAAACGTATAACATCACGCATCCCTTGTGTTTCCTTTCGTGTCTTCTCTTTCAGCAGGCTTTCGAGTTCCGGATCCTCTTCATCCTTGCATATCATCTCATACTTGTACATCAACATCCTTAACCTTTCGCTCCATGAAATACATAAGAAGTTGAGATTAAGAGTAGCTCTATTCCCCCGACTGGTCGTGGTCCGGGAAGTGCATATTTCCATCGCACACAACACGTCTTTCATTCTATTTCTATATTGCACGACATGGCGCCCACCGTGGTTCAAACTTTCCCGATGGAGCAGAAAGTTTAATTTAAATTGATAGTACAATTAAATTGATGGTGCAGGATGGTTGGTGGTCAACTCGAGAGAGCCCACATTTAAGAAAGTCCGTTAGGAGCCACTAGTGTGGTGCAGGAGGTCTGCGTTCCAGTTCTGACCTAGGGTAACCGAGTCCCCCGGTTTGATTCATGTATAGATTGATTCGCACTTAGCGATATATATTTTGGGTGACAATACGGGCTGAGAACAGTATAGGCACTTGAAAACTGTTCGTGTATGCGGCACTTTACGTGTCTATGATTGAAAAAGCACCGTAAGACCATTCGAGGTCAAAATTTCCTTTCATTTTATTTTCTTTTCTGAACCGGGCAAGCCAGAAAGACTACGTGAATTCGAACGGCAGAACCAGCAGGATTAGTTGAGTGAAATTGTAAGTCAAACGCGCGAAAATTCGCAGTGTATTTTTAGCCGTTCTTTAATATTGAATCTTCGTAAAAATGTTGAATTTTTGTAAATATGGCGTATCCGAGTTAGCGGAGTAGCCATCGTACTACGATTTTTGAAAATTTTCGGTAATCAACAGAGCAGATATAGCTGTCTCTTGTTGTGTAACGCAGTGTCACTGTTAACTGGAAATTAGTCACAGTGTTGTAACTAGCGGGTAAAATACGAAATAGCAGTTGAAACCTTAAAGGTCAACTGTAAATACGAGTTGTTTACACATGCTTAAGTGCGTGTTGTAACAACGAGATTCATACGAGTTGGTTACGCATGCTTGAGTGCGTGCTGTAACAACGAGATTTTCGGACGTGTTGTTTCGGTACCGCGGAAGTTGTTATTGAGTCAGCGTCGTCCTAACGAAACGGTGTTGTCAGGAGTCACAGCTTTGAGTAGCGTACGTGTACCTCTGTCAAGAGCCGTGGGTCATACGAGTTGGTTGATTCGTCAATCAACGGGAACAGTGTAACTTTCACTTTCTGAATCCAGTTGTAATTGGTAAGGTCAGTCGCGGTTGCATTGCAAACAAAATGTCAGAATTAGCAGAATTAACTGTGAAGCGAGATGGCTTTTGGCCATTGAGAAAAGTTGAATCAGATAGATTGCAGTCGAAAGCGGTTGAAAGCGGGTTCGATACTCGTTTTCAGTTTCCGAAGAAAGTTCCCCTTGGCTTAATGTATAGGGCAGTAGGGTTAGAACCTCCGGAGAAAAAGAGCGCGTATTGCAGTCAACAATGGGTTGACTGGGAAGACAAAAATTCAACGTTGGTAAGAGCTCCGAGTTACTATAGCACTTGGTTCTCGCACGAACGGTCTATCCCGTCAGCTTATTTGAATATGTCAGAAGCAGAGTTTAAAGCAGCGAAAGAATGGGCGACTTTGAATGTCACTGCGTACGAGGCAGAAGTGCAGCAAAGAAAGGAGTCAGGTACTGGTAAGAAATCTCGGGATACCATAGTTATGTCAGATGGGCAGTTAAACGCCTCGGTAATTATTGAGAATTCTGGGAATGCGGTAAGTGAGTCGTTGTTGGACTTGGAAGATAGTTCGGCTTCGAGTGCACAGAAAAATGGCATGACTCTGTCCAGTATGCAGTTGATGTCAAGTCAGTCAGTTGGTGCGGTTAATCCTGGGAAACAGGTAACTCCGTCAGTGGTAAATCCAGATCAAGTGGTGGATCCGAGGAGATCGGTGATGTCGCAACTGGTATTTCCACACTCAGTAGGACAGTCAGTAAATGTGCAGAATGCAGAAATAGTTGGAAATGCAGTTGAAAATTTGAATTCGGTAGCGGTAGGGAATTTCGTGACTCCGTCCAATATGGCGAGAGAACGTAGTGCAGCGGCTCAAGTGAGCGATGAACGCGGGTTTACTATGAGCAATGATCAGAATAATAATACGGTTGGCGGTAATTTCCTTGGTAATATTACGATGAGAGAAGGAACTCCTTTTTCTGAAAATTCAGATGATGAAAATAATACGGCGTTTAATTGTGAA